CGGGGGAATGTGTGCGATGTGAGTTTTCTATAGATTTCATGCCATCATCATCATCATCATCGTCATCAAATCTTGCAACACGGAAGGTATCTGTATCTATCATTCCAACTCGTTTGAACCCCCCTCATTCATTCAACTCCAAACCCCACAATACTGATACTGATACTGATACACATGTGAACCACACACAGCATGCATCTACATCTACTTGACATGACTAATCGATCCCCTCCTCTCATAGGTATGACTAGCCCTATGCAAGGGATCCACATTCGCAAACCCCACACCTTCCACCGCCCCATGCTGAATCTCCTCGACGCGGCCGAGATGCTTTTCGTCATCCCCCCCATCACTGCTATAATCCTTCCTCTCGGCCACGATTTCCACCCCGTCGATCGTCTTGCCCACCTGACTCTCCGTAGCGGGGAAGATCTTGTGGAGCGTCCAGTAGATGGAGATGGAACTGACGAAGCCATACAGCCAGCAGAAGCTGTACAGGTGTTTGGCGCCGGTGGTGATGGTGCTGTTGGCATTGATGCTGTAGGCGAGACCGGGGAGATTGGGGCCGATGGCGAGGAGGAAGGCGACGAGGGCTTGCCAGTTGACGCCGTGGAAGTATCGGTAGCGGCCGTGGGGGTCGTAGAGGGCGGGGACGTCGATGTTCTGGCGTTTGACGAGCCAGTAATCGCAAGCCATGATGCCGGCGATGGGGGCGAGGAAGACAGAATAGCCGCCCATGAACGAGAGGAAGGTCTCGGCGGAGCTGATGATCTTCCAGGGGACGATGACCCAGCCTCCGACGACCGCGGCAATGATGCAGCCGCGGAAAATGTTGACCCAGCGGGGGAAGAGGACGGTCAAGTCGTTGGCGGCCGAGATGGAATTGGCGGTGATGTTGGTGCCGACTTGAGCGATGTACCAGGAAGTCGCGGCGAAGAAAGCAGCGGCACGGCCCCCATGTCCGTAAGCTTGCCAATGCGTGATGATGTCCAGAGGGTTCCAGTAGAACTCGTTGAAGATGATCTTGGTGGCAGATGTCGTGATGATGCCGAGGACGCCGCAGAGTGTGAAGATGATGGGCAGGAATGGCAACTGGATGTATTGCCCTTTGGAGCTCTTGGCATATCGACTGAAGTCAGGGATGTTGCAGGCAAGGGTAGCCCACGAGCCAGTCACGGCAGACATGGTCGTGAGCCACAGATAAGCGTAGTTGCTGCCGGAGACGGTAGGCTGCTGATCGAAGAGAGCGCCGCTTCCGCCGGCCTTGTGGACACACCAGCCCAGAGTAGCGATGGCGGTGACGGGCGCTGCGATGAGCTTAACCAGGAACAGCCATCGGAGCTTCGTCGGCGGAATGAGCAGCAAGGGAAGCTGAATGAGCCAGAACAGGAAGTAGCTGATCATGCCTTTGGTGGAGATGCCTTGGGTTGCGTAGCCAATGGTGTCTGGGATGTCGTTGTACGATGGCCAGATGGACGAGATCATGATGGTCATTGCTTGAGCTCCGTTGGCGCTTTGAATACCGAGCCAGAACATGGCCAGGATGCTTCGAGAGATGATGGCGAAGTACGCGAAGTAGTAGCCAAAGCCCGACCTGATGATGACGGAGAAAGGGATGTGTAGAGCAGCACCGATGGCTCCATTGAGGCTGCGACGGTCAGCCCAAAGCTCGCCCTGTATTCGCAAGTTGACACTTCAGTTGATACTCACACCATAGGAATGGCTACACAAAATGTTCCAACGATCATGATGGGAATAGCCTCGCGCCATGTAAGGCCAACGGCGATGATGGAGCTGGCGGTCTCCCAAGTTCCCAGATTGATAGTATCAGTAGCCCAGTATGCCATCCAGGTCCAGAGTGTCCAAGTCTGGTCCTCGACGGGCACGGGATCCATGTCCTTGTTGGTCCATACGTACTCTGGTGCCAAGGCACTGTCCTGTTTGGGCAGTTCCCAAGCCTTGATCGAAGTGCATCGTTGCTTGATGGTTTCTCTGGAACGCGTGTGTCCGTGAACGAGAGCGCGAATCCGATCCATTGTTTCTTGAAACGTCCAATGGCAGACAGTCAATGCTCAATGTATTGTTTTAATGGCCAGTGGACCAGCAACGTGGCAGACAGGAAAGCAGGTGCTAGATATATCTCGTGCTCGCGACGAAGGACGTCAAATTTACCTCTCCGGTCCCCGCCCTGGTGCGACGGAGGAATGTCGTGTGTGTAGGAAGTCGGCTATCAGTACTACATGTGCCGTGATGCTGATGCACATGAGTGCTACCATTGGCTGAGCCGCACGAGCCTTATCGCGCAGCTTCGGGCGCAGCAAGAGGAGGAGCATCGAGAGACACACTACACAACAACCGGAAGTCGATGCGGCGCTCGCCGGACCACACGCCAGTGACTCGCCAGTGACTCGCCAGTGACTCGCCAGTGACTCGCCAGTGACACGCCATGGTGGAGTGGGGAGGCAAGTCTTATCTCTGTCGCGTGGCCCTTCTGCGATCCACGAGGGCGAGACTGGCGTTCCGTGCCGTACCTGCGTTGGCGTTATCCGAGTGCAGGAAGCCGCCGTTCCAGAAGCTGGAGATTTCGGATGAGATACCTGGTGTTGGAAGAGAGCGTGTCTGCAAGATCCGAAGAACCTCATGCAATGGTCTGCAGCATCCCACTCAGGCAATGGTCTGTAGCATTCGGTGCCCAGAGTCCATCATGAGCGGCCGAGGTGTACATTGATGCACGAGAATTGTGGCCTGGAAAGATGAGAAGCTGCTAGGCAAATGGGAGGTTTGCCAGATCGGGATTGAAGTCTCATGGTGTCGCTCTGTTCCGATTCCATATGTGATACGCGGGGGAAACAGAGATGACGTGGAGCATTTGAGAGTGCTGAGCTTTGGCCCGTCGCCGGCATGTGCAGTGTCCGTGCACCAGGATCGATCTCTCACTCACCGGACGCACCTCATCCTCCACATAACATTACAACATCGACCGAGAAGATGCTGAACTGCTCTACGTCCAACGATACACGACCGCCAACGAGACGCAACCTCCACCGCTGTTTTGAGTCACTATCATTGAGTGATCGGGTCGCGAAAGAGGAGAAGTCTGTACGGTCGAACATGCTGTGCGGGGGTAATGCGATCAAAGAGCATGAGAAGAAGCATCCAGGCGGATCACCGAGGACAGAGGGTACACGGAATGAACGGTCTTCGCATATGAGCTTCGAATTTCAGCTGCCACATGTCTCGTCGAGGCAGGGGGTATAGTACGCTGCATCTACAAAGCCTGAGCGATCCCTGTGCTATGATTGTCGCTTTTATCCTTTTGCACAGCCGACGCCGGCTTCTATGAGAAATCATACATTGAGAGTAGGATCAATGGCGAGGGTCACATCATGTGTCCGGTGGCCAAGATTGAAGTCACCGCGTCGCCCACATGTCGCCCAAATGCCCCTCGAGCAATTGTCACTTCGACCGGACTCTGAGGAAGTATCTGGCGCGACGGAATTAGACGCCGAACGTCTGCGCCTCATTGGGTCTCTTCAATAACGGGCGTCTATCAAGCTCGCGGATTATTTAGCAAATCTGCATTGCAATCGCCATGTCCCCCTTCACAACACAACGACCTAGAAGACCTAAAGAGAGATGGGATAGAAAATGTCGGTGGGACGCGGCGATGTGTTGTGTTGTGCCCAAACTGCCAAGAACATGCCTAGTCGCGGCCCTAAGCAGGACATCCGAAGTACTACGAGTCTACGACCGTATCCGCGGCTTCTGAGTATCGTCAGCCCTTCGAGGTAAGAAGCCGCGGATAGCTCGTCGCAGCAACCTTAACTCCGCGCTGAAGCCGAACGAGCAGGGAGTCCCAAGTTCATAGGCCCGGTCTGCCGAAACAACTAGTGAGTAGTGTCGAGTGTAGCACAAATGAGATGCATGGGAAGACCGTGGCGGTAGTGAGTCCGTGTGGGTGGTCGGGTGCCAACAAGTGAAAGTGACATCCATGGAGTGTGTGGAACGGTCGCTGTGGTTCGTTACATGTGCCGGGCTTGCGTCATTCCGACACGACATCCGAGGGGGTGCGCCCAAACAGCCAAGGCTATCCACGGATCCAACCGTTCCTCATCTACGCAATTCGAGAGCACAGACTGGGAATTATTGATAGAGAGAAAATACTTTTGTGAGACTTCTTGATGTCTGATCTTTGCGAAACAAGCAAGAAGTATGGCGCCTTTTCGATTGCTGGATTTACCGGGAGAATTAAGGTTCGTCGGCTCACGGCACAGACGGCGTACTGGGCTCGAACCCAGACATTAACCTTTCACAGGAACGATATATACGCGCGAGTGCTGACCCACGACCGGGCACAAGGGAAGAGAGCTGAGTTAGCCCTACTGAGGGCGTGCCGGCAAATCCACTGTGAAGCAAATGGCATCTTCCACGTTCAGAGCTGCTTCACTATGCAAGCACAATTCCATCGCGGATATCCGGCCGCAGACAGTGCCTTCAAATATCGCCTGAAGACCGATATAGCTGGAGATCTGGAGAGTGCCTCACCGGACGGCGCGTTGTCGGTCGTCGATTATGCGAGCCTCCTGCCCGCCAAAATCCTTGAACTACCGGTGATCAGGCTCGAACTCGAGGTCGAGAACAGCATCGAGGATGGATCTCCGCCCTGGCTACTGTGTAGAGCGGTCAGCAAATTCTTGTACGCGCTTGTCACATTCCTGAGTCAGGACAATCTCCCACGGACACTAAAAATCACGGCAAAGACCAACTGCAAGGCGCTTTCCCTTCCGAGCTTAGTAGAGCGGTGTTTCTGGCCTCTGCGAATCTTACCCTCGCACATACACTTGGACGTCGAAGGTCTCAAGGAGCAAGGCAAGGTGGCTCTCGACCGAATTCTGCAACAGCGAAGCGGCGCAGCACGACATATCGCGAATCCCGTCTTACAGCTCGCTCAAAGCGAGAAGGCAGCTGCATCGCTGGACTACAATGGGTTCGGCACAGCGAGGGATGAATTGCCTCATTTCGCTAGGGACCTGATCCGCAATGCTTGTCGGTTGAAGAGGTCAGAAGGAATCTGGGATCCAAAGCACGATACGGATGTCCGATACGAGCTGGCTCTGGTTAATGTCATCTTCGCATTCTTGTCAGCCACGTCTGATCCCCACTGGAAGGAGCGGTGTCGGAGAGCTTTGGACGTCGCACAGGGCATCGCAACTGAAGCTGAAGGCAAGGTATCCAACCGTCCAGCAGACCAGTTGGAGCACATCTGCCGCAATGTCGACTGGTCGCCCGAGCGAGCAGGTCGATTCGAAGCATGACGCACGTGACGGATTGGCAAAGTCGGTCCTGTCGTTTTCCACGGCGATAGTGCACTCACAGTATTGGAGCAAAAAGGTGTCACAGACCTTCTGATGAAATTAAGACATCGTACTCGCACCGATCGAAAGATTTAGTCTGCTGTTGCGAAGGGCGAGCACCGCAGAAAAAAGTCGTCATCAATGTTGCGGAACAACGTCAGCTCGAACTAGTCCTGACGTATGTCCGCCGAACGCATTGAGTGCCGCTGGAGTTCGATATCGTCACGTTGACTCGTCGATTGAGCACGATGTCTCTGCTGACGAAACGCAGGGGTGGTGGCCGGGTGTTGGAAAAGGGGGAAATTTTTGGAAGTTGGTCTGTTCATCACGAAACCACTTATTGGGCCAGGAAGGGGCGAATGGATACGCCAGGTTGTTATCAACGGAAGCAAAGAGGCTGCTGGATCTTCCCCATTGGATTGGTCGATGACCTTAGCGTTGACAGTTGACATTGTAGAGACATCGAGCTTTTCCAGGAGGTGAACTTAGTTTTCATGGTCCGTGCCCTAGCGTCCCTTTTTCCGCCCTTCACTTCCTCCACCTTCATGTCCTGCGCAATCAAACCATCGACGGTTCAACACGCTTATTCTGGATTTCTCCCGGCTGAAGCAAAATGTTCCAAGGTCGTGGAGAGAAGAATGATAACGGGCTCCTGTGAAGCCGGCGAGGTGGATCTTCGTCATGACAGGACGTGACTGGGGCAACGCGAGTCCCGCAAGAACTCAAGGATGCCGAGGACCGCCGAGACGTGCATCTGCACGCGGTATGGGCGTATGGCTTCTCAGTGTCGGCAACGAGACTTCTGTGACTAGGGAACTGGGCATCTGCGCATCTGCACTGGCATGAGATCGGACTTGTTCATTCAGGTGACAGACGAAAGACTGTTCGCATGGCCTCACAGCCTGGGCATTTACTCTTCACCCGAACAGTATTGTACAAGCGCATCCTCAATGCCAGGGTTTAGAGCTGTACGCCGCTCGTATACGCGGCAAAGAAGTGCGACCGCCTCTGTGCCGACTTGGTCACCAATCACCGCGCAGGGCTTTCGCTTCTTTGAATATGTGACTTTCCGGGTCGTGACCAGATGGACATGTGTAGAGGAGTAGTGCGGTATACACGAGGCACATGCGCGTCTGCACGCGGCATACATGCATTTGCAACCGCTTTCTAATATCAAATGCTTATCAACGTCTCCTCTCAGCGGACCTCTTTGTCTTTCCATGGAGTCCAGACAAACTAGGGCAGTAGCGAGTCGGATGGCGCATATTCTATGGTGGTAGCCGTCGAGGACATGGAAACGCTGTGATGTCGTGTGCTTGCCGACTATCCGAGAGCCCTAACTTCCTAATTTAGCGCGTCAAATCAAGCAGGTGGTAGAAACGGGTCGACCATCGACGCGCGCCCCCCGTGTAAAGTGTTTGCAGCTCATTCTTCAACGAGATTACAACCCACCACATACACCACTACACCGCACAATGAGGTGAGATAAGGCACTGCACGCTCCGGAGAAACTGGCTGATTACCGTAGCTCGCCTCTCCGACCCAACATGTCAGCAGCAAATCGTGGACGAGTCGCCGGTGGGCGCAAACGCGGCAGAGACGCCGAAGACGATGTCTCCTCATCAGGAGCACCTCCCTCAAGCCGTATGTATAATTGGGATACAACGTAGCGCATAGCTGATGAGAATTTTAGCGCCTGCCTCCTCCCCGCCAATCTTTCCCGCCAACGATGATATCGAAGAAGACGACAACTTGGATCCGGAAGAGGATCTGATTCAAGACATTGACGATGTAGATGAAATGGCAGAGGACGATGCAGGCATTGACCTCTTCGGCGACAATTTCGACCGCGACTATGACCGCAACGATGCTCGAGGATACGCTGGTGCTGATATCGACGATGACGAATACGATGCGATGGACGCCGCGCAAAGGAGACAGCTTGAGGCGCGTCTCAACCGTCGAGATAGAGAGCTGGCACGCGAACGCAACATGCCGAATGCCTTTTTGCCAGACGATGAAGAAGACGTAATGGACTTGACTCGCCAGCCGCGTCGACGGAGACACAGATTCGACGAAGAGCAGGACGACATGGACATGCACGAAGACATCATGAATGAGGAGCTTTCCTTGGAGGCATTGGGCGATGTGAAGGCATCTAGCTTGAACGAGTGGGTTTCGCAGCCCGCTGTACAGAAGACGATCGCGCGGGAGTTCAAGGCCTTCCTCACGGAGTACACGGACTCCACTGGAACATCAGTCTACGGAGTGCGGATTCGAACTTTGGGAGAGGTCAACGCAGAATCCCTAGAAGTCGATTGGGAGCACATGTCTGCCTCGAAACCTATTCTGGCCTACTTCCTCGTGAACGTGCCGTCCGAGATCCTGCCGATCTTCGATGCTGTGGCTTTGGAAGTTGCACTTTACCACTACCCCGACTACGAGCGCATTCATTCGGAGCTACATGTGCGCATCACGAACTTGCCAGTTTCCTTGACCTTGCGCCAGCTTCGTCAAACTCATTTGAACTCGTTGTTGCGAGTGAGCGGTGTTGTGACAAGACGGACTGGGGTATTCCCGCAGCTCAAATACGTCAAGTTCGACTGCACCAAGTGCGGCATCACCCTCGGACCATTCCCACAGGATAGCAACCAGGAGGTCAAACTCTCTTTCTGTCAAAACTGCCAATCACGCGGTCCGTTCACCCTGAACAGCGAGAAAACGGTATACCGAAACTACCAGAAACTCACCCTACAAGAGTCGCCGGGGACGGTTCCTGCGGGTCGTCTGCCGCGCCACCGAGAGGTCATCCTTTTGTGGGATCTCATCGACTCTGCGAAGCCTGGTGAGGAAGTAGAGGTAACTGGCATCTACCGCAACAACTATGATGCGCAGTTGAACAACAAGAACGGATTTCCTGTGTTCGCAACAATTCTTGAAGCGAATCATGTTGTCAAGTCCCACGATCAGTTGGCAGGCTTCAGGCTTACAGAAGAGGATGAACGCGAGATCCGTGCGCTTAGCAGAGACCCGAAGATTGTCGACAAGATCGTTGGCTCTATCGCACCATCCATCTACGGCCATGAAGACATCAAGACTGCTGTGGCTTTGTCGCTCTTCGGTGGTGTCTCCAAAGAAGCACAAGGCAAGCACTCTATTCGTGGAGACATCAATATCCTCCTTCTAGGTGACCCTGGTACAGCCAAATCGCAAGTGCTGAAATACATCGAGAACACGGCTCACCGAGCTGTCTTTGCCACTGGTCAGGGCGCCTCTGCCGTCGGTCTGACTGCAAGTGTGAGACGTGACCCGCTCACGGCAGAGTGGACTCTTGAGGGCGGTGCTCTTGTGCTCGCAGACAAGGGCACTTGCTTGATCGATGAATTCGACAAGATGAACGACCAGGATCGGACATCGATTCACGAAGCGATGGAGCAGCAGACCATTTCCATCTCCAAGGCGGGTATTGTCACGACTCTCCAGGCTCGTTGCGCTGTCATAGCTGCTGCTAACCCGATCGGCGGCCGCTATAATGGCACTGTACCCTTCAGCCAGAATGTGGAGCTGACCGAGCCCATCTTGTCTCGTTTTGACATTCTGTGTGTTGTCCGAGACACAGTCGATCCCGCAGAGGATGAGCGTCTCGCCTCGTTCGTTGTCAACAGCCACGGACGCGCACATCCTGTCATGAGCTCTTCGCTGGGCGCTCAGACTCAGACCACGGCAGCAGACGGTGAAAGCATGGAGGTTGATGGTGAGGAAGGCCAAAATGCCGCCAAGCCAAAGAGCGAGATCCCACAAGAGCTTCTGAGGAAGTACATCTTGTACGCGAGAGAGCACTGCCGCCCAAAGCTCTATCAAATCGATCAAGACAAGATTGCACGCCTGTTCGCAGATATGAGAAGGGAGTCCTTGGCTACTGGAGCTTATCCGATCACCGTGAGTCCCTTACTTACTTCGAGGACATACATTGGGAGACGGTTGCTAACGTCCATTACAGGTCCGTCACTTGGAGTCCATTCTCCGGGTCAGCGAGTCTTTCGCCAAGATGCGTCTCAGTGAGTATTGCAATGCTGCCGATATCGATCGGGCCATTGCTGTGGCTGTCGATAGCTTCGTCGGAAGCCAGAAGGTCAGCTGCAAAAAGGCTCTCGCTCGAGCATTCGCGAAGTATACTCTGAACCGGCCTGGTGCGGTGAAGAAGCGTGGTGGTCGCGGTGGCAGAAGCCAGGAGGTCAGTGTTGGCGCTTGAATGTAATGATGCATAACGAGAATAGATGCTGGGCAGGGCCGATCTAGGTGTTCAGGTGTTTCCCGGAAAGGACAATGGCACTGCAAGCTCTTGCATGGAATGTATGTAGGAAGACACTGTCAATGTTTATTATATACCGTTACTGCTTATTTTTAAGCTTTCGCTTTCGCTTGGAAGGCGCCGCCACTGTCTCGCCTCGGTAAGGTAGAGCGGGTCCAAGTGGACCTTACGGGATCCCCAGAACGACGACGGGGACCAGGGGGAAGAAACCGCACGCGACATCTCAGACACAACAACACCATCACAGACCCGTCTGCCATCAAGAGAACCAACACCGTTATCGAACATGTGATGACCATGATATCCCTCATCACCAATATCCTTCGACAGGCCTTTTCCCCACCCCCATTATTACCAGGCCCCGAAAAACACTCTCTCCGCTCCCGCATCAAGAATTTCTTCACCCTCAAAACCCTCTTCGGCTATCCTCCTCCTCCCCTGGATCCCTCGCGGGAGACAGCATGGCTCGACGGTCTGCGCGGAGTCGCCGCGTTCCTCGTCATGACCTATCACTTCCACTTGACCTTCTGGATGCCCTTTTATCTGGAAACTCCCTTTGGAGGCTACGAAGTCAAGGAAGGCAAGAAATTAGGAGACCCTCACATGGAATTGTGGAGATTACCGTTCATACGCCTCTGGATGGGTTCCGGCCACGCACAGGTATCCGTGTTCTTCGTCCTCTCGGGTTTCGTGCTCAGTTGGGGACCTCTCCAGAAAATCCAACGGGGCGATCTGGAAAAATTCGCGGAAGGGTTGGGTTCTGCGACGCTGAGACGATGGATTCGACTCTTCTTGCCCTGCTTCGCAGTCGCTTTCTGGGAATGTCTCGAGCTCTACTTTGGTTTCCGGACCATGCCCAAGGAGCCGAAATCGAATCTCTTTGCGCAGATATGGGAGTATGTCGGGGAGCAGGCCGAGTTTGCGAATCCGTTCAATGTGAATCGGACTCCGTACAATTCTCTGAATGCGTATGATTTCACCATGTGGACTATCCCTTACGAATGGGCGGGTTCTCTGCTGGTCTTCCTGGTTCTGTTGGCGGTGTGTCGGGTGAAGAGTTTTCTCAGGAGGACGATGGTATTGTTGGTTGTGGCAGTATGGGCTTGCGTGAGAGCGGAGTGGAACTTCTTCTTATTTGGGACTGGGATGGTTGTGGCGAGTTATGTGAGGTTTATGGGTGGGTTTAAGAATGTGGGACAGAGGAGATGGAGGTCTGGAATTGCTTGGACGGGAGGTTTGATCCTCAGTCTGTTGATGGCTGGTATTCCGGAGGATAGTGTGTTTTTCACACGACCGGGTTATGACTGGACCAGAGCGCTGACTCCCGAACGCTGGATGGAACACGAAGGCGGCGTGAGGTTCTGGTGGTGCTGGGCTGGAATCCTCTTCATCACATCCGCGTGCCATCTTCCCCGCGTACAGCGATTCTTCGAACTCGGGCTCATGCGCTACTTGGGTCGAATCAGCTACATGCTCTATCTCACTCATCGCGTGGTCCTCAACCTGCTCGGTGCACCTTTGGAAGGGGCCATCGTGGCCTTCTTCGGACGAAAAGAATGGATCGACGGGAATCGAAGCGGCGATCCGTTCGGGACGCTGATCATCTACCTCATCCTCATGGGCGTACTCCTGCCCATCGCGATTCTCGTGGCGCATTGGTGTGAGATGCTGATCGATGCGCCGAGTACGCGCTTTGCGAGGTCAGTCGATCGGTGGTTCACCATGGAGTTTGACGCGGGATCTCCTGCTGGAGCAACGGAAATGGCGAGGCAAGAGGAGCAGATCGAACTGCTCCCGAGGGACGACAGCACGCTTGAACAGGGAGAGATGGCGGAGGAGGTGCGGCCGCCTTAGATGGAAGAGTTTGTCTTTGTGTTCGCGAGCGACGATTGTACAAATCTGTAAAGTATGCACTCAGTCAGGCAATGGATGGGCTTGCAAGAGCATCCACATGGCGTTCTGGATTGGCGAAAAAAGGACCGACTGGAGGGAGGAGCATGTCTCGGCCGCCTGCTGCTCTCGAGAACGTGGCTCTACTAGTAGTCCTAGAAAGATAGACTCTGCACGACCACAAGCGAAAAAGTCTCACGCTGTTGCGCAATGCATGCATGCAAGTAGCCTCAGACCGCTCTCTCTCTCTCTCTCTCTCGAGTCCGTCTCGCCGCCGTCTCAAGGACGCAGATCTTGCAATCACAGCAATGGTGACCGGGATAGAGATTTGGGGCTGATGCACGTGGTTTCTAATGAAGATCTGATCTGGTGAGAGATGTGAGAGAGGGGGGAATTTGGGAGTTCATGTTGAGCCGAAGGAGGGCCACGGGGGAATAAGGTAATGATGACATCTCCACCTTTTCTCCCATCGTTCTCCCACCTTTTCCCATCTCAACATCTCGTGGGGTCTATCCTCATCAAGGTATCCTCCCCATCCTTGCTTGCTTGCTTGCACCGAGATACGCCCTACGTCATTTGCTGGAGAGAGAGAGAGAGAGAGGGACATTATTATTATTGCGAAGGACTTACAGTGCACTGAAATATGTTTCTTGGAACGTGCACAGGAGAACGCGCAACACCTTGGCGAGCGAGGAAATGAAGATCTGACCTCATCATCGTGAATGGACCAACAACGGTCATTACAGTATCATCATCATCATCATCATCTAGTACAACTATTTTCCCTCTTGTTTCACCAGCGGAGCAGCCGTTACAACGGGCTTTTGGGGGAAAAAGGGAAAGAACGTCAACGTCACATCCATCCCCTATTACTTACCTTACCACCGCCCGACAATTCATTCCTCCAAAACACATACATCCATCCCTTTCTTCTCCCCTATCTCTCAGTTACACAACACACCGCCACGTACTTTAACTACATAGCTCAAGAACGTCCCGCTTCCAGATTACACATTGAACTACTCTCCACGCCCGTCCCGTCCGTGCGCTACTATCGCTCGAGCCTTCCACTCTTATCGCCCGCGATCCGATCCCGGGAAGCGAAGGCATGCAAGCGGCCGAGACAGCACTGATGATGCCTGCACTCTACAGTCCTCGCCGCGGCCAGAGTCCCGAACAGGTAAGTCACATCGCAGAAGCCATATAAGCCTTGGGAAAAAAGATATGGAATGGATGGATGGATGGAATGGATAGGCCTACTATAAGCGAAACAGGGGAAGGAATCCAGGCACGCAGTGGAGCGATAACCCGGTCACGCATTGAACCGCACTGGGCACCTGCAGTAGTTTCGAAACAACCATGTTCGATGCTTGCGATGACTGACGTGCTTTTTCCTCTATCTCCAACAGGCCGTCATCTTGGGTAGATATATGGCTCTCGCCGCCAAGCAGGGCCGGCTGCGCAGTTCCCCCCTCGCCGACTCTCCACCTCTATCGCCCAAATCCATGCCAAGGGCAATTACATCGCCGGAAATGTCCTCTTCTTCTTCAGACAGTTCGGCTTCCCCTTCGCCGATCCTCGAAGGCCAACCATCTTTCTTCCCACAACTCTCCCCGCCTGCATGCGCATTGCCGAAACCTACCGTGACGAGGAAATCCTCCTCCAAGACTGCTTCCAGGGTTGCTCCGATTCCGGAAGATGAATCGCTGGATGAGTTCGAGCTTCGATCGCCGACGACGAGCGAGGAAGAGGGCAGACTGTACGATGTGAATGCGGAGATCAAATCCACACTCATGGAACTTCTCAACACGGAAGCTGTTCGTAGCGATGGGAAGATGCGAGCGTGGATCCAGAGCAAGCTCATGGAGGCCGAGATGGAGCTCAAGAAGCAGAGGAGGCATAACAGTGGGAGGAGACGCTCGAGCACGCCGCGGATCGTGCTCTCGCCAAGCCACGAGGAAGTGGCTTGAGACGACATATCGCTTTCCTTCTCCTTGGTCAATGGCGGGATCCACCTGCCTGGCTGGCTGGCTGGCTGGCTGGCTGGCTGGCTTTCCTTTCCTTTTCAATTCGGATATCTGGACTTCGAGACACAATACACAGCAATCAGAGCATAGCGACAGATTTAGATCTTAGCGAGGGCGTTGGTAGGCGTTTGATCCGATGCTGCGTCGGAATCGCGCATGAATGGATCGGGAGTCCTGTTGTCGGACTGGTTTCGAATTTGTATGCTATCACAGGGTGGACTGGATAGCTGGCGAACAGAAGATGTGTGATGTCAGCAGGTCGATAATGAAACACATCTGAACTCTTCGGCAAGGGCCGAAACGTTGCGGTATTGGCTTACTTCCTTGGTTGTTTCTTTCACTTCCCCAGACCATTCCTGGTCAATGATGTCTGGCGTGTCGCTGTGCAGCCAACTTTTGCTAGGAATAGCTTTTAACTGACTCGAAGCTCCACTTGGCAGGTTTCGTGCGAGTCAGTCGCTCTTCAGCGAGAAGAAGTAGGTGGCTTCGGAGAAAGCACCTCGTTGATGGTGCAGTTCACAGCTCACCCAGGTGAAGAGTAGCCCCTGACCATCAGCACTCGAGCGCCATCTCAGCAATGCGGAGCATCTCGGTATCCTTGCGGAACATGGCCTGGTATTGAGAATAGTATCAGGAGGAGGAGACAGAAAGCGAGGACTCTGACATCAACCGTCTTCACTGACCACTGTCTTCCTCCCTTCCCAGAACCCTTTGCCATACGAGACAAGAATCTCTTCGCCTGCTTTGATGCCTGCTTTTCGAAGGCCTGCTTTGCCCGCACTACAAGAGACAACGTTAACCGGAGAAGTAAAGCTAGTGGGAGAAGGTAAGGTAGATGATCGCTTACCTCAGGACGGAAATCGCAACCCTCCGTTCCCATCTCACTCCTTCCGCTCTCTTCGAACTAGGCACCTGGACGAAACAGTCGCTGAATTCCGCATTTGGTCGCTCTGCTATACCGCGGTAATCATTCGCACAGCGGCTCTCATTCCCACACGTGGCAGCATCAACACTCAATCCCAGTTCCCGGTCCAGATTCAGATCATAGTCCGAATGGGGATCTGTGTCGCTGAGGGAATTCGTATGGACTAGACCAAGGTATAGAAGGATGCAAGTATCCGGCGGTAGGTGCTGGGCGGCGAAGAGACCTCTCTGTCCCATTGCTGGGTGGGTTGGCGGAGCGGTTATGGTTTCGATGAAGATTTGGGGGTTGGGGGAGATGAGAGCTGGTGAGGTGGGAGGCAGTTTGATCCAGGAATCATGATCTGATGATGGGGCTCGGGAGAGCTTTTCGACGAGGTCTGAGGAGAGCACGTTTGGAGTGTAGGTGTGATCTCGTAGGAAAGTGATTTCTGAGGGCCAATTTTCTGGGATTCTCTGGGCGTTTGATGAGGTATTGTTCGCGTCTAGGTGGGAGGATTTCGTGATGGATTTCTCGAGGTGGTGCTTGGTTTTGGGCATGTTGTTGAGGTTTCGAGCTCCGGAAGAGGTGAGGATCGAAGTTGAGTTCGATTTGTTGCGATTCGAACGGTTTGCACATTCTGATGGTGAGGAGGAATTGCAGAGTGGGGTGTGAAAAGAACTTGGAAGGAGGTCGGAGAAGACTGAGAATTGAGTTTCACAAGCCAAGTGGGGTGAATGCTCGCAGCTCCGGCCTTCGCCTTGGACTTCGCGTTTTCGTCCTCTTCCTCGCTGTCTACTACACCATCACTCTTGCAATGGCACAATCGAAGACCATTCGGACCATCGACTGAATCACTGACGTCGTTTCTATATCATACCGCAGGCTAAGTTCGTGTGCCTTTCTCCCACTTCGCTTTTCTCTCCCATCTCCCCATTTCCCTCTGCTTGAATCTCGTCGACAGGACTCGACATGGCGACAGATCCTACGAGAGTGGCCATCGTCGGCGCGGGAACGATCGGTCTATCTTTTGCGGCGCTACATCTCACGAAAGACCCCCATTGCGAAGTCATCATCCACGACACGAGGCCCGATCTACAGGAATACGTTTCGTCGCACCTTCCTGGATATCTCCTCGATGTCGACAGGGAGGCTTGCACGAGGCGGCTGTCATTCGCTTCGGAGGTCGAAGAGGCAGTGAAAGAGGCAAGCATTGTACAGGAGCAAGGACCGGAGAATGCATCGTTCAAGATCAAGATATGGCCGGAGATCGAACAATATGCACCCAAAGATGCGCTTTTCTGGTCGAGTACCTCGGGCATACCGGCAAGTGAGCAGAGCAAAGGCATGAAGGACAAGAGCCGCCTCGTGGTGGTCCATCCATACAACCCACCACATATCATGCCTCTGCTTGAGGTAGTCCGCTCCCCGGATACCTCTGACGATGTGGTCGAACGCACCTTAGCTTTCTGGAGAAGACTCGGACGGACACCAGTGGTAGTGCAGAAAGAATGCACAGGCTTCGTCGCCAATCGACTCGCATTCGCCCTCTTCCGAGAGGCCTGCAGCCTGGTCACCCAAGGTGTTGTTGGCGTGGAAGACCTCGACGAGATCGTGCGGGCATCGATGGGTCCAAGATGGACCGTAGCTGGCCCGTTCAAGGCATATCATGCTGGGGGTGGAGAAGGAGGCCTGAAGAGCTTCATGGAGAAGATTGGTGGAACCGTGCAGGATTGCTGGGAGGCAAGCGATGCTGATGTTCAGAAAGGAAATATACGAGTCGGAGAGGATTGGCAAGAGGAGGTCTGCAGGCAAACCCAGAAGGCTTATTGTGTTACTGATACCGCGGAGCGAGACCAAAAGACAAGAAAGGTTCTGAATGCCGTGAAGGAGTAATGTTTGCGCACAACAGGCCGGCTGTGCATGCCCACGACTTGCGAGACACCTTGCCAATCGGACGGAATTCGATTACAATTGCGGCACGCCACGTGCTTTACCTGAACCGAGCGCTGCCCGGTGAAGCGGATGATGCGCTATGGCCGATGAACATATCCACAAAAAATATCTAAGGAACTATCCAACCTGCTAGCGCCGGAAGGACCTCTACGTCTCCGAAATGTGGTCATTCGCAAGCAGAAGCCCGAAAGATCGCTATTCATCAAATGCGAATTTCTTAGGCTCTTCCAACTGTTAGAAGCACCATTGCACCATTGCACCATTGCTGGAGAGCCTGGTGATCGACATAGAGCCTCTCTTCCTCTGCTTGGCGAACTTGAATTTCTGCCCGGCAGCCCTGAACCGCTTTCGAGGGGTTTCGGTCTTGTCCGTACACACAATTTGCACTGCACGGACATGGGACAATAGAACCTGACACGGAAGACTTCCGACGAAGAATCAACCGCCCACATCTTTGAGAAAGCAAAGCTTCGGAAAAGGCCATGCAGCCTTGGAAAGGTCCTTCAAAGATTGAACTCATCTGCGTCCGCTTCCAACTGGACCTGCCTGCCTTAGTCCTTGCTAAGATCTCACCGGAACATGGGGCAGCCATCAGCCGGTGCTCAGCTGTCCAAAGTAACGAAAGCCTAAACATCAGTGAGATACGACGTATCAGAGACTGCGCTGAGAGCACGGGAAAAGAGGACACACAGCGCTTTCGTTGGCTCACTCGAAACCTGGCTAGCAGCTTCCGCCTGAACAAATGTCGGCGCATGTTCTGGTGTACTATTGCTCATTTTGCACGTAATTGGGAAGCTGTCAGGGCGCATTTGCAGGATCTTCACGATGGTTACGCCACTGTAGGGGAGGCGAAGCATGAAGCTTAGCGGGCTTTGCGGATTGTCAAGCATAAGCTCGAGCAACACGCGGATCAACAAGGTTGTCCCTGGACTGGAGCGTAGCACGAGGACTCAGAACTGTGGTTGGTTCCTTATGATGGTCAGGATGAGGATGAGGCGGAAACTTTCGATGTGAAGATTTTGATTCCGGGGAGAAATGCTAATATGTGGAACTTTTGGACGATGGTTTTTGCGTGTGTTGTTGTGTATGAGAGGTTTACGCAGGGCTGAAAGGTTTGTGACCTGGGAAGTTTTGGTGTTTGGAGCGAGTGTGTGCTGATTACCTGATTTCTAGCCATCTTGGCATACTTTCGCTTGGATGAGAATGCAACATAGCAGCGATCGGAGGCATGGTCAGCTTCGATTTCCACGGTTCGGTTCTGTGGCATTGTGCGGCACAGTCTATTGCCGCCGGATAGAAAGGTAGAGCTCTCACACACTCGCGCCAGCACCTTTTGGAACTGTTTAGCGCTCTGGGAAGAAGAAGGTTCAGTACTGTGGCACAGCTTGGCGGCAGCACACAAGAGGCGACCGCCCTCAGATCTCCAGGATATTTATGGATGTCCCAGCGTTGAGTGCTGCGTGCGAGTGGCACATAACACGCGGAGATGACCACCGAGTACGTCGAGGACCTCCGGCAGCCTGTCGTCGGACTTCTTAGAAGACTCTTCTCAGTCTGGACCTATTGATGCTGGCGTATCGCTACGCACAAGCGCCTAAAGGCAGCATCAGGATACAAGATACTGATGGAGCAACGCTTCGAAACCACATCTTCATAAAAGTCGCAATGGTCGGGACTTTGTCGAGGTTGCACTGCATACTTTCTGCTAATCTCCTATTCTAATCTCCTGTCGTTCATTGTCTCACAGCATGTGTTTTGGAAAATCAGACAGCCGAGAAGGCGTTCAGGCTGCCGTTCCCCTTCCCGCTGGCGGGAACAATCAACGTCCAAGGCCCGCTCAAGCAGCTCGTCCACCACCGCAAGCTCGTCCACAGGGGTCCAATCGCCAAGGCGGACCGAGACTCAACCCTGCCCAAGGCCAGTTGACTCGACCGCAAGGATCTCAGGCTCCTAGGGTCTCTCAACGACCCATGCAAGGGCCTGTTATTCGGGACAACTGCCGCCGGATTGCCTATGTTCTTAACGGGAGTATCAAGTATGCGTTCCTTGGCGGTGCTGCTGTTGTGCTTTTGGGCTCGAGACGAGTCACCTCCGATCTCGACATAATTGTCCCTAACGGGACCAAAGCTCGGGTCATCGAAAGATTGCAGCGCCAGATGCAAGGCTTTGGCAGACAGGAGGCCAGTACGAGAAGTTGGGTGCTCACTCCTGACAATGAGGCTCACAATCTGGACATCCTTGAAGCACAGGAGATCTACGCGGAGTTCGCCGATAATACGTCTTGCGAAGCTGTGGATGGGATTCGTGTTATGAGACCGGCTGCTATTCTTCGAACGAAGATCATCTCCTGGCAATCGAAAGAACGCAAGCAGGAGAAGACGCTTACGGACGCCGAAGACATCGCTTTCCTTGTCGGCTATATGGCAGCCCACCGGACCAAGACTAATCGTCGAGAGCTTGACGTGGCGGATGAAGACTTCTTCGATGAATGGCTGATGCGTTATCCCGGTACGAGGGAATCCTGGAGGGCTATTGGCATGCTCGGGAGTAGACGGGCATCGTGATGGACTTTTAAGATTGACTGCTTTCGCTGCCCCCGAGGTTGCTTTGTCTTGAATGGCGTTAAGGTTTTTGATTGCTTTCTGATTTTCATGAAACGCGGATCCGCTGTACACTATGCGTCGGAGTCTTATCGGTCTTGCACACAGCGCTACGTAGTCTTCTTGCCGTAATGCGTTTGACAACACAGCATTAATCACGCGTATCCCGACTGCAAATAGTTATCAGTTACTGTGATGGGATGGGCGGCGGGCGGATACGACCGAAAAGTGCGTGGAAATAGGGTGTTCATGTCGACAACACTGGCATGTGACAAGTTGCTATGTCCATCCTGAGGCATCCATGCGACAAGCAAGCGCGCGCTAAAGTCTGAGGTCGAAGCTTCCACCGGCAGCATATAATCATCGATTCCGCAGCATTTCGACACCTGTGGTCTTCGTACAAATATGAACCCACTGTCATTCAGAAATTCCGACGTTTTCCCGGTCTTGTTCCTTGTTCAAGCAATTCGAAAGGCCGATCGCACCGAGCCCGTGATCCCTCAAGCATTCATCAACACAAACTTCGAGCCGCAGTTGCTTCGACAGGAGCGAGATGGCGCCCGTCGAGTTACAGATCATGAGCGATCTGCATTTGGAGACCCACCCTTCGTACGATTTCAATTTTCCTCGAGCAGCACCATACCTTGCCCTCCTCGGCGACATTGGTCACGTCGAGAAAGAAGGCTTGCTCAACTTTCTTGAACGACAACTTAGCCGATACCTTGTCGTTTTCTTCCTCTTCGGAAACCATGAGCCATACCATCTGAGCATGGAGTTTGCTAAGAGCCGAGTTAAAGCCTTTACCCTCAAGATGGACAAGAAGAAAAACAAGTCTCCCTCTACCGGCCGTTTCGTCTTCCTTGACCAGACCAGATACGATGTCGACGACGAAACGACGGTGCTTGGATGTACTCTTCACTCAAGAGTCACCGCGGAGCAGGCTCGTGCCGTATCTTCTCGACTGGTCGATTTTCGGGATATTCTGCATTGGGATGTTTCTGAGCACGTGGATGCTCATCTAGAAGATGTCGCATGGCTCAACAAAGAGGTAGCCGAAATTTCAAGCAACGAGCCCGGCCGGAGGATCTTGATACTTACGCACCACAGCCCTTGCGTTGACACTCGAGCCAACAATCCGAAGTATCAGACCAGTGAAGTGAGCTCGGGATTTGTGACGGACTTGAGCGCTGAGGAGTGTTGGCAGAATCGATCAGTAGCGTTGTGGGCCTTCGGCCATACCCACTTCAACTGCGATTTCTGTGAGGAGGGAGGGAAGAGAGTGGTCGCGAATCAGAGGGGCTATTTCATGTTCCCGCAACGTACGTTTGAAGCAGGCAAGGTTTTCAATTTGGTAGAGTAGCCGAAGGAAATGAATCATAAGTGCCGTCCACGGCCGGACAATGAAGGCTCAGTTGCTTTTGCGTAATCAACCAACATTCAGGCGCCCGCAATGGGCATCTTCACAGGCCACTTGGCTGGTCTCCTAGGGAACAGTTCGACACCTGATGGTCCAGTCGGGTCGTGCTCGCCCCGTCGAATCTGATCTCGTACCATCCGGTAGTGCTCCTGACACTTCGCCGTTCCAAGGTCGGCTGTGCAAGTCTCCGCTACTTCATCAAAATGCAGCTGTCGATTTTCCTTGTCAAGATTCTTCGCGTAGTCTTTCGTCTTCACGTCCTCGACATAAAGATAGCAATAGCTGATGAGGATCGCCAGGCGGCCTCGGAGTCGGACGGACGTGAGATCTGCCCATCTGCTCATCATACTGTCAAGAGCCTTCGCAAGCGGTGCAAACCATTCCGTCATCGCTTCGACGGATTCGGCGAGGTCGTAATGCCAGTCGGAGGCGCTTAGCAAGACAATGCCGGTCTGTGGCAAATTTTGTGTTTCCTCATCTGAGGCAGCTATCGATTCCGAGTCAAGGACGTATCTTTCGCTGAATTCAGGTACCCGTACAAGTTCTGATGGTTCAGTTTGTTTTGAATATCCCGCTGCGAGGAGTTCGGAGCCTGCGAGGTGGACATCGTGAACCAGCAGGTATAAGTCGAAGACAGCTGTTGGTACCCCATGATAAGCGAGTGCATCTTCGCAGAAAATGCAATAAGGAATGTTGCGGTCGGCCAGCACAACACAGGCATCGTATCGAGGGTCCTCCTGGCTGTCATGATCCGAGGCGGGCCTGGAGGAATCCGAGGAGTCCAGCTTCTTGCTGGTTAGAACAGCCGGTGGAGGCATGCCGCGATTCTTGCGAAGAGCTCTGATTCGATTGACCATATTCTCTACGAATCGCTGCATGACAGTCGACATGTCCAGCTCGAAAGGTGTTGGGCAGAAAAGCTCAAGACGCAAGTCAAAACGCAAGCTGCCTCAGTGATATCCTCAATGATATCCTCTTGTCAGCTAAATGAAGGTGCTTCTATGATGATTGCGGGAGCTTCTTGTATGTCTATCATGTGATGATGCCCCGCACGGACCGAGCTGGTAGAATTAAAGTTTCGGAAGTCCCGCGTTAGCTGACTCTTATCACATGGCACTATCCGGAGCTTGCGAGAATCTTCAGCCCCTCGTACCTCGGGGGGTACAGCCACCTAAGAATTTCAGTCGAAAATACCTACCTATACAATAACACATAATATTCGTACTACAAACAGTCCGATTATATAGATTTTAGTATAATAGATAGAGTAGATCGTATATTATCGATTCCTAAGTATAGAAAGCTAAATAAGAATTAATCTACGACTACTTAGGCTCTTCTTCTAAGAAATTTACGTTGTATACGCCTATAGATAAAGGTTTCTTCGGTAGAGTAAGGTAGTAGTAGTAGCGACGATAGCGCCTCTATAGTATATTTTAGTAGCGCTACTATATTTATTTACCTACTTCTAGGTACGTAAAAATATAGATAAGAGTAGTATAGATACTAAGAGATATTATATATAGTAGAAGTTAGATAAGAAATTTATATTCTTATATAGCTAGGTCTTCTTAGCTAATATTATTAGGTAGCTATATCTTCTAAGATATAAGAGACTAAAGATTCTTATAAGCTACGGATAAGAGCTACCTAACTTCCTATTTTTAAGGTATATAGATAACTACTATAGTATTATATATACTTCTTAAGCTAGTAGCTCGTTATATATATAGTACGTAAGTAGTAAGTAGATAGAATAGCTATAATATATAATATTATTATATAATATAGATACGTAGTATTCGTAAGCTTACGAACCGAGGCCGGAGCTTAATCTATACGTAATACTAGCTACGGACTCTTATAGAATCTATAGATCTTATACTTTAAAGATATAACTCTACGTAGTATACGATACTACTAGAGGCTATAGATATAGTAGAAAAGGCGATATTATAGTAGCAGTACCTGACTTATGATAGTAGATATCAAAAGTTAGTATCATATAATAAGAGTCAGCTGACAGCGGAACCTCCGAAACTTCAATTCTTCCAGCTTTGTACGCTTAAGGTACCTTAGGCCACTGCCCGCCGAGTCTACGATCTTCGATGCCAGGTGATTTGCGGTGGCTTTGGGTAGACTGCGTCCCATTGCACCATCAACCGCTCCATCACCTCACTGTATACATGCTCCAACGAGTTCTCGCAACGCTACGAATTTCGTCCAACCCAGCCATGCTACTGCGACAAATCTAGCCCATACGTCCTCTCACACAAGAAGCATGTCTCAAAGCGAACTGCACCCTTGACCAACACCTCGAAGCGAAACGATTTCAAGCAAATACTTGCCGTCTCCTAGTCCACGATGATCGAGCCCGAGTTCGGGCTGTAGTATACACCCTCTTCGCGATTGCCATGTTCTTCGCCCGGGCGCGGCTCTTGTCAAGATGGAAGAAACGGAGAGGAGCAGGATATTGGTAGGACGACCTGGAGGTGGTTTCGTCTGGCTTTTCGGTAATGGTCACTGCAGTGGATTCGCTCTTTGCGTTACATTAGGACTGGCAAGGGACATGTGGAATCTGAGTGCGTATAGGTCTATGCATATCTTGGAGGTAAGTGTGCTCACCAGAGCGTGAAGATAAGGGCACCGATGGAGTGCTAGAATGGTTCTATATTGCCAAACCTCTTCATGTCACAGGGACTCGCATCACGAAGCTCTGCCTCGTGTTGCTATAGCTATGGATCTGGGAACCGGAACGATGAGCACCTGTCCGAATCGTCTGCGTCGTGGTCGCAACTCGCCTCGTTACATCCTGGATTAGCGCACTTTTCGCAGTCACCTCCTAGTGCAACCCGGTGCAATACTACTGGCAACATCTAGACTCTGGAGCTCAGAGTACTTGTATTAACCAATTCGCCCTCGCACTAGCCAACGCCGCATTTATTATTTTCCTCGACGTCTGTGCCCTTCTCTTACCCCTTACCAAGCTGTGGAAACTCCAAGTATCACTACCCATGAAAGCCCGTATCTCGTTGTCTTCCTGGGAGGATCTACGATTACAGCTTGTAGCTGCGTTCGGATGTCGTATATCCTCGAACACACCCGGAGCTCCACGAGTATCACGTACGGCTACTTTGGACTAGCACTCTGGAGTCAGGTAGATGTATACCTCAGCATGATCTGCTGCTCCATGTCGCAAGTACCGGGACTTCTGAGAAGGACTTGGATGTATGCTACGAATCAGAGATCGCACTGGCAGAGAACCAGGCTGGAATCTGGCGATGAAGCATCCGCTTTAAGGGCGTCAGGGGCATTGGCGACGGAGACGGAGACGACATCTCGTCCCATTCTGGCTGCGGACAATATCGCGCCTTCAAGACGGTCTACAAATGTAGGCACACCAGATGAGAACGTGTGAAGTAGGAGGAGCTATCACAGACCTCCAGCAATCAGCAATCGTTCTCGTGCGCTACCCCTTATGACAGCCCGGTATACCCACTGACACTCCTATCCTCATAAGGCTGCAGAACAGGCGTATTCTACGCAAAATTTGCATTTCAAGGGCGGCCCATTTCCCCAGCCCTCAAATCCACCCTCATCTCTCCTCATCACTTTCCCGGCGACCCATACGTACACTCCGCCGGCCCCGCCGCACTGCCACTCAACGAATTCCTCACAACCGCCCAGACGTTATAATCATACGCCTCCCCCAGATGACCCACCGGATCCATCGGGCAGAAATCCTGCACGTACAGATTCCTCACGCCCGTTTCGTTCACGAAGGCCGTGGTGGGCGGTGTCACCAATTCATCGTATCGTGAGATCAGAATCGTGTAGTTCGGCCCGGTCTGCGCGATAGGGCCGTCCGTGAGTGCTTTGACGGCAGGACCGTTGGTTACGAGATCGGAACACGCATCGCAGCCGAAATCGTCGAGGATCGTGTTCACCAGGCTATTGGTCAGATTCCCGCCGATATACGAGAGGGTATACAGATTCGCGAAATTGGTGCCGTGCGTCGGCGGGGCGATGGCGATGATGTTGCCCACGATCTCCTTGATGCCCGCTTCGAATTTCGGGAAATAGAGCGTCTGGAAGGCTCCCTCGGAGTGTCCCACGAAATCCACCTGGGAAGTCGGATATGCAGAATGGACCTGCTTTACGAACGTGGCGAGTTGGGCGGCGGAGTCGCTGATGTGCTGGAGGCCTCCGACGTAGGGGAAGCCCGGGTAGGCGCCGTAGGTGATGGAGAAGGTGCAGAAGCCGGCATCGGTGAGGTTTTGTTGCAGGAAATTGAGGTCTTCGTAGGAGGTGGCTCCGAGGCCGTGGAAGAGGACGACGGGGTTGGGGTGCGTGGGGGAGGGTTTGCAGGTGAAGTTGTTTTGGGGGATGGGGTAGGAGTCGTAGGTGAATTGGCGTTCTTCGAGCGAGGAAGGGACTGGGGTTGCGGCGGCGAGGGAGGAGAGGAGGAGGGTTGTGGTGGAGATAATGATTTTGAGGGCCATGTGGACGTTTGTGCGGAGGAAGAAATATGTTGATGCGGTGATGTTGGAAGGACGAGGATGAAGAGAGTATCTTTCGATCGAGAAGTGGGAAGACTCACTCCAAAGCTCCAAAGTCTGGGTCCGTTGTTCGTGTTCGGTACTCGCCTTTGCAAAGACAGGCACGTGTCGATCACTTCGGTACTGCTACAGCGCCGTCAAGACGTTTTTCCCTTTCCTGGTATTCACGATTGGCTGAATGTAGCGCCTCAACTGGGCATTGACAGCAGGCCCGGATCTGTTAGTCTGTTCTTTCAAATGCATCCTAAGTGGAAAGCAGACGTATTGAGACACACGAGCCGAGATGGGAGAGAAAGTAGATGCAGAGACGTCATGGTGTAAAGAAAGCGGCCGTCGGAAGGCGCACGAGGCTTTTCGGGGTCCTTCGGTGTGCTGCTGTAGCGTACCGTCTTTGGGCCGGGTCTCGGAGCATCGGCGACATGGTTGGAAAATAAAGTCTAAGGAGATGGAAAGAAGGACAGGCTTTGGATTCCAGGTCTTGTGAGAGATCGCACATCTTGTCGAATCAAAAGGGCAACGCTGCAGTCAAGCAATGTATCACGTGCCAAGCGCTTGATGATGTGCAGTCGAAGAAAAGTCGTAGTGTTGGAGTCTGTCCAGTCATTATTATACACGCCCAAACACCTTCGCTTCCCTGGTGGTGCATGTAAGTCGTTAGAAGCGCAACCGGACCGCAAAGATCAAGCTCAACCAAAAAGCACTTTCGTCAGTGACAAAGAAAAAGCAGTCTTCACAAGCCTGGTCTTGCTGGACACCACGCAACCCCAATCATCTCCAGATCCGCGTAATCCGCATTCAAGTAGGAAAGAATCTGCTCCTCGTAGACGGCTTGCAGTTTCTCTTCGGATTGCTGTTGACGAAGACTTGACGAGTCATCATCATCCGAGCTTTGTTCCTCGAAGTCAGAGGCATTGTTAGAGTCTGTCTCATCGCTGCTCTGCTGGTGATGCAGCTCGCGAAGGGAGTAGTCTGTCGGAGAAGAGGTCCTGCGGAGCGAGCGGCGGGTCTTGAGTACGAGGGTGTGCTGGGATGCATTTCTCCTCTTGACGGCTTTGAGCGAGCTAATGGAGCTCCGTGAGGAAAGGGAGGAAGTGTCGTCTAGAGAGTGTGGGTCGTCATCCGATGGCAAAGAGTCGTGTGAGGATGTAGTGTCATCTTGTGGGTCCTGTGAAATGGCTGTATAGAAGGAGCATTTGGAGAAAGGAGTTCCAGTCCTGAATGGAGGCGGCGCTGTCCGGAGAAGTCCTGTCTCAGCAGGCTTCTGATGTTGATGCTCGCAGTCTTGTCCGGTGCCGTGCAGAAAGGCGCAGAGTGAACAGTGGTGATAGAATGCGTTCGCTTGGTCGTCGATGAGGCGCAGGCACACAGCCGGTGAGTGATCTAGTGCTTTGTCCATGATGGTTGAGTGGAGTGAATGAGGTGTCAGTGGTACCAAGGTAGACCTCGCATGCGATATGGAAGTATGTACGGCGAGACGAGAAGGAAAGGCTGGAGAGGTTGGAGCGGCTGCCATGGAGTGACACGCGTGGCGGGGCAAGAAGAGCAAGGATAAGGATATGTGATGGGGCGCGGATGGAAGAAGTGGTGCTACACTGCTACCCTCGCTGGACTCGCCTCGCACCTCAGCTTCATTTTTAGAGCTGTATGCAGTGCGGTGGTGAATGGATACCGCCGCATGCATATCAGACCAGGGAAAGTCAAGGTACAAGCGCACGATAAGTGTCACGAAGTATTACCGGGTGGCCTGTGGGGTCGGTCAGCCATACAGGAGCTGTGAAAGCTCGCAGGAGCTGAGAAAGCTCTCGTGTAGAGAACAGACTAGGGTTGGAGGCTGGAGGCTGGATTGAGGGGCCAAGTCGTCCAGACGGCGGAAGATGGAGGTAGATATTCTATATAGCGGATATAGTTGGAAGCAGGAGAGTTCGGTAGCTTTGCATGAGGTGAAGCTTCAGCGGTCGTTGGTGGCGGGCCATGTGGTTGGGAGCACAGGAGGGGAGGTTGGATGCCAAGGAATGCTTGGCAGGCATCCCCTATCCGAGTCACGTGCAGAGCTCGGTCATATCGACTCCTGTCATCCATATTGACTCCATCATCTCTCCACCAGAATCCTCTCAACGCCGACCGTCGCCTTCGATTTCGCCCGCCTTCCCCCCACCGCCGACATGTGCTGTCGCAATGAGCACAGATTGCGAGCAAGATGATGATCTCTTTTGGCGAAAGACTCGGCAGGAGGAATACGATACCTGGTACAACCGCGTCTTGACCCTCGCCTTTATCGAGCTGCTTGGACGTTGGAGACAAAGGTAAGGCATGAGACCATTCCTGACTGGGACAATATGTGTTAGATATGGCCCTATGCGACATCTTCCTGAAGCATCCACGGTGGAGTCCATTGCGAAGAAAACTTCCATTCCTGTTTCCAGAGTTCTCTGTGTCTTCACCCACAAAGGCTGGACAAACATTGCCACGGAGAGACTCAAGAGCCAAAGCATTGTGGTGGATGGCAGTCGAGATCGGCTGAGTTCAAGGCTAAGATTATCCGACAACTGAAGGGGATGATACAAAGCATGCGCTCTCTCAAGCCTCGCTCTGTGGCCGTGCCAACGTCAATGGAGGCCGCTTGTGGGACTGCCGACTGCTCGGGAAGTCTATGGACATCGCACTCGTCGAGAATATTAATGTCGCCAAACAAAGTCTTCGAGCTGGCTTAGATGCGCCATCCGACAGCCTGCGGGCGACAGTCAACGAGGTCATTCGGCTACACAATCGCGACTGGCCTCCGCCTGTCCTTGCACATTGCAATTTGAGTAGCCTAAACATTCTTGCAGAAGGAGACAACATTACCGGATCATTGACTGGGAGACAGCTGGATGGTACCCCTACTACTGGGAATGCACCACAGCCTACCAGGTCAATCTTCGAAACACCTTGTGGGCGGATGAATTTCAAAAGTTTTTGGAACCTCTGCCTGACGAGCTTCGCATGGAGCGGATGCGCCAGCCCCATTTTGACGATTTCTAACGCTTAACATCTTGGGAACAGGAATGGTGACATGTCTCCCTCTACTGCAGCTGATCAGCGTCCACAAGATCTGCCACATTCTCACAGACATGGGCATCGTAGGAAAACGATCCAGAAAGTAACGGACTTAGGACTTACGACGGCCTTACTGCTCGAAACAAGTCGCAGAGGTCGAATGAGGTAAGCACTTCTAGCTCAATACACCCAGAGATATATGAGGCGTGCCAACAGTGAGTGCTGTCTTCTACTCTGTGACTTTCCAGAACTTTTCAAACATTTGCGTACTGCTGTAGAAGATGCATCTTAGACAAGCACCAATTGTCCTCGGTCCAGGCATGACACCTCGCGAACAAGCAGCCGACGCCGTCCTTCGATTTGTCCAGGCTCTAGATCAAGGAGACGAGGACCTCATCCGCTCAGCTTTCACGAAAGACGGCGTGCTCGACATCTCCGGCTTGAGCCGCGCCTCTGGCAAAAGCCATCCCCCGCAGGAAGGCATTGACAATATCGTCAACGGGGTTCTTGCGCACGTGGGATCGATGTGCTCATCTCACCACCTCAGTAACTTCCGTGTCAAGTTGAACGAGACTGCCGATCACGCTGAGGTGCACTGTTATGCGCTGGCGCAGCATTTCCGACAAGGCGAAGGACATGACCCGAGTCAGAGGGACTATGTGCTGTATGGAAGTACATACTGGGCCGATGTTGTTAAGGAGGGCGATGGCGAAGGGGAGATGTGGAGAATGAGGTGCGTTTCACCCTATATGCCCTGGCGCTGAAGCCTGCAGGATATCGCGCCGGGAGCTAGTCTTGGCGACTGCTACCATTGATTGGGTGCGGGCTAACAATTTTCACATGTACAGGCGAATCGAAGTCGAAAACATCTGGTCCGAGGGCGTACGTAGTGTCGTGGATTGATTCGGCGGGTGGTACTGTTTGCACGAACGTTGCGCATGCATCGCTCCATCAAGGTTGTGGGGTAGAATTTGCATCGCTAATAGTTCAGAGCTCCTGTTTATCGACTCCAGCCTGTTTGATCTCATTGATTCGAGCAAGATTGACTTTGTTCGGTGCTTGGCTGACCTCTATCTCAACTCCGAGAGCTCGAAATCGTGATATATGGGTGCTTCAATTCTAGGCCAGCGCAGCGGTTCGACAGGATGGATGAATCATTACAAGAATTGAATTGGCGTCCTGTTGTCTTCGTTCATGTAATCGTACAAATCAGCTTCCCCTTTGTCAAATTCGCCTCCATCTGTCGATGTGCCTCCTGAATCTGTTCCCATGGATACACCTTCTCCACGTAGTTCTTCAGTCTCCCATCCCTAAACATCGGCAACGCATGTTCTACCAGCTGATCTCTCAACTTGCCCTGATATGCCTCGTCCCGACTTCTCAGACTGCTTCCCTCATATCGTAGTCGTTTCCTGACAAAGTTCCCAAAATCTGCATTCGTATCTTTCAACTTGGTACCGCCCAGAGTAGCAAGATTGACGATCCGTCCGTCTTTGGCTGCGGCGTTGAGATTTCCTGCAAAGGTATCCGGGCCGACGAAATCGACAATGATATCTACGCCTTTGCCGTTCGTCGCTTTGAGAACTTCTTCATCCCAATTGACCTTCTTTGTGTTATAAGCCGCCTTCGCACCGAGCTGTTTCACGCAGAAATCGCATTTGTCGTCCGCTCTCGCAGTGGCATAGACTTCGCTGGCTCCGTTGACTCGACTCAATTGCTGGCCTGCAATGCTCACGGAGCTGGCACCCGCATGCCACAGGATACTCTTCCCTTCCGAAAACTCTCCAATGAGATACATGGCTTGCAGAGCCGTGATCCATGTCTCTGGTATGCCAGCGCACTCTTCCCAGGACAGCTCGTCCGGCTTATGCACCAGCATGTGTGTGCTCACGGCAATGTATTCAGCGTACGCACCACCATATGCCAGGCCAAAGACTGCATCTCCCTTTTTGAATGACGACTCGGATTCGTTGCCTAGCTCTTCGATCGTTCCGCTGAATTCTACGCCCAATGTGCTAGGTGCTTGAGGAGGCACAGGGTATTTTCCTTCGCGTTGCAGGGTGTCCATGCGGTTGAGGCCGAAGGCTTTTACTTTGACGAGCGCCTGAGAACCGGTGGGGATCGGTCGGGGAGTGTTCGAGTTCATGTACAGGTTTTCGATTGGGCCTTTGCCGTCTTTGATTTCTGTAACGATTGGACGTTAGAGATGTGAGCATGAATGGGGCTTGGAGGGGAATCGGTATACCAATTGCTCTCATAGTCGCCATGTTTGCTCAAAGCGTTAGATGGGACGCACCAGTCTCTGCTCTTGGAACTGTTCGTGAGAAATCGAGAAGCTTTGAAAGGCGAAGGAGAGATGTACAGAGAGTGGAATTGCTTTGAAATCAAAACTGCATCATTCACATGCAAAAGGTGCCCACTCGATGACGAAAGCGGGGTGCGTTGGCCGGCGTGTGATGCAGGTACGACATTGCGCATCACGCGCCTGATTCTGGGCAACACAAAAGCTATTTAATACACACGAGGTATGCTCATGCGTTCGAATACGTCCAGATATTCTAGGCTGCACAGCTGTATAGTTCATGATGAATTCGTACCCCCACCAGTCCATCCTTGCAACTCCTCTTCAAGGTCACACTATATCTGCTTGGGAAGGAGACCATTACACCCATCATAATAACATCCTCATATCAGCTACAGCGTCGGCCAAGCCTCGTCAATCGGCTCCAACTCCCCAGACCCGTGGAATTTCTCACAAATGGTAGCCTGCTCACTCAACATAAACCTCTCGGCCTGTCCTCCAACCTTACTTAGACCTCTCCACCTCTCAAAATCGTCTTTATTCCGCTTGTCTCCATGCGCTGCTTCGGGATTCTCCCAATGCCCTCTACTGAATCCGAGGAGAGTAGAGATCCTCCCGTTGGGGATGTCGTAGACAAGTGAGCAGATCGTTCCAGTTTCTTCGAGCCAATTGCATTGCCATAGTTCCCCGGGTCGGATGCACTGATATGTTGCTGTTTGGAAATTTTTGCGGCCCGCCATTGGACCGCCGTGGATTGCGTAGACTATGCGGTTCTGTGGACATCGTGAGTGGGTGTGTGTTGATAGGTAATGAGACTGCGTCGTGAGCTTACCTGGCTGAAGAACCACATTTCATACCGCCATTTTTCTGGGTTTCCATTGGCGTCTTGTGCATCGTAGTCGTAGATCAGGTGAACATCTTTGATGTCTTGATCGAAGGTAGAGTCGTTTGGCATCTTGTAAGAGAGATGAAATTGGGATCTTTTTCCTGCTGGAAATGCTTGTATGGAGTGTCCACAAGCGATACAAAAGAGATCCTGGTATATATACCTACCTATTGAGAACACAAACCTAGTCTCTCCATGCGTTGGATCATATTTCGGCTTCGAGGCCCGGCTGTTGTTTGGAAAGAGAGAGAAAGGTAAGGCAGTTGGGTTTTCAATGGCGGCTTCTGACGGTGTCTTGCCACTGTGACGTCTTCCGAAGCTTGCCGAGGACGACGTCGCTTAACTCTCGGCCGTCTTTTCGGTAGCAGTTTACAACGCCAGAACGAACTTTAATTCCCCCAAAACAAGGTCGTGGAGTGCGCAGGAAGACGCTGATATTCCAAAGTATCTGATGAATCTGGGTGGATGTCAGTGTTGGAACAGCGACGACCCAACCGAGAGCGTCGAGATGTACTGAATGGGTTATCAGCAAATACTGGATAGGAGCAACCATTCACAGTTCTTTCAGATAATATGCTCGTCAGGATTTGCGCTCTATAACAAATCTCTTCCATAGAGCGGATTCCAGCTCTCAGCGACATTCGGCCCGTGCTTCTCGCCTCTCAAAGTCCCAAGAGCTTCTCAGTGCCTTCTACCGTCCTCTCAAGAGCGCGAAGATGTCCTGGAAGATGTCGCGGAAGAGGCCGTGAAGGCGTTGCGAGCACAAGGAGCGACAGGTTGCCGGACGGCTCGTTGGCCGCATCGGACCTCTAGGCGACGCAAGTCAGAAACCGTCTCGAATACTCCGAATGGGCGTACAGGGTACCCCAAGCCTCTGGATCTGCCGTGATAAGCCACACAAACCCGGCAGTCCGCTTCACCGCGGGAGGAAGGATGTGAACGACCATCACGTCCTGATACTCGGACAGCAACTTTCCAAGTTTCGTGCTTCCACGCGCTTTGAAGCTGGTTGTGAGGTATCGGCGGATAGTCAAGCTTGTGGGCTTCTCGAGAGTGTCGAGGGTTTGCAGAAACAGCTCGTCGATCGTGGCTCACGCGCTACCATGCGTAGATGCACGAATTGGACAATCTTGGTCTTCGTATCATGTGGACCTTGGAGAAGAGAAACGACCGGCCGTACATGTGCTCCAACAATGCACCCACGACTTCTCCAGTTTTAGGAATGGAGCTCAAGGTCGTATTGAGAAACGGTTCGTTGGAAATGCTGCTCCGCGCGGATACTTGTTGCCCCGCAGCTAGTCTGTAGCTGCACCGAGGATAACATCGTGCGCTGAAAACGGCCGTGTCTTGGAGAGGACGAGGACGTCATAGTCGCGACCGGTCGTCGACATACTGTGTCGCTTATCAACCGCGAAGCGAGGCTTTGGCTGTGCGCGAGACGTACTCTCCGAGAATGGCATTTGCCAGAGACGCATCCATTGTTGTGGTAGATGCTGTGTAGAATTATGGCGGTGAGCGTGGTTGAAGTGGAACACTTGCAGCTTTGAGAGATGTGCCGCATATTGACGGAACGACATGTGACAGCGTGGCTTGGGATTTCTGCCTGTTGACATGTGGGTCTGTAAGACGAAAATGGTGTTCGATCTTTTCCCTCTAGTCCGACCCGCAACGCTACCTCCCGTTTACGACGCTCCTTAGATATCCTTTATTTTGCCCTCTTGACTCCAAAACGCCCACGCTATGCATCCCATCGTTCCATTCCCTGCTCTCATAGACCTTGTCGTAAACGTTCCCCGAGCTTTTGCTTTCCAAACTGGTAGATCTTCAACAATCCTTCCTCACTCAAGTCGATACCGCCCTGAAGATTGGGCACGTCTTGCGCTGGTGGTCTGCTGACTCGACTCGCGATGATGACTGGGTCTGTCTCGAGGATGATGCCATCGTCCACTATTTCGTCGATGCAGAGGGATGCGAGGTCGTAATTCTCGATGAGAGTGCGCTTATCGACGGAGTTCCTAAAGGACACATATGTTAGTATCTTGCAGACCCCAGATAGAGCTTGACACTCACTTCAAGAGAATGTTCAAGCTGTCCCTTAGCGCCAGAATGACATTGTAGAGCATAATCTCGTTCTCGTCTGCTCCTCCCACTACGTAGAGCATGACATCTGCCTCCATCTTGAACACGACAACCCGGTTGTCGTATAGGATGACATCACTCGTTTGTTTCGCAGTCTTCTCGAGAAGGCCCTTCTCGAATGCCTTTTGGTCCTTGAGAATCGGGTATGGGTTTGCGCCGGGATAGTTGTTGCCCTGAGCGTTCTGAGGAATATGTGGTGGAGAGTAGTATTTGGCCAGAATTCGGGACGAGTCGTCGGTGGAGAGGATGAGAATAGCATTCACCGAGAACAGGGACATGTTGGGTGCCATGATTGCGGTGTTGTTGAGGTAGATCTGTCGATATGGAAAGTCAATGATACAGCTGGAAGTGAGGTGGGACTGGAGGCCCTGAGATGCGGCATTGCAGGGCCGGCCCGCAGAGCCGCACTGTAGCTTTGCGGCGAAACTTCCACTCCCGATAGTTCTACTTCTAGCGCATGCAGTAATCTTTGCACTCCGAGACGGTTTCGACAGTAACGTCACGTACCTTCAACTCGATCCTCTCAGATTCGTTGCGAGCTCTGTCTCATTTGCGGTACTCGTGAGCCCGTGGATCCCGCGATTTGCATTGACGCAGCGTCTGGAGTCGTTTAATGCTTGCTTTCCATCTGCAGCGAGCGCAGCTGGAGCTTTCGTTCCATCGCGCATGGCTCACGTCCTTCACTGGGAGATGTATACTTCCAACCAGACGATATGCCTCTACCGACCTCGACCCTATCTCGAGGCTCTCCGGCCAGCGAACATCTCAGAAACCAAAGCGGACAGAGAAAGGCACTGTCAAAGCTGCCGTGAAGCGAAAAGTCAAGCTGCGAAATCAGGCATTCGGTGTATCTCAAGAAGTCTCCAAGCTGCCGGATGCCGTAGGAGAACTGCTCTCCGCGATTGAGGACTACAACATCAATAGCGTAATCGCTGCCTACAAAGCCCTACCGGAGTCGAAGCCACTAACTGGCGATCAAACCCGCGCGCTCGCGCAGTGTGTTCATGAATGCATAAGGAGGGAGTTCTTGTTCAAAGATGAGAGAGCCAGGCGGAGAGGAGAGGTGGACCGACTTGTTCAGATGGGGATGCGGATGGTTCAGGACATTCGCAAAGGACGATTAGAACCAAACGTACCAGCGCATGTGCATCTACTGGGGATGTTCAAGGAGTCCAACAGTCGAGATGCCGGCATGGAGTTCTGGCAATGGCTCGAGACGCAGGACGAAGACTACGTGAACCTCGACTGCTATGCTGTAGCGATCGATATTCTAGCAGTCAATGGCGCGCCGCTGGCAGAACTGGAGGAGCTGTACCAGAACGCCTTGGCCCGTTTTCCAGGCACATTCTCTGCCTATCACTTGGCACCGAATGCTATTATATCTGATCGGGAGCGAGAAATCAATATTCCAGATCTGCCGATGCAGCTGCTGCAGTCAATTAGCCATGCCCGACTTATGAGAGGAGAAACAAAGAAAGCATATCTGGGACTGGACACTGCGCTCAGGATATATCCGGCCACACTCAACGAGCGCTTTCTCAGGGTCTTCAAGAACGAACGGCCCTTGTCGGAGTTTTACACAATCTTCGCCATGTTCTGTCGAGCTGGCATACCCATGGCACCTAATTCCTTCAACGGAATGCTCTCTCAAATTCGACTGAACACGGACCAGCATACGCACAGCCGCATCACATTGTTGAGAATATTGCTTTCGGCCATGTACCTGCAGATCAGCGCAGGTGGTACTATTCTTTCTAATGCGGTCGCCGAAGTGATCATCGCAGCCACCCAGACTTTGCGTCTTCCCGGCGTTGCCAGCTTGCAGCCGCAGTTCCGTACCAAGATTGTAGATGATATACTCGACTTCTGCCGGGTCACGATGGAGGTGTTCGCCCGGTACGGTATTCTACCGAGCATCTCAGCGTTCAACTCCATCATCACGAATGTTGCAGGGTACGGCCAATCGATTAAGGTTGTCGGTATCGCTTTGCGTGATATGGAGCGCCTTGGTCTGGAACCAAACGAGGTCACAAGACGATCACTCATAGTGACTGCTGGGCTGTTGAGGAATGGTGACTTGCTATTCAAGTCCTGGCGCGACATCGGTGAAGCACGCAAAGAAAGAGGCAAACACCCAGATTTCCTTGATTTCAAAGTCTTCATTACAGCTGCAAGACGCATTGGCAATGAGGATAATGTCCTCACTACGGCTCGCTCAGAAATTGAGAAATATAAAGCTGCTGGGTTGTCTGATTATCTTCAGAGAGCGATTGATCAGCAGCTTTCCGAGGATTTCTCAGAAGCTTCGCCGAGCATGGATCAAGTCGTCGACGCCGGCCTGTTGTTGAACAACATCGAACAAGTGAAGAAGGACTTGATGTTCATCGCAGAGAAGACGAAGGACAGACCAGATACACAAGACTTGTTGTATGAGAGCCCACCGATGACGTTGCTCGATTGTTCGCCCTTGAACATATCAGACACAGAGATGAGGAAGATATACGACGAGTATACCACTGAACAAGCGGCCAAGGGACAGACGGAAGAAGATCAGACGGAAGACTCGAGTTCGACTGAGACGGCTACTTCACCACCGATGAGCTCCACGGGAATCCCTTTCGGCCAGTTGCGCTTCGAGAATTGGAAGACTGTCAATTACCTTCTCTGGCTTTCTGAAAAGCATGATCGCACGTACGGAGAGATCGTTGATGATGCTATTGGGAAGGGTGTAAGACCTCCGCCGCGACATGTGGGACTCACAAAAGACGAAATGGAGGAAGTGCAAACGCGAGGCTTTGGCTTCAGTGAGCCGAAGACTGATTCGCCCCAGATATCCAGTGCAGTGCAAGTTGCAAACGCCAGGGATATTATTGCGCGATTGCGGACTCTGGAGGCGGAGTGATCGGTGTGGTATTGAGCGGTGTGGTATTGAGCAAAAGAGTAAAAAGGCTCCTTGGCCGTAGGCTTTCTTCCCGGGAAGGACAGTGTAGAGGAATACTTGGAAGAGGATCCATGATTCGTACGCCACGTCGGCCTTGACAGAATACCGAGGTCGATTTTGGAGAATGAAACGGAGATGTCCGAGTGTTCGAACAGTGTTGAAGGTGGCGAGGAGACTGCGTCGTAATGCTCTAGGACGATCCAGTTGAAGACGATGAGAGTTCGACTAGTGAGCATCAGGGCGATGCAGCCGATGAAGTTCGAGAGACCGGGTTTGCCTGTGCGGGCCGTGCCTGAGCAGGTGTGGCCTGTATGCGAGACAATTTGGCGTGAGGCTTGGGCACGCTGTAAGAGTAGGGATGGGAGAGAAGAGACGAGAGCAGAGATGGATCACAGGAGAAGAATGAAGAGCGGCCTGAGAGGCGGAAAGACAGTGTATCGAATCCGAAGGTGTGAGCCCCGGTTCGAATCGAAATCTCAGCTGAGCATCAAGCTTCTTTCCTTGCATGCCTTGCGATTGCCCTCGACTGCCATTTTGATGTAGGATGCGGCAAAGGTTGGTTCCTGTCGGATTTTATACTTCCCATCTACGAGTCGGCAGATTCCGAGGCATGGCACCGAAATCGTGAACTGACCGTGATTTGACGGTGCACGGACTTCAACGTCACATGCATATCATATAGAGATAAAGCTATCTCTCTCTCCTCTTTTATAGATAGTTGGAGACGATCTACACGCGAATTTGGGCGCCATGCTCATGCCCGTGTCAGTATCGTTTTGTTGGACATTGGGGTAGCTATCACGCTTGTTCCCTAAGCAGGGATAGGAGAAGGGGTTGGACATAGTTCGTTTGAACTCGAGTTGATGGTGAGCTGTGCGGCGCCGATTTGTGCTTTCGAAGACTACTAGATTGGATGTTTTTGGTCGGGAATTACTTTTGGGCTGAGCGAGTGGTTTGAGTGTTGAAGCAGAGCCTCATATCAATGCCTGTATACGTTGCGAGAAAGTAGACATTCTCGAAGAATGGTCTCTTCGACCTTGAGTACTTACATACAGTGAGTATCTTGTGAAAGTCTCATGGCCATGTCTCCCTTGCTTGAAGGGTGCATTCCACCTCAACCATTTGTTATAGCAGCGTTTGATACGCATGACAAATCCCTCTGCCTTGTACTGCGACCATATAGCTCATCTTCCACAGAGCTCCAAGATTTTGGACCAAGGCTGATGGCTCTTCAGCCGCTAATAAAGTCTGTCGTCTTCCAGCCAGGCAATACTCGTGCCCTTCAAGACCTCTCGAATACTTTCAGAGTCATCCAGGTTCAGCGTCAAGTACATTTCGTAAGGTCCGTCCGAAACACTGAAATGGAGCAAATAATCAAGGCCCTCGCTCGCGCAAACGTCGCTGATTGACGCGGATACAATGCAATGATCCGGCTTGAGGAGGAACTCTTGAATGCAGTCGTCTTGCGCTGAAAGCAGAACGGCGGCTATGTCGAGGTTTAGGAGTGTGTCTTGGTGACGTGCCAAGAACGACCGCAGATCATCCGAGTCTACGACCAAGTCCTGTAGGCTCAGAGCTTTGAGCGCTGGAAAAGTGTTTTTTAAAACTTGCGTCGTACTCCTGCCGTGGCGAGATAGCCCCCCACTGAGTTCCAAAGTGAGCAGGCGATTTGACTGGGCGAGAATTTGAGACAGCGTCGATTTGTCGTGGTAGCGGCGCCCATCATACCAATGCCCAGAAAAGCTGAAAACCACGAGCTTCTTGAAAAACTCGTGCTGGGCCAAAAGATGCTGCTGCTCGAACGTATAGCCATCAATTGCTCCGGTTATACGGAGAGTGTCGACGCCGCAGTCAGGCTGACCAAGAGCTTGGAGAAGGACTGAGAAAGCGAACGACGTTCCGGGAGACTGCATGCACAGGAGATAATCGGGATCGACTTCTAATTCCTTCAGGTCCGCAAATCCTCGGACTGCCGTAGACAAAAGCTGGCATCGAATTTGAGCTCCGTGGCTTTGAGTCATGGAGAATTCGTCTGCGCCGAGCGTTCCAGGAATGCAAAGTCTGCGGACGTTGCCGGACAACTCTTTGTGGGCAGAAATCTTGGCGAGGCGATCAAGGCCGCATTGGCTGAGATTGGTTGTCCTCTCGGTGAAGAATTTCTTTGCGAAGACTTTCCCTGCACACTTCTTGAGATAGCGGCAGGTCAACCTGAAGTTGCCGAAATCCTCGGCGATGTCAAGATGGGTGCTGATGGCTTCGACGAGCTCAGCGGCGAGGTCCACGAGCAGCGCCTTGAGGATTGGGCTGATGTCTTGTGACATGGCTGTGTCGATGGGTGATGGTGTGGTGGCAGTTGCGGTGTTGCGAGGCGTGTTGACGGTGCTGACTTCTTCATCCATTGCCGCGACGATGTTGTGGTGGTCCACGAGCAACAATGGTGACGTTTGATGATGTGTCGGTAGAGTGAAGCGTGAAGGATCTTTGGCTGACGGTAAAACTTTTTTGTTGCTCAGAAGGAAGGCGCGGCCTGTAAACAGAGTTTCGCTTAAAGCACGGACCTATTTCTTGCATGTGACACTCGGGCTCTCAATCTGACATACACCTCCATTGCAGCACGCCGATGCATATTTTGCAGAACCCTCCAAGCCATGGCGCGGCGTCAAATCCTGTCACCACTTTTCGGATTCATTTAGATTCAATCAGGCTCGACCTACTTGTCGAGATTTCTGAGCAGCCAGAATTCGCAAAGGCGGTCAAGAAGCTAAAGATCACCCCTGTACCGCTATCTCGAGAGGTCGAGGATCGAGGCCTTTTGAGCCAAGCCTGAAAGTACTCCACCTTCAAGTTGAAAGATGCACGGTCGGACTGGCTTGAGCGAAGCTTTCAGGACCTGCGTTTGCCTCAGCTGAAAGTGCTACACCTGGTCGAAATCAGCCAGGACGAGAAGTTAGACCTCGAGACTTTCGTCGTTCGGCATGCGAAGACTCTCTGTAGTTTGTATTTGTATAGAATGACGCTCGCAGGGCATTTGAATGAGATGGTTTCAATGGACTGAGCTCCCTATGGGCCAAAGAGCTGAATCTAAAGAGAGTTCCATTGCCCAGAACCGTGATCTCAGCCCGACTTGATCGAGTCTATCAGAGATCTGGCGTTCTCTTGGATCCAGCATTATATACAGCTTCCGGGAGGCATCGTGTGGAAACGCACGCTACTTCACCGCAGTGCGCTGGAGGAGCCGGGATGTGCGCAAGGAGGGCGGGCCTCAGTCCGCACACCCACAGCACGGATGGCGAAGCAGCAAAGAAGACATGCGATCGCGCGAAGTTGCTGTCTGTCCGAGAAGACGATGCCTTGCTCAAGAACCAAGTCAGAGACTGTTTGGTCGCAGCTCGCTTCATATGACCGGTCGGGGGAGTGGTGTCAGGAGCATAGACATCGCGCACGAAGGTTCGATATGGCTGCCTGGTCGAGTGCCGCACGCGTGAGTTACAGTGAGGTAGAAGAATGGTCCGTGGATGCATGTTACGGCGATGGGAGATGGAGAAGATAAAGAGATGGCGCTGAAGTCCGTCAGATACGTGCGAAATCATTCGTTAAAGTTCCAGGAAGACGATGACTTGGGTAGGCTCTAGTCAGAAAGACTCCCACAAAGCTGGGATTTGCATTCATGTCTCTTTCCTCCGGGGTTCGTCTCTTCGTTGGGCTTCAGGCTTTTGGCATGAGATGTGAAGTCGAAGCTGCCTCGCTCCTGCCTTTTCCAATTTTATCCCTCACGCACTCTGCCTTCATCCTTTCTAGGTTGTTCTTCAATCTTCAATCTTCATTTTTCATGCATCATCTTTCCGCCTCTCCACAACTTCATATTGGAAGGAGAATTAGGATATTTCGTATTCCACCCCACGGAACTTGGACGCTTCACCGGCAAAGCTGCCAGCGCCGACTTCAGCGACCATTCCTCAGGCTAGCAGCCTCGCTACAATTCATCCACGTCAAAGCCTTGGAAATGCACATCTGCAATTGCTGCCGTCTCGAAAGCGAATGCAGTGTGCGGAGCCGTGCGCTGTATTTGACCGACCATGCTGCAATTCGAGCAACTCCACCTGGAACCTGAACAGTACACCCAAGGCACCAGATCTTCACGCAGAGAGTCATGCACAACTGTTTCAGAACATCCACCAGGAAGTAACGACAGCATCGGGAACGCAGAGGGCAAGCTAGTGGATTCATTGGATCATAGGCATTTGGTATCGCCTACTCCAAGCCGCCTGAATGCAGTGGGAGGCTCTTGTCCTCGCACCGGCGTTTCTGGTCCTGGTAGGATCTCTCGCAGTAGAGTATTGACATCGTTGCCGACATCCTTGGCATCTTGCCACTGCCTCGGATACCCAAGGCTGACTTCCTCGAAGCGAACGCCGTCGATCCAGTCCGTCCGCCTGACGTGCAGATGACCGGTCACTACAACCTTGGCATTGAAGCGAGTATGCCAGTCATTAGTCTCCTTGGTACCGCACCAAAGGCTGAATCGCGGGACCCGCGGAATGAAGACGGTGTCTTCCCTCAACGGCCAGTGGTTGATGATGACCAAAGGGAGTCCGGAAGCAGCGGCCTTCTCCAGCTTCGCTTCACTTTCCGATACCAGACGGGTGCACCAGGCGTCTCTGGTTGCGTAAGGATCTGGATGCAACAGCTTTTCGTCGGTCGCCTGGATACCCTCTTCCATGGCCCAATCCAGAGCCTGCTCCCGCGAGATGTTGTCGGGACGAAAGCTGTAATCGTATAAGGTGAAAATGGGACAGATCAAGGCACGTTCTTGCGTCCCATCTGCCGTTGTATAAGGCCAGGTCATATAATCATCCTCAGGAGTCAGGACACCGTAGTGCCGTGCCACTTTGACGCAGGCCTTGTACTTGGCCTCGCCCTTGAGAGCTTTCTCCTTATCACTGATGTTTGGCGAAGAGGTGGTATACAGCTCATGGTTTCCTGGCACCCAGAAGACATGTTTGAAGCGGCGACTGGCTTTCCGAAAGGCTTCCTTCAGGTGGTCAAGGTTTTCGCCCACTGACGTGGTTAGCCATGAACGGGGGCAGATGGAAGGGGAGCGGCGTACCATCACCAGCCAGGATCAATCCGTCTTCCTTCTTGGCCTTCAGCTTGGCCCATTCTTCTCTGTTACTCTTGAAGGACAGGTGGATGTCTCCGATGGCCCATAGCCGCATCTTGGCGGGATGGAGTTGCGGTGTGGCGGTGGCCTGATCAAGAGCGCGCAGCAGTAGCGGCGATAACGGCTATCACCCGATCAAATGAAGCAAGATATCGCTATCCTACGAGCATTACTCTAACCGATAAGGTGTTCGATGTCGTCGCCTTTCTAGTGTTTGGAGAGCGAGGACTCGAGCCTACGTCCATCAGGATCAGCAAGCAGCCGCAAAGCGGAAAGCGGGCAACGCTGTCTGTCCTCCACAGGGCACTCCCTCTTCCCCGTGCCTCCGTCCCACGAAAGCTAAATTCGCGAGCTTGGCATCATCCAGCGCACAGCGAGCTCACCTCTCCAATCTCTTGTCACGAGGCAGACAGACCTGGCGACGAGACTCTATGCTGCACGACTACCGCACCGAAGAGCTGGTGACATTCCAGCCATCGTGTGATGATGCTGGCGAAGACGAGACACGATTGCCCGCGGGTGCCGATGCAAGACTCCGCATGCGACAGGTCTGTGACGGACGGACGCGACCCGACCGGTCCTCCCGGGCCACTGCCCCCTCGCTAAACGGGAACAGGCGCGGCGCGTGTCAGTTTGTGTTGTGGCGCATCATGGCGTGGCCCAGGGTGAAGAGGCAGGAAGAAGATGCCAATGTGGAAAAGAATGTTGGAGTCAGGATCTCAAGCGGAGAGATGAGCTCGTTGGTGGTGTCGTCGAATTGTGTGGACCGAACGGCCTTCACATGTGATGATGAGCAGCAGCAGACGACGCGGCCACGGAGACGCCCAGGTTCTAGAATTCCGCCCACACGCCTGTTGTTGAGAGACGCTCTCGCTCTCCGGCCAAGTTCTAAGAAAAGCAGAATGTGCGCTAAGGGAACGCGAGTCCCCCTGCCAGCCAATCAGGGCGCGGGAGAAGCCGTGAGCCGTCGCCCGTGTCGCACGAGGGACCGGCCGCAGCAGCCCTCCCAAAACCACTGTCGTATCTTCCTCCGCAGCGTTGCATCTCTCCTGTTGTCCTGCCCGTCCTGTCCATACCTACTACTACCAAATACACACTGTACGCTTCTTCACCCTTGGACTCTCGTTCTCACGCCTTTGACGACTACGCGACTTCCATTCTTATCCCTAGACCCTTTGTTCATCCCTCCGATCAAACTGCTACAGGGATCCCTCCTTTCGCCAAAGCTTGGGCGACACATCGAACAGCGTTCCGGAACACTTCTCCGACAGGCACCCGACAGGGTTATTGGGAGCAGAGAGAGGACTGCCAACTCTTGCACTTGAAACAGGAACACCTTCAGGGCCCCATCTTTGATCTGTACAAAGTTTGATTCTCAGAAAGGGGACTGTCGGAGGATTACAGCACGACACTTCCACAGGGCGAGGGCGCCGACCTCACGCGACCATGCGGTCCCTCTACCGCCAGCTTCCTTTGTTCTTGCTCAGTGCTCTGCCGGTCGGCGTGCTGGGCGGCGACATACTTACCACAGACGGCTTCTCAACATGTGTCTCCGATCCTTCGATCAAGGTGGAGGCTCTCAATGTTACGTACAACCGATCCAACAGGAAAATCATCTTCGATGTGGCGGGTTCAAGCGCGGAGAGCCAGAAGGTATTGCTCAACCTGGTTGTGAGCGCATACGGCCAGCAGGTCTATACGAAGGAGTACGACCCTTGCGATAATGCCACCAACATGGTGGACTCCACCGAGGCATACTCGCACATGTGTCCAAGTAAGAGTCAATTCTCTTGAATGCCGTCTTAGATCGATGTCGGCTGACTGAACCTAGTTCCCGCCGGTACCTTCTCATCGAGAGGCGAACAGACGATCCCCGAAGAATACGCGAGCAAGATCCCCTCGATCGCATTTTCCGTCCCTGACCTCGACGGCCTTGTCAAACTCGAAGTGAAGAGCGAAGATGGCACGAAGGACCTCGCATGCATCACATCAACCGTTGGAAATGGACACACATTCAACATGCCGGCGATCTCGTATGCTGCCGCGGGTGTCGCTGCGGCGGCGCTCGCTTTGTCTGCCGCAGGAGCGTTAGCATCGGCTGGCGCTCCTGGAGTCTCAACACCATCGCCTACGTTTGGTGAAGTGATTGGATGGTTCCAGGGTATGGCGACGAACGGCATGTTGAGTGTCCAATATCCGGAGGTATATCGGAGCTTCGCGACAAACTTCGCCTTTTCCACTGGATTGCTCCCTTGGGGCCAGATGCAGACTGCCATTGACAACTTCAGAAACACGACGGGCGGCAATTTGACGGATAACAATTACTACTACTTGAGGAATAACGCGACACTGGTGTACGATTCTGGAAGCACAGACTCATCGAGCGTCAGCAAGCGAGCGCTGAACAGCATTCTTCTGTGGGCGCGCGATGGAACTACTACGAGTGTCAACGGAACCGACGCCTCGACTGGAAGTGGCGCTAGCAATAGCACCTCCACGTCCAGCTCCAAAGACCAGCACTTCGTCAGCGGAATCCAGGCCTACGTGGAGAAGCTGTCGATCCCTTCAGCCAACACTTTTATGACCGTTCTTTTGGTCTGGGCTATTGTCGTCGCAGCCATGATTGTCCTGATCCTGCTCTTCAAAGCCATTCTCGAACTCTGGGCACAGTTCAGTAAGCTTCCGAAAGGCTTAGAATCTTGGCGCAAGCGATACTGGTGGAGAATGGCCAAGGGTATTACCAACCTGATTCTCCTGCTCTACGGTGTCTGGGTGCTTTACTGTGTTTACCAATTCAAGGATGGAGACTCCTGGGCTGCGAAGCTTCTTGCCGGTATTACTCTGGGACTCTTCACTGTGCTCTTAGCTGGATTCTCTTGGAGGATCTACGCGAAAGCTCATCAGTACAAGAAGCTCGAAGGTGCACCGGATAAGCTTTACGAGGACAAGGAGACATGGATCAAGTACTCCCTCTTCTACGACAACTACAAGAAGAGCTTCTGGTGGCTCTTCGTCCCCGCAATTGTCTACATGTCCGCCCGCGGCGCCATCATTGCCGGCGCATCTGGTCACGGAATGGTTCAGGCCTCCGGACAACTGATTGTCGAAGCCCTCATGCTCATTGTCCTTCTGTGGACACGACCCTACCAGCGCCGCAGCGGAAAATGGATCAACATCACCATCCAATCCGTCCGCGTGATTTCCGTCGTCTGCGTCCTCATCTTCGTCGAAGAACTCGGAATTTCGCAGACTACAAAAACCATCACCGGCGTCGTCCTCATCGTCGTGCAAACTACCCTAACAGCCGTCCTGGCCCTTCTCATCGCCATCAACGCCATCATCACATGTATCAAAGAAAACCCTCACACCAGAGCACGAAGAGAAGCGGCGAAACGGAACAAGGATCTCGATCTCACTCCTTTGGATGCGAGGAACAGTCTTCTACTGGATCCGATGGTACAGAAAGACCACGGATCTACAGCGTACAAAGCTCCACTGGTCGCTTCTTCACCTTTCGCGGATAGCAGGGGTCGCTATGACAAAGTGCCCTACAATACACGCGAGGATTCCCCGGGTGGCAGTGGACGTTACAGAGACGACGAACACCTTATCTCCAGCGCGGCGCCTTTCCATCGGGACTTATCCCAGGACAGGAGAAACAGTGTGGCTTCGCATGCGCATTCGAGGGATCACTCCGTCGATTCGAGGGAGCCGAGATTGCCGGATTTGAACTTTGGAAGGGCATTGTAGTATTGCAGCGAGCATGAGCTAGCAAAAGCGCAAGGAAAGCGGAAGGCATGGATTTGAGAAAATTTAGCGAGCTTTGAGCCAGCAAATGTGCTTCAGTTGTCTTTTTTTGTTTGTACAGGGAGTTGCATAGTCGCGGCGTTCTCCGGGAAGGGAAAGACATCCCCACGAGGTCCGAGGGATGATATACCCAGACACGGCTGAGACTACTTTTGCATTTGTTTATCTGTGTGTGAGTATGATATGTAATTGAAGCTGCGCTGCTGAAGAAGTAGTGGAGTAACCCATGCTAGATATCTACTGCTACGAAGATCTATTCAATGATGAGAGAAGGCCATTGCATTTCATTTCATTTGGATGGGATATCAAGGTTCTTAAAGGCAGATTTGCAGAGCCGACGGCGTTCAAGGCACTGGGCAGCGTCCAAGGCATTGAAACAAACAAACCACCCACATTATAGATCTGATGTCCTATCCAGATCTCCTGATATCGTGTTACTTTCGCTCCCCGGCTGAAGGGATTCACATATCCCGCGCCCGTACCGAAGATCGTCGTCTTCCCCGCACGTGAGAACGATCTCACCCATCACACATGGTGCCATGGTTGCTGGAAACGATATAGTCTCTCTGCGCACCGGTCCTGCATCTGGTGCGCGGATCCGTCATCCATGGCTGTTCAAGCCGGGAACTGACTGACCTAAGACGGTACCCGAACCGTGATCGTGACCGTCGAGCACACCCCCGGCAGCCTCGGAATTCTAAGATCGCGTAGCATTTTATTAGCATATACATCTGTGAGCAATTACTCTACACCAAAAGAAGCTGGCCAGCTGTATCGAGGCGGCGACATGGCGCACTACTCTCACGCGGAGCTGAAGAGACCGAAGCAATTCAATTTCGCGACAGATGTCGTCGACTACTGGGCAGCCAATCCGCCTCCGGGCAACGTCGCTATGCACTGGGTGTCGCAAGACCAGGAGACGGAACGAATCCTCTCGTTTGAACATTTCTCGCGTCAATCCCAGCGCCTTGCCGTATTGTTCAGGGAGGAATTGGGCGTGCAAGCGGGGGAGAAGATGTTGATTATTATGCCCCGAGTGGTCGAATGGTGAGCGAGAGAATGGATTGTCATTTTCACGATTGCTGACGGCGGCGCCTCAAGGTGGGAAATCGCGATAGCAGGCATTCGTTCTGGAATCGTCATTTGTCCGGCTACGACTCTGCTGGTCGACAAGGACATCGAGTACAGAGTGCAGCGATCCGGCGCATCCGTCTTTCTGGGCGACAGTGTCGCCGTCCAGAAGCTCCTCAAGGTCCGAAAGAATTGTCCCTCAGTGAAACATATCTTCCAGCTCGACGGCAAAGCCTCAAGAGGAGTAGTTCTACTAAGCGAGGCCCTCAAATCCGTCCCGAATGATGCCGAGTACTCCGGACCGAAACCAGATATCAAGTCTACATCGATGATCTATTTCACCTCTGGCACGACCGGACCACCCAAGATGGTTGCCCATAACCAGATTTCATACCCTCTTGCGCACACGATAACCGGGAAATATTTCCACAGATTAGAACCAGGCCATCTCTCCTGGGTCCTGACCGAGCAGGGATGGGCAAAGGCAGCGTATGCTTTTCTCGCCGCATGGAATTGTGGCGCTGGTCTTTTCATCCATGATGACAGACAGCCGTTCAATCCTCGGGTCACGCTCGATATCTTGCACCGATACCCAATCACAACTTTCTGCGCTCCGCCTACCGCATACCGGCAGCTGGTACTGGATGAGATGCGCAAGCACTACAGCCAGAACCCTGCCAAAGCACTCAAGCATTGCACTGGAGCGGGAGAGCCTTTGAATCCAGAGGTCATTCGACTGTGGCTGGAAAATACAGGACTCGAAATCTGCGATGGCTTTGGACAGAGCGAGACGATCGTTCTTTGCGGCAACTTCAAAGGTTCAACGATTCGGCCTGGGTCTATGGGAAAGCCGTCTCCAGGAGTCCCTCTGTTCATTATCGACGAGAGTGGCGAAGAGACGGCCATCGATGCTGAAGGCGACATCGCGGTGAAGGTTGACTTGTCGGAGCAATCGAACTTTTTCGGCGTCTTCGATGGATATCTTGACGAAGGCAAATTAGACCGCAAGCTACGGCCTGCCAAAGAGAAGGGACAAGCTTGGTATTCAACCGGGGACAGAGCAACGCGGGATAAAGACGGCTACTTCTGGTTTGTTGGACGCTCAGATGATGTGATTAATTCGGCCGGATATCGTATCGGTCCATTCGAAGTGGAGTCCACGCTGAAGCAGCATCCAGCTGTGGTAGAGAGCGCAGTGGTGTCCTCGCCCGATCAATCTCGCGGCGAAGTCGTCAAGGCCTTCATCGTTCTCACCGAGCAGGGGGCGAAGCAGGGCCAGACGCAACTTGTCAAAGAGCTCCAGGACTTCTGTAAAGAGAATGCTGCGCCATACAAGTATCCTAGGAAGATTCAATTTGTGGACGCAAGGTGAGCTTCCATAAGCCTATGACCTGAGAAGAAAACACACTGACTCGTGCAGCTTCCTGCCCAAAACCATCAGCGGTAAGATCCAGCGGAAGAAGTTGAAGCAGATGGAATGGTCCCACGATGGCAAGGCCAAGCTGTAGTGGTGGATCGTCCGCAATGAGCCATGGTAAATCAGAATTCAGTCGATCTGATCTCCTGTAGATAGTGACGAATGTACTTCGTAAATTCGGGAGACGCCTTCAATCTTTACCTGAATTCCGCGAGTCATGCACTACACGTGACTCAGCCCTATCTAGTACCGCCTCTACACCTCAATCACGAACCTTTTCCAGCCCACGATCTCTTGTTCATACACGCTAGTTATTCGCGCGCCAAAATGTCCGGACGCAAGGACTTCTTGTCGCAGGCGGCGCCCGAGAACTACGTCGCAGGTCTTGGTCGTGGTGCGACTGGCTTTACCACTCGAAGCGATCTGGGACCAGCACGAGAAGGACCAAGTGAAGAGCAGATCAAGGAAGCTCTTGCCAAGCGCGCAGCTGCTCTTGGGAACGCGCCACCAACAGCATACGGAGTGACGAAGAAGAAGGACGACGACGAAGATGACGAGCAGTACCGGGACGCCGAGAACGAGGAAGGGCTGTTTGCGACTGGAAACTACGACAGAGACGATGATGAAGCCGATCGGATATACCAGACTGTGGATGACCGCATGGCGAAGCGGCGCAAGATCTCGAGGTTAGTACTGACTCCCAGCCCCTCCACTGTTCACGTGAAATATTCATCGTCCTCGCAGCACGATCAGTATGCCGACTTGAGGATTCACAGGGAAGAGCGAGAACGCCAAGAACGAGAAGACTTCGAACGAAAGAACCCCAAGATCCAGCAACAATTTGCCGATCTGAAGCGAGCACTCGGTACCGTCAGCGACGATGACTGGGCGAACATCCCCGAAGTAGGCGACATGACCGGGAAGAATAGACGGAATCGGCAGAACCAGCGACAACGATTCTATGCTGTACCCGACAGCGTGTTGGCCGGAGCAAGAGATAGTGGACAGCTCGGCACGGAGATCCAGGAGGATGGCATGGCTACAGATGCTGGGAATGGCGAGTCCAACGAGCAGGCGGATGGCACAATGACCAACTTTGCCGACATTGGTGCTGCGCGTGACAAGGTGCTGAAGGCAAGATTGGACAAGGCTGCACAATCGTCTGGTACTGAAACGACGGGCACGAGCACCAGTATTGATCCCAAGGGATACATGACCGCACTCAGCCAAACAGAGTTAAAGGCGGGCGAGATTCCTGTAGGCGACATTAAGCGTGCTAGAGTTCTTCTGGAGTCGGTCATCAAGACCAACCCTCGCCATGGTCCCGGTTGGATTGCTGCAGCGCGTCTGGAAGAATACGCAGGCAAGATCGTGGCTGCTCGGAATGTCATTCGACGAGGCTGCGAAATGTGTCCTAAAAATGAAGGAGTCTGGCTGGAGAGCATGCGATTGAATGATCGGTCAAATGCGAAGATCATTGCAGCGAAGGCCATCGAGCAGAATGATCGATCCGTGCAGCTTTGGATCGAGGCATCAAAATTAGAAGACATACCGGCACAGAGAAAGCGTGTGCTTCGGAAAGCGCTTGACCACGTTCCCCAATCAGTCGTCATCTGGAAGGAAGCTGTGAATCTGGAAGAAGACCCTGCAGATGCGAAGCTGCTCCTGGCGAAGGCAACTGAAATAATTCCTCTTTCAGTGGAGCTATGGCTTGCATTGGCACGTTTAGAGACGCCAGACCAGGCTCAGGTGGTCCTCAACAAAGCTCGAAAGGCTGTTCCCGCCAGCTACGAAATTTGGATTGCCGCAGCTCGCCTTCAGGAGCAGATTGGCAAGGGCGACATGGTGCCGAAGGTCATGGAACGTGCCGTCAAGGCTCTTGCGCGCGAGTCTGCTATGCTCAAGCGCGAGGAATGGATATCGCAAGCTGAGATCTGTGAAGAGGAAGGTGCCTTCCTTACTTGTCGAGCGATAATCCAGGAGACGATAGGATGGGGACTAGACCAGGACGATGACCGAAAGCAAGTATGGCTGGACGACGCCAAATCTTCCATCGGTAGAGATCGGTTCGAGACTGCCAGAGCGATCTATACTGTGGCCAGGAGAGACTTCTACAACCGCAAGAGCGTATGGCTATCCGCAGCAGATCTCGAGAGAAATCACGGCAGCAAGGAAGACCTTCTCAACATTCTTGCTGAAGCTGTCAATTGCATACCTAGTTCTAGCGAGCTCTGGATGCAGCTCGCAAAGGAGAAGTGGATGTCCGGGGATGTCGCAGGCGCTAGACAAGTGTTGGGCGAGGCCTTCTCCAAAAATCCCGAGAGCGAAGACATCTATCTCGCAGCCGTCAAGCTCGAAGCAGACAGCGGCCAAGAACAACAAGCACGGAAACTGCTGGCCCAAGCGCGTGCCGAAGCTCGTACAGACCGTGTCTTCATTCGGAGCGTAGCTTTCGAGCGACAAATGAACGACAGAGATCGAGCTCTTGAACTCGTAAATGAGGGTCTCGAAAGCTTTCCCAAGACTGATAAGCTCTGGATGATGAAAGGGCAAATCTACGAATCGAAGAACATGCTTCCGCAAGCGAGAGAAGCTTACAGTAACGGCACTCGGAAGTGCCCCAAAAGCGTGCCCCTCTGGCTTCTCGCGAGTCGCTTAGAAGAGAAGATGGGCGTCACAGTGAAAGCTCGTTCTATCCTAGACAGGGCCCGTCTCGCTGTACCCAAGAACCCTCAACTATGGACCGAGTCCATCCGCCTCGAGTTGCGAGCTAAGAACGAAGCTGCAGCGAAACAGAAAATGGCCCAAGCACTCCAAGAATGTCCAAAGTCAGGTCTCATCTGGAGCGAAAGAATCTGGCATTTGGAAGCTCGCACGCAACGAAAACCTCGCATCCTCGAAGCCATCAAGATGGTCGAAAACGACCCCATCCTGTTCATTACCGCCGCGAGGATCTTCTGGGGAGAGAGGAAGCTGGACAAAGCCGATACCTGGTTTCAGAAAGCTGTCATCTTAGATCCTGACTTTGGGGATGCGTGGGCTTGGTGGTATAAGTTTTTGCTGCAGCATGGAGAGGAAGCGAAGAGGGCGGAAGTGGTCAGTAAGTGTGTGCAAAATGATTGCAGGCATGGAGAGGTGTGGCAGAGTGTGAGGAAGGCACCGGAGAATGCGGGAAAGAGCGTCGAGGAAGTCCTGAAGATTGTTGCGAAGACACTGGAGTGAGTCACAATAGAGGACAGGGAGTAGCCCTGAGAATCGGAGGAGCTCGAAGCTTCGTGAGATTTCTTTTCGCATCGACACCCCATCTTGCATTGTTTGCTTTTCTTGATATGCTTGTCTCACGATGCTACTGAATTTGAAGTCGTACAGACAAGTAGAGCATTTTTGTGACATTGAACTCAGTTGACCCCACCAGACTCCTTGCCCTGGACCTGTGAACGGACGCCGCGCGAAAACTCCTTGCCTTCAATCCTGCATGTTGTACTTCTTCAATGGAGTTTGTGATGCCGGCACCCATGACGCCATACCCTCGCCGCATTTCGAGCCGCAGTTCATCTAGCTCGCCTCAATCTAGTATTCGCAATTCGCCATTTCGATCTGACCTCCCAGAGGCAAACCAATCATGTAGATAGGGCTGATGACCTTTGGTTGGAATTCATTGACATCCATTTTGTGAATGCCAGCAATTGGGTTCCACGCCGGTGGCTGTGCCGACTGAAGTCTCTTCGGGTCTGTAAATTTTGGAGGCCGTGAAGGAGATGAAGTCTGGTGGTCAGGCTGTACGGGCTGGAAATTTTGCTTCTCAGGCAGCGGCTTTTGTGTCTTCAATTGAGCTGCATCTTCTTCTGGTGGTGGTGTCGGCAGCATGTTTGGTGTGCGATGCTGTTGCTGCAGTTGTTGATGGTGAGTTGGATGTGTGGCGGGAAGAGCGGGCGGCCTCTGCTTAGCGATCCGTGCGTAGAGATCACGTGCAGATTTTCTTTTCTTAGAGTCCAAAAGCTGTGCCGCATCTCCACACATTGCTTCTTCTACGACATATGTATCTCGATCACGTTGCAGTTCGGAGAATGCGTGCTGCGAAAATGCATCAGAATGGTTTCAATGCGCTCTTCATTCGATATTTGACTTACTTGAAGAAGGTCGGGGATAGGAGCACTGAGGGAGGAAGGCTGAGGTTCATCAGCAGCCTGCCGTGCATCTTCGATAGCGCCCTGCTGGTAGATGAGATTCTCCAGAGCCCCGTGAGACTTGATTGGAGTTCGTTCATCACGGCGTGGTCCATCACGGCGTGGTCCACCACGAGAGTGTTGCGACTGCGGTGTGCTGGGAGGCTGACGAGACGAGGGTGGGAAAACTGGCGCCTTTGCAAATGGTCTCTGTCGGCAATCCAGAGTGCCAAAGCCTTGATGACTGGTAATAGCTTTGCGGTCTTCCATAATGGCCGGTTCCATAGTGACAACGACAGTGCGAGGCCAGACTGGCTAAGCAGGGCCAATGAGGTGCAAACAGAATCCAAAGTCTGACAGAGGTCCTGTCTGATGCCCTACACTACGATTCCAAACTGAGTTCGTGATCAATGACAAGTAGGTCGAAGTGGTGTGTGCGTACTTATACGGAGGGCAAAGGTGAGGGTGCAGAAGAATCGATGGCGCGGGGCGTGACTGGAACCCCATACGCAGGACGCAAAAGGGCGCTAGCCTGCACGTGATCGACCTCAGGCATCCACAAAAGTCCCGCCGTACCAGCAAGCTTCCGTGCAACTCTGGAGTGCCCTAACATGGCTGGATGTCGGCCTCGTCGTGATGAAGAAACTGCAAGAACGCAAGTGTTTTGTAGGACCAGACCAAAGTCCAGAATTTCTTGGTGGTCACGCTCAGAGAAGGTCGAAATCGTCCAACTTATCCCGGTACTTCATGATGTTCCGCTTGATCTTCGAAGAGTCGACCCAGGTGACAAAATCTTCCATGTTCCTATACTTGCAGTCAGTACTAGAGCTTTTGGAAACGAGTCTTGCTCAATCGCATACCTATTGACGAGGAAAGCCGGATCGGTGACCACTTCTGTTCCCACTCTCACATGGCCCTGCTCGATGAACTTGTTCGCCGCGCTGACCGTCTCCGACATCCTCAACCGGGTCATGACAACACCAAGTCTTCTCCTACAGAAGGCCGATACGGTTACCTTCTTCTCAACATCGCTCAGCTTGCCCTTGCCACCTCCGCCGATGCCTAGCAGGCCCATATCGTGCAACTTCTCCAAGAGCAAATCCTCCTGTTTCCTTCGAAATGGCGACTCGGGAGGTAGAAGCGCGATGCGATGCGCCAGGTGCCTCAACTTTCCCGCGAGACGGTTGTATGAGCTGTAGTCGGATGGATTCTGAACTGAGTATCGTCGGAGGACTGCTGCGGCACGGTGCTGGTCGTCGGAAGGATAGTTGACAAAGTCGACCTTGCGCAGTAGTTTCTGCTCATGATGCTTGAGCTTTCGCACCATTTTGGCGATTGCGCAATGCTGTGGTGAAGGAGTTCTAAGATTGTCGCAAAATGGAGTGAGGTCGTTGCTTGGGAGGAGGGAATTCTTCGACGTCGGTTTCCAGTTTGGTACTAGTGCTTGCTTACATAATGACCAGGTGCCTTTGTGAGTCGAAAGCCTTCAATTTTTGTCCTCTGTGTAATGATAAGCAGAACACTTTTGTTGAGCGATTAGCGATCTAAAGCAAGGTGAAGATGCCAGTCGTCCACTTGCTCGATTATGCGGCGGGCAACATTCGCTCTCTGGTCAACGCTATCGAAAAACTTGGCTGGGAAGTCCAATGGATACAGAAGCCCGAAGATGTCGCAAAGGCTGAGGTACGACTGAACTGATTCGCAGAAGAACAACAGCAGCTGATTGCTAACAGGAGGTGTCGTGATGTAGAAACTGATATTGCCGGGAGTTGGCCATTTCGGTCACTGCATGACTCAATTCACCCACGCTGGCTATGTCGAGCCAGTACGAGCGTACATCCGGTCTGGGAAGCCTTTTATGGGGATTTGTGTAGGTCTCCAAGCTCTTTTCGAAGGCTCAGCGGAGAATCCTGCAGTTCCTGGTCTCGGAATCATCAAAGGTCATCTGGAACGATTCAAGAATACCAACAAGAGCGTACCCCATATTGGTTGGAACTCGGCCAACACCAGCGCAAGCAACGAATCTATATATGGTCTTCGCCCTGACAGCAAGTACTACTACGTCCACTCATATGCAGTGCCGTATCGTGACGGCCAGTTTGAGCAACAGGGCTGGAACGTAGCCAAAGCTCGATATGGCGACGAAGAGTTTGTCGGTGCAATTGCAAAGGACAACGTGCTGGCGACACAGTTCCATCCGGAAAAGAGTGGAGCTGCCGGCCTACGTGTCATAAAGTCGTTCCTTGAAGGCCGCAAGAGCGAGCCTCTACCAGCCGACCTCAGCGCAGCTTTGACACGAGAAGGTCTTACTCGACGAATCATTGCCTGCCTCGACGTCCGCACAAACGATGAGGGAGACTTGGTCGTGACAAAAGGCGACCAATACGATGTTCGAGAGAAATCCGACAAGTCCATCCGCAATCTGGGAAAGCCAGTGCAGAAAGCACAACAATACTACGAACAAGGTGCTGACGAAGTCACATTCCTCAACATCACATCGTTTCGAGACACGCCGCTCAAAGACCTTCCCATGCTGGAAGTCCTGCGACAGGTGTCAGCTACTTGCTTCGTCCCTTTGACCATCGGAGGTGGCATTCGCGATACCACGGACCCAGAGACTGGCCGTACAGCGCCCGCATTGGAAGTCGCTACACTGTACTTCAAATCCGGAGCGGACAAAGTCTCAATTGGTTCTGACGCAGTCACTGCTGCGGAACAGTACTTTGCCGCAGATAAGACTCTCACAGGCAAGACCGCGATCGAAACCATCAGTGAAGCGTACGGCGCTCAAGCAGTGGTCGTCTCAGTCGATCCAAAGAGAGTATACGTCTCGTCACCTGAGGCAACGCCTCACAATACAGTTGAGACTGATTTCCCGGGCCCTAATGGCGAGAAGTATTGTTGGTACGCATGCACGATCAAGGGAGGCCGTGAGACTAGGGATCTGGACGTCGTGCAGCTCCTTACTGCCGTTGAAGCAATGGGAGCCGGGGAAATCCTCCTGAACTGCATCGACAAGGATGGCACTAATTCCGGCTTCGATCTCGAGCTCATCAGAAGCGCCAAAGCTGCTGTCAAGATCCCCGTCATTGCCTCTAGCGGTGCTGGTAATGCAAATCACTTCGCTGAAGTGTTCGAGGAGACGAATGTGGACGCTGCTCTCGGCGCTGGAATGTTTCACCGTGGCGAGTGGACTGTGAAGCAGATCAAGGAGGAACTCCAAGAGACTGGCCTATTGGTCAGGAAATTTGAAGATGAGATCTAAGATGCTAGGGTGTGGGAGATCAAAGAGCGGTTGAGAGAGTCATGCAAAGCAATCGACGATACCACGAAGGCAGGCTACATTATGAACTCCGATCACATGCCAAGGAATGATTGATGAAGCAGCTGAAAGCAGCAAAGCCAGAACATTTCCGGCAATCCACTCATTGGTGTCGATGATATGGATCATATTTTGGGTATCTCATCGCATGCTTCTACAGTATCTGCCCGCCAAACGGCTCTCAAAACGCTCCTACAGGCACCTTCGCGCTCAAGCAAAGTGAATGCCCTCCTGATTGAAAGCATACAGCATTTTCAGAAAATCGCCTTCGTCACACAGTCTGGCTCGCTTCTCTGCGAGTTCTGTGTCCTGCTCTAGCACTTTCTTGACTTTGCTCCGCACCAATTCCGCGACTTTGCCCTTTCTCTTGCGATTCGGATTATCTCGTAGCTTCTTCGCCTTTTTGTCTGCCTCCTCTTTGAAGAAGTCTGGAACATCGTCCTCGTCATCGAGGTCCATTATGCCTTCCAGTTCCGCGTCCTCTGCGCCCGCATCCATGTCCACGTCATCGTCGTCTGCACCATTCTCTACAGGACCATCGTCAAGTGGAATGTCGTTTTGTGCGCAAAAGGTTCTGTAATTCGACTCCAGCATCGCCATGACACTACTCGTCCCCAGGAATCCACTTCGTAGGACTCTATTCTTTCGAACAAAGCACACACGCAACAACCCATCCCACTCATCATAGCTGATTTGCGGCCTCGGATTCTTCGGCGAGATTCTCACCACATTCGATTCCACTTGCGGAGGCGGGTTGAAATTGTTCCTGCCCACTTTCATGACGTGATCCACCTTGGCCCACATCTGCGCATTGACAGATAACCTGCTGTACAGCTTATCACCCGGCTTCGCGAACAAGCGCATTGCAAATTCGCGCTGGAACATGAGTACGCAACTCCTTGGTGACGGACTTGTAGCCAGTAGTTTGAACGTCAAAGGCGATGAGATCTGATACGGGGTGTTCGAGATGCAAACATCGAAATAGGGCAATTTCTCCATCTTGATCACATCCCCAAGCACCAGTTCCAGCTTCTTGCCCGCCGGTGTCCCTTGAAATCGCTTGGTCAATTCTGCGGCCATGCGAGGATCTTGCTCGACCGCGATGACCCTCTTTGCCCTCTCCAATATTCTTGTCGTCAAGTTGCCGGTACCGGGACCTACTTCGAGGACTATATCCGACTGCTTGACATCCGCCTTATCTACAATGGCCTGCGCCACTCCCGGGTTCTTGAGAATGTGCTGACCAATGTCCGTGTTCATCTTGAAGATGTTGTTCGCCGCTGCGGATTTGGCTGCGGCCTTGTTCTTGCGTGCTGTCGCCCCAGCGTAAGGGTCGGGTTTGGTGATGCCGCCTCCTCCATGGCCGCCTTTTCTCGCTGACTTCGGCATTTTGTGGCTTTGTTGTGCGTAGTCGGGTGAGGTCTATTTGTTCTGCTGGCCGCAACGGGGACACTGTCGTTCGAGTTCGAGTCGTCTCAACTCCAGCTTCCTCCTCTCGACTTGGCGGTCTCGTTCGGAGTTGATGAAGGCAAAAACGGGACCGACGCCAATGTATGCGACGAAGGCAAGACTCACGTAGCCTACGAGCCTTCTGCGGCGGAACTGGAGCATACAGAAGGTTGTTCCTGTGAAGTGCGAAGATATCGCTCGGGAGATGGAATTGGTGAAGTGTGGAAATTTTGGGCGGGTAAAAGATACTCCGAGCTGCGAGCTGCATTCTTGCCTGAGGCTTCTTTCTTCACCCTCCACACTGTGCTCCACACCCCTTCCATTTCAATGTGCTTCATCGTACTACCTACCAACTTCCATCCTGCCATCGCTTGCTTCACTGTTAGGCTATCACTCTTTCGCTTGTGCCACTTGCACCCTGCGGACAATTTCCACGCCGATCCACTATCTGCAGACCGCGATTCACACTGGACACTGCCACTATTACTCCCATGCCGTCACGGACCTGGGTACGCGTGAAGGCCGTACCATGATATCGATTGAGGAAAATGCTATGAGAAGAACACTATACAGCGCGGAAGTAAAATGGACGTCGCTCGCCTCGGTGAGACGTGGCAGGACACAAGTTGCTATTGTCATAGATAAGAATTGGTTACGACTTTATTCCAAGCGACGTGGGCGTATCGGAAGTTCTGTCTACTTCGTCCACGGTCGATGCTCCGCTCCAGATGGTAGGTCCGATAACCAGGCTGTTCTCAGGCAAAGAGATTCCGAGCTGTTGATGTCTTGACTTCCGGAGAGGGCTTAACGAATAGTAGGTTTCGGGGGGCTTCAGCTGGAGCTTCGACGAAATTCTAGAAATGCAGAAGTCTTGAGCTTTTGTACAGCTTTCATGTTGCAGAGAAGTGCAGGACTCCGATGACGCTCTAGGTGAGTCGGGCAAAGACATGTATGTGGCATTTTCTTAAGTCTACACTGATGATGTATACATCCTCACTGGCACTTTCAATTATTTTACTTCGACTCCAACTCGATATGACATTTCGCTGATAGCACAGCCATCGAGGCCTTTTGCTTGAACCACCGTGCACAATACACAGAATTCGAGCCTGACTTCTGACCGACACTAAACTACCACATCTACCTACTAGGGGAGGCTGGTTCGCGCACAATGGAGCTGTCTACTATCTTACAGGCCACCAGCGTCTCTCTGTCACGCTGGATACCGCCTATATTCAAACCAAGCGAGCCGGCCTCAACCCAAGAAAACAAACCAGTAAAAGCGCTCTTACCCTCGCCGCGAGTCAGCATGCATACTGTCACATCTGCCGATACGGTACATTTGGTCCAATTTCTAGGCGTCTTTAGCCTGCTCTTCGGCCTCGTGACGCTTTGCGATCTGCAGAATTTCTTTGTCGCTACCATTCCGCTCGTCATGGCCGGTGGATCGCTCATCGTAGTTCCTTACACGCAGAGGTTTCAAAAGCTGGTAGAGATCGGTATGTTTGAACGGACCATCAAGTATTGCCTAGCGCTTGAAGCTAACCTTGTACACTCAGATGAACTCGCTGTTAGACCGAAAAAGACCAGAAGTAATGAGGGTGGCGCGAACCGACAAAGCAGTCGACGGAAAGCTCGTGAAGAGCGTAAACGCTGGAAGAAGGGCAAATTCTTCGATCGCATCAACTGACAAAAGCGCAATGAAATGATGTAGAGTGGTCAACCGGCTTAGCTTCGTGTATTGGGGAAGAAATGGCTTAACACCGTGCATGTTGCTCAGTGGAACTTGTGGGAGACCACAAAAGCAAGATACTTGATCTCTGCATCTCGACGCTTCGTCAACAATCCAACATGGCAAGGCTCAAACGGCCCCTTCGACTGCGAAAAGCAGATGGCAGACCCGACAAACAGGAAGCTGCCGCCACTGCAACACCACTGGTACCAACCAAACCACCCCCCGACCCCTTAGAACTTCTCATCTTCTGCTGCATTTTCGCTGGAACTTGGTCTCTTTGCTACCTCAGTATGCGCGCAGTGCCACTCGTCGCAGTCATTGGTATATCGATTTGCATAGCATACGTTGGATCGACGCGGAAGGCCAGAGGGGATGACCCGGAACGGGAGGCTGGTGGTAAAGATGGAGAGAAAGCAGACATTCAAAAGGCATAGCGTTTCTTCTCCTGGCAGCCCAACTTCCTGCGCCTTCGATTGTGGCCTGGGCTGCTTTGTCGATTCACTTGGTTTTAGCTGGTCTAAACCAGACTAAAAGACTTGCAGGACTTGCTTTACATGCAGCAAACAAGAGAAAATCAACCAACTGAAAAGCAAAAGTCCTACGATCTTCGAAAGTACTACCTTTCCGCAACCTCGTTGACAATACAGCTGCAACGCACTTCAAAATGGCAGACAGAACCGAGCAGTCCGTTCCCCCCATCCAAGACATCGCCGCCATACCACTACCAAGCTCTCCACCAGCAATGGAAGAGCATCTCGGACATGTGACTTTTCCGCCTGACCTCTTCCCTCTCGGCGACGTCCGTTCAGAACCGCAAGTGAAAGTCAGCTCAGCTTTTGAAGCGGAACAGCACGTCAAGACCCACATCGACGGCGAGCTTCCTGTGGACACGGCGCCAGCAACACCCAGTGGCCTCCGCAAAGAGCTCAAAGTGGCGACCGTCAGCATTTTCTGCACTTCCATGTCCGCATTTTGGAACTGGAATTTCGACTTCGTTAATGTTGCATGGGTGTGGCTCGTTATGGCTGTGATGATCCTGTTCTTGCCGGCTGAGCAGGGCGAAGAGGTCTTCGACTGTGGTAGGTGAACGAGTGAGAGCAAGAAGTGGATTAGAAGACGCTCATTGTTGCTACAGGAGTCTTGCTTGGTGGAAAGTTGGCTATGGCGATTGTGCGGTTTTGTGAAGCGGCTCTCGGACGGCTGTTTGCAAGGGTGCTTGACCAGGACGAGGAAGAGGACGAACAAGAAGACGAAGGTACTGACGGCGAGGACCGTGAGGACTTCGATGACGAGAGGCAGTAGCACTAGCTTGAAGCTGAAATTCGAACACACTGGTATACCTTGCTAAGGCACTTGAATAGAGCTCTGTCGGTGTGAAAGGTGGTATATTCTGAATTCGGCTGTGAAGGTATGATTTAACAACGAGTAGTATGTGTGTTTGACATTCGGGATTGAAGTCAACAAATGTGGTATAGCGAGCCGTGCCTTATCTGTGTACCTGTCCGTGTCCAGCAGCAGCTGTCACATGCGCAACAGAACCTCCACGCCGGCAACGCCACATCGGATTTAACCGGAGATCCGCCCGGTAGAGGGATCATCACGACACTTTCACGTCGCTTTCACAAGCGCCGCACTTCCTGTCCGACTACGAGTAATCCTGCGCCATCACAGTACTTTACAGTACATGCAGCTGTCTTATTGCCTTATGCGATGGAGCCAACCGGCCAACACCGCATGCGCCAAGATGTAGTGATGCCGAAGCTGCGGTAACGAGCAACGAATCGATCCGGCATCATCGGCAGTGCAGAGTGCAGACTTCACTTCTTTGCTTGAGCTGGCCTCGCGCTCGAACTCGTTGCATACCTTAGGGACTTCGCAAACGACGACCCGTAGAAGAGCTAGGTCGTGGCGCAAGTATAGGCTGCTAGGAGCCTCACCGGTCACCATCTCAACCTCACCTGTCCAGGTCGAGGGCACGTGTGAGACTGTTCTTCACGTGTCACGCGCGCCTTGCAGTTGAATACTCTTCGACCTTTCGCTTCACTTGAATCCTCGACACTTTGAAGCATTCAACATGGCGTCATCAACTCTTACCTCCAAATCAAACCCAAAGAGGCCCACTGGCCGAGTCCCATCGCACCGCACTCGCACATCCTTGGACCTGCCCGAGCGATACAGGAACATGTATATCGACGATGATGGAGATGATGGTACCTGCGATGGCGAGGCCTTTCCACAGCAAAGTATCTATGGAATGCTGGCTGCTACGCAGTCCAAGGCAAATCACCCGAGTCGACTTCAACAAGACAGCGGAAGCGAAAGTGAGAGCGAGCGTGAGCATGTGAAAACCCAGGCTCGGGCCAGTGAAGATAGCATCAAGAAGAGCAGGGTCAAACAAGCGGAGCGGAGGCATGATCGAGACAAGGCGGCATACAAACAACCCAACAAGCTTGCGAAGAGTGTCATGGCACCAGTCAAGGATCGGACAGACTCGTTAGGTCAAGATCCGATGACACAATCGCAGTTCTTACCTCCTCGCGAGCAAACCTCACCGTCTATCGAGCGGCCAGCTTCCGTGCCGACCGACAAGCCGTTTCGCAAAGACTCGCCCATCCTCGACCGCAAACTTCAGGCCATGGCGCGAGCTGCAGAAATGGACGCCAGAACCGCAGCGGCATCTGGCAGCAGAAAGAGCATGGAAGAAGGACGCAAACAAGAAGCATCACAGTCCCCTGCACAGGTGGTCGCTACCATTTTCAAGTTCGACGAGCCTGAGGAGGTCCATGCGCGGTTCTCCTGTTGGTACCTCCAGAATGTGCTCCTTGAGGGTGACTTGTTCGTCACGGCAAAGCATGTATGCTTTTACTGCTATCTGGGCACGAAGGACAATACCGCTATTAAAGCTGGACCGTTGAGCAAGCGCGGAAAACATAGCTTCACCTACTACCCTTACCACTTTGTTCTCCAAGGAGATATGTTTTGTTACTACAGAAGCGCTGCCGAGCCGTACTCACCGCGCGGTCTCGTTGACCTTCGGTTGGCCATCGCTGCAGAGATAACCGATGAGGAACATGGTGGCGACGGCACATACTTTACCGTCACGACAAACGACAGGGTCTACGAATACCGCGCGGACACACCCTCTTCGGCAAAAGAGTGGGTGAAGACATTGCGTGATGTCATCTTCAGGAGAAACAACGCAGGACACTCCGTCAAGATCACGATTCTAATCAAGGATATTGTCGATGTGGAGCAGACCGATCTATTGGAAGGCGCCGAGATGGTCAAGCTGCGCGTCATGACCAGCGACGATACATTTGCTCTCGACGAGTATTTCTTCTCCTTCTTGGAACAGGAGAGTGCAGCTGTTGAGACCTTGAAGTCGTTGGTTCAGGTCAGCGATGACAAGAAACCAGACACTATTGGAGAGGACATGGCCCAGCCGGAGTTGTCTTCGAAGACAAAGGCGATAGTTGGCTCTCCAAATGCTAAGTCTGCCGCGCGCCACATACCCTCAAGCTCCAACCGGAACCTGAGGAACAGCGTCTCTAGTAACGAGGCGCAACGACCGTCAGAATCGCCTGGGCCAGAGTCCATGGAGGACTCCACGGAAAGCTTCGTCACGTCTTCAGAGCATCCAAGTGATTCTGCGAATGAAGAGTCCGTAGACGCTCACATGTCTGCAAGCCAGATGCTCTTTGATGATGGCATGTTCCAGCGACCGACATTGAGACGCCCTCAGCCGCACCCTGTCGAAGAACACGAAGATGAATCAGACGACTCTTCTCGCGCGCCAAGCACAGATCGTGCCCGTTTTCAGCCCTCTACGCGCCAAGCGGGCGACGGGACGATCGAAGTGAACCAGGATCTCAAACACCGGGCGAGCGGCGAACCTGGCAAGACTGCCAGTGCAGCAACAGACCCGAATGCCCAATTGGCCCAGCGGTCTTCTCGTGGCAGCCTTGTACGCGGAATATCCACGCCTATCACGACTGTCGCAGGCATGGTTCGATCGTCTGGTAAAGCAATGAGCTCGTATCTCAGCAGTAGCCCGGGAAGCTATGTGAGCAATTGGTCGGCTGCAATGGCGGGAGGAAAGCGGCACTATACTGATGCTGAAGGTCTGGCGCCAGACGACAGCGTTCGTGACCCCGATCAAGAGGGAGATGTGGCTGCCCACGAGCAAAGTTTCCGAGCTCACTTTGCGTTGCCTGAAACAGAGAAGTTGGTTTCGGTTTTCTTCTGCTGGCTACATCGGACGATCCCGATCTGGGGCAAGATTTATATGGGCACGCGGCACTTCTGTTTTCGCAGTTTGTGGTACGGGACCAAAACAAAGATTGTTCTCCCTTACAAAGACATTATCAACGCGCAGAAGTCGAGGGGATTTCGCTGGGGCTCTCAGGGCATGGTGCTCGTGATTCGTGGTCACGAGGAGCTCTTCTTCGACTTCGCCGAAGGACTGCGTGACGATGCCACTGTCCTCGTGCTGAAGGCTGTTGAGAAGGCTGCGGAGGCGATTGAGCCTACGACACTAACCACGGAAGAGACAGAAATTGCCGATGCCGCTGCCGCTGAAAACTGCTTGCTGCAAAATCTTAAGAAGGGTGGATGTGCTAACGAAGACGTTCAGTTGCCAGGAGACCCAGACAACGACAGATTTGCGCCTGGACGCGTCATCATCGACGAAAAAGAAACAGGAACGGTCGAATGGAAACCCAAGAAGCCGCTGCGGATCACCTGTCTCACCATTGGCACGCGAGGAGACGTGCAACCATATGTCGCGCTTTGCAAAGGCTTGCAAGCAGAAGGCCACAGACCCAGAATTGCAACGCACGCCGAGTTCAAAGGATTCGTGGAAGAGCACGGAATTGAGTTCGCAGAGGTGGCTGGTGATCCTGCCGTCTTGATGAAGCTATGCGTTGAGAACGGCATGTTCTCGCCCAAATTCTTCATTGAGGTCAACTCAAAGTTTCGAGGCTGGCTACAAGAGCTACTAGAGACGGCATGGGAGGGTTGCCAGGGCTCAGACGTCCTCATTGAGAGTCCGTCTGCGATGTGCGGAATACACATTGCTGAAGCGCTGCAAATACCTTACTTCCGCGCCTTCACCATGCCGTGGACGAGGACCCGTGCCTACCCTCATGCGTTCTCTGTTCCAGCGGCCAATATCAAGCGAGGAGGCAACTATAATTATATGACGTACACGTTTTTCGACAACATCTTTTGGGGCATGACAGCAAGCCAGGTCAATAAGTGGCGCGCCAAGACGCTGGGCTTGGGACCAACGGGCTTGGACAGGATGGAGCAGAACAAGGTGCCGTTCTTGTATAACTTCTCATCGCACGTCGTTCCCCCGCCACTGGACTTCAGCCCTTGGATCCACGTCACTGGATACTGGTTCTTGGACACCAGCAAAGACTACCAGCCGCCAGAGGATCTGGCTGCTTTCATCAAGAAGTCCAAGGATCAGAAGCGGAGAATTGTTTACATCGGTTTTGGATCCGTCACTGTTCAGGATTCAAAGTTGCTCATGCAGCAGATCGTGGCCGCTGTCAAGGACGCTGACATTGACTGTGTACTCGCTAAGGGTTGGTCTGACCGAATGGACAAGGATAAGGATCAAGGAGACGAAGTTGAACTCCCAGCCTGTGTGTTCCGTATCAAGGCTGCACCTCACGATTGGCTCTTTGCGCAGATGGATGCCGTGGTCCACCATGGCGGCGCTGGCACCACAGGTGCATCGCTCCGTGCTGGAGTTCCAACACTGATTCGGCCGTTCTTCGGCGATCAATTCTTCTTCGCCTCCCGTGTTGACGATCTGGGCGTGGGCAAGTGGCTTCACAAGCTCACAGCGAAGGCTCTCAGCAGAGACTTGTGGATAGCAACCCATGATCAGCGCATGCGCAAAAAGGCTGCGGCTCTCGGTGAAGCAATTCGCGCTCAAGATGGCGTAAAACAGGCGATCAATGCATTGTATGGGGAGATGCCACGGGCCATGGCCAATATCAAGAAGTCTGGCAAGAAGAAGTCGAAGCTTGCTGCTTCTTCGACCGACGGCAGCGAGGACATGCAAGTCTCGGACACGGAGGAGAACTGGACTTTCTTGGACAGCAGCGGGATGGAGGTTGGGGATGTCGAGCCTGCTCTTGACAAGGTTGCTGCTGCTGCTACCACGACTGACGTCGGTCCGGCGGACAAGAGCAAAGGCAAGCAGTCTGCTGCTCCTTCTTCTGGACCGACGAAGATGATGAGAGGACGTGGTTGATGGTGGTGTATACACGCGAGGAGGTCACGGCGTTCACGAGTTTGATGATGCAGCGGGGATGGTGGGAACTTCGAGACTGGGTCCAGGAATGGCTCTCTTAGCGAGGCGTTCTGCCATGGAAGCGTCTTCTCTCTTGCATTGTTGGGAGTTTCTTAGGTTGGCATAAAGGAGCAGGAAGAACGGTTCGATATGATTACCAGGAGACGACGGGATGCATGCATGATACCAAGGCGCTACACTGTAGATAGTGCCGATTGAGATGAAATGGAAAGGATTGTCTTCGCTCTCTGCATGCTGTTGCATGTTTCTCTCTGTTATTACATTATTACATTAGGCTATTGGTGGCATGATCTTCGGAAGGCCGACCATCGCCATTCGCTTGCTGCTTCGTGGGTGTCTATCGGACCGCATTCACGCGATAGAAGGCACCTAGTGAGTGACCTTTGACGCTCTTTTCTACAGAGGCAATCGTGCCCTCGCTGCTTTCACTACAGCTCATTGCTTCTCTCTTGTCTTTGACGCCGCGGCGCTCGACTGAAAGAACACTAGGAGAGACTCTGGTACCTGGTGTCTCCTTTCGACGGTGCGCATCACATGTTCGATCTCTCTCCCGATTCGGCTTTGTCGCGATCGTATTCTGGCAAATAACGTGGACCAGTGAGCAAGGCGCGCTGCTCTCGCCGTATTACGATTACTCGCATCCGTCTGACTTTGAAGAACTTGGGAGCTTGAGCGGCACTCCGAAACCAGACCCTAGATTCTCTCGCGCGTCCGATCTGCCTCGCTGTGGTGTTTTTCTGTATTTTGCCGTGGTCCTCCTATATACCACCGACCGGTCAAACTTCAAGGGAACGGCTTAAAGACCGGCTCCTGCCATTGGAAGTCCTTCTCGCATACATTCCGACTCTTTCCGCCGTCTGTCGTCCATCCCAACCGAGCAAGACTTTTCGGGTTCCAACTGGATTGCATTTTCTGCTCCACCTCACGCCCTGACTTTGCGAACTCGGCGAATCGACAGGTTCCCTCCTCTGAGTACGTGCTCTGGAGGCATCCTGGAGACTTGTTGCATGATTCGAAACACTCGGACATTGAGGAATTCGAAGGTTGTTCGAGATTAGCGCCGTTGTCCCAGTGGGATTTCTGAAAGGACCCGGCGAGCCTGGCGAGGTGAGCGAGGCTGTAGTCGAGGAAGTCGAGGTATGTGAGGGGTGCTTCGGTGTAGACACGGCAGCGCTCCCACTTCCAGAGCGATTTCATCTGCTCGGGGCTGACGCGGTGGAGAGCGAGAAGAGGGACGCAGCGTCTGGCTTCGTCGATTTCGACTGATGAAGGTTCGTCACCCGAGAAGGTCGGATACATGCCTTCCACGCGTGCTTCTAATTCGCGATAGAGGGAGTAGGCTAGAGCTATGTCGCCGCAGCAGTCGCCCTTGATCAGTTCTTCGTGTTTGTGGCTCATGGGCGGAGTAACATGATTGATATCGCGCATCAGTTTCTTCGAAAGAACAAACCCGGCACCGCCGTACGCGAACCAGACATTATCTGCCCCGGCCACGGCGTTACCGAGATAGTGTCTCTCGTTCGGATTCAGATCACTCAGGACGCGGAACAGTGTATCCCAGAAGTAGTACGTATCCGACTCGATGAAGACATACCACTTCGCCTTCGGTCGTATCTTGAACGTCTTCTCAATCATCGGCAAGAACTTGAATCGATCCAGTTTCCAGCCTTGGTGACTTTTGCTGATCGCCTCGCCAGCTTTGTAGGCCTTTCGTTGGGTTTCATAAGCTTCCCAATCGGGGTTGTTGACAGCGTATGAAGAAGGGAGATCTGCAAGAACATCGTAGACCTCGTGGCCCAAGACCTTTCCCTGCACGTCAGACATGATGAGGATGTTGGAAAAGCAGGAGGCGAAAGTCGAAAGAAGCGCTTCGAGTCTGTGCCGCTCGCCAATTCCCGTTTTGACCACGATCTGGATGTCCTCGTGGAGATGGACTGGGAAGCCAGCACATGGATTCCCATCTTCCGCCACGCCGGTGTTGCCTGCGCAGTGCTCCGGGTGCGGTGGAAAGAAAGCTGTGTCGTGCGTCAAGTCTTCGATCGCGGTTCTTCCCAGGGAGGGCAGTAGGTGCGCAGTGGGCAACCTTGATGTGAGTAGGAGTAGACATAGCGTTGCAATGGACAGGGTGCTTGCCAGGAGAAGGAGCTTCGGTGGCAACTTGGAATAGGGCATTTCCATGCGCTCGTACGCAAGACGAGGCGAGGCAAAGCGAAGTGGAATCGACTGTGGTCCGCGAGAGAGGAATGTAAGAGAGGAATGTGAAGGAAAGAGAGGTGAGGTGGTGGTGGTGGAAGTGCACGGGCCTGCGCGCCTGGTGGTACGGTACGCCTTCACCTGTGTACCCGGTACACGTTCACCTTCACCAAAGCAACGTGCCACAACCGCGAAATTGGAGGAATACATATACCTCAGCCGCCGCAGGTAACCTGACTGGGTCTTGGCAGAGCAGGTCCGCGGGAGCATCCCGGGTGGCATGCGATGATGCTGTCGCTGGTCACGCATGATTGACGTGCATGCGAAGCACAAGTTGTAAACATGAATTTAACGCGCAGCACAACGCATCGGGATTAGAATAAACTCTGCTGAGTAAGTTCCTGCGTTAGCCGTTTGAAGAGACACTCCTGCGCGTCACCAATCAAGCTCGTGGGCTCTTCGCAAGCTGACCAAGCGCGGTGCTCCTGCGCGCTTTCTAGTTCACTTGGTGAACTTACTAGTCGGACTTCCCTCCGACAAATTCATTGCTGGTCCATGGTGCTTGAGATGTCGTCGGAGGAGCAGCCTCGTCTATGAGCTTCCTTGAAGCTTGGTTATTCGGTGGGCAGCCTGGCATCTGAGCTTCAGTCTCTCCAGCGAGGCCTCCCAAAACCGTATACAATCCCACTGCTATCCTGAGAGATAGCTCCACAGTATATCCGAGTTCACGATCGGTCCATTGGCATCCGCGCCATCCAATATCGAGTTCTGATTGCGAATGGATCCAGATTCGGTCAAACCCTGACAGAAGACGTCGCTTTCTGATTCTATGCGCGCGGGCGTATCACTGCGGTGACGGCGAGTATGAAGTCTTTCGAGATCCGCACCCATTCGCCTCAGTCATCATCCTCGTGTGAGCCCATTCTCATGGTCTTTTCCCAATCATACGTCGCGTGTCGGCTCTTGCTGAAGGATGGATCGACTTCTGGAGGGCTGGTCGGTTGCAGTCTGGCCATCACAATCCGTAAGCAGCCCAATCCGTTACTCCGCTTCTGTATTCACAGCTCTTTCCTGCCGCTCATCTCACATGCCTCTTTTCATGTGTTGACGTGTTGCAAGGTCGCCGCGCGTCAGTGGAGATCCCAGTTTAGGGGTCGCAGGTCGCGAAACTCGGGTTCAGGTTTCTTCCGAAGGTCCGTGCATACAGACGCGACTTCTTCCGTAAGGCGCGTCGACGCGATCAACACTTAACAATGTCTTGCTGCTAAACGTCTGGGTGTCTTTGGAACTCGGCAGCACCGCGTCAGAGTCCTGGCCCAATTTGGATTCGTCGCGAGTTTCCACCTCCAGCTGTCGACATGGCGAGAGGGCAACTTGACGACGTTGTCGACATGACTGGCATTGAATCTGACGACGACAATATTCATGTCAGCCCCGCTCACTCGAGGAAATCCATGAAACGCAAGGCATCCCCTCCGAATTCTACAGACAGGAACTCCAAGAGACCACGAAGAGAGGCAAAAGCTAAACCGAATCGCCAAAGTCGCCTTTGCTTCAATTCAGGTGTCATCGACCTGACCTTGAGCGATGGCGAGGCAGGAGTCAAACCGCGCACGAAAGCTCCTGCAAAACGTGGAGTATCGTTCCGTAAATCACCGCGAAGACAACCTGCTGTCAGAACAACAGTAGCACAATCGCATGTGCGAGTCGGGCTTCAAGAGCTCGACGCGGAACAATTCAACAACAAGTTGAAGAATCTTCCTGTGGCCTGGTGTCAATTGCCATACTACGACAAAGACGCCTTGGCCGAATATTCTCAGCCTTCTTCCGAATCCGCGCGAAACTCATCAAACTTCCACCAGCGTCCCAACAGAGCGCGGCGAAACCAGATGAAGCCAAGTGTTTCCGACTTGTCGGTCAGCAGCTATTCTGAAGACGAGTTGCTGGAAACTGCTCGAACGTTCACTAAAAGGGGGTCTGCAAGAAAGATCAGAAGGTCCTCACAAACCTCCGCCACGAGTGAACTAACTCAATCGGACTCAGGCGCATCAGAATTCAATCCGGAGGATGAGGATGAAGGCGTAGAAGACGAAGACGAAGACGTAGAGGAGCACGAAGAGGCTAGTTCGGCATCCGGCAACGATGACTTTATGGACGATATGGACATCAGCGACGACGCAAAACCACGCAAGAAAAACTGTAAGCCACTGAAATTTCTCAAGGCTAGAGACGATACAAAGCCAAAGAAAGCCACGCCTGTCACGGGCGGCAAGAAGAAAGCAAGCAACATGTATAACCTTCTATTGCGAGCAGGAAAGCCAGATGGTTTAGATCACAACTTGCCGCCTCTATCTGAGATCACAGATATCTTCGCAGACCTGGTCAAACAGGCCCAAGGTCTCGGCCTGGTCGACGCACTCGGACATCTGTCAAAGCGACCAATACGCGTTGCCACAATGTGTTCTGGAACTGAGAGTCCGCTGCTTGCCCTCGATATGATTCGCGAGTCTCTCAGAAACAGTAACGCCGCTACCGGGACCTCTGCAATACATTTACAGATCGAGCACTTGTTCTCTGCAGAGATCGTACCTTTCAAGCAGGCATACATCGAACGAAACTTCAAGCCGCCCATCATCTTTCGCGACATTACAGAATTAACTCAGGCGGTGGAGGACGAAGTGCCGATGGCAACAACGGCCTATGGTGGCAGGGTTCAGATTCCTAGCAATGTCGACATGGTCATCGCAGGAACGTCGTGCGTGGATTTTTCACGTCTCAACACGCGAAGGAAAGGTTTAGAAGACGGAGGTGAATCTGCAGATACATGGAAAGCGGTTCGCGCTTTTTGCAAAGCTTACCGTCCAGCATTCGTCCTGTTAGAGAACGTCAGGGGCGCTCTATGGGATGTCATGCTCGCAGACTATCAGGCTCTTGGTTACGAGACAGCGGGAGCATTAGTAGATACCAAGAACTATTATCTTCCGCAAACGCGCCAACGAGGATACATGGTCTGCTTCGACAAGGGAAAAATGGGCCAAATGGCAGGCAACGCAAAGTCGAGAATAGCGACTACTTGGAAATCCTTGATGGAGCAGCTGCAGCGCCGCGCCAGTGCTCCTGTCTCGTCATTTCTACTGTCGAACGATGAGGTGACCCGGCAGCAGTTTCGCAACGACGAGGCTCTCCGGGAAGTGGACTGGACACAGTGCGAGATACGGCACATCGACTATCGACAGAAGGAGCGCCTAGGAAATGCTCGACCTGTGACCCATTGGTCAGAAAGCGGAGCTATCCTACCCCCCGACAATGGGCACGCCGCTTGGTACGCGAAGCAAGTCGAGCGCGTGAAGGACACCATAGATTGCGCTACTTTGCGAAAAGCGCTGCCTTCACTGAAATCTGACAAGTTCGATGCTAGGTTCAAGACTAGGGTTTGGGATCTTTCTCAGAACATTGACCGCGACGGCGACGGCAGACCGTTTGGCATAATAGGATGCATAACCCCCTCGGGTCAATTCTTCATTTCTGACAGTGGCCGGGCGATGACTTCGGTGGAGTTACTAAAGTTACAGGGCTTGCCGTTGGACGCTATATCTTTCACGACCGAGACGCCTTCCGAGATTCAGGATCTTGCTGGGAATGCTATGTCAAGCCCTGTGATAGGGGCTTCGATATTAGCAACCCTTATTGCTGGTCACAAGCTGTTGAATGCCGACGACGAATGCACGACAGAGCTTTCTACAAGCAGAAACATACCGACATTATTAGCTCAAGGCTCTCTACAGCAAGTGCCAATGCGACATACCATACATCCGATCGATATGGCTCAAGTAATCGATTTCGCAAGTCAATCGCAAAGGAGGTGTTATTGTGAAGGCCCTCGCACCCTCACCAAATCCGCGATCCAGAGATGTATAGACTGTGGTCACACTACCTGCATTAATTGTGGAGGAAATCCGACGCATAACTACAAACAGGACCGGCTCCTCACAAATGCACGAATGTTGCCGCAGTCCTTCAGAGACCACTTGACATCTATTTTGCCAATGCGACTCCATTTAGAGTGTGGCAAGCCTTTGCAGCAGAAAGGTCTCTCGGGCCCGTACGGTCTTGCCGTACACGGCGCCTTCGCGTCAGAATTCAATTTCCAACGTGTCCGAAGAACGCACCACTGGACAGTGTCATATCAAGCCAAAGAAGGCGGTGCTGTCCTGGACTTGGTAATCGGAGATCGCGAGGCAGAGTGGCGCCTGTACGCCCTTCCTGATAAGACACTGGCCAGCGGCAATCCCCTCCGTAAATTGCTACTACAGCCGATTGCAAAGTCCGATGCTACTCAGACCTTCTACGGTGGCGAATGGTGCGTAAGGTTGCCGCGAGAAACAACTGCTGCCCTTTATATTGCTGGGAGAGGGGCTCACGTGGCATCGTTTTGGTGTCGCAATGAAATGCCTGACCGACCGCAGCACTTTTTGTGGGATCAACTCGACATCGATGTGGAAGGGACCGACGACGACGGACTCAGCGGCAGGTACCAATATCTCCCGAAATGTGGCACGGCTTTCGACGGACTGTACAAGAGAGTTGATAGCGGCGACAAGGTCCACCCGGTCTACCTGTTCCTCGACCCAACGAGAACCGGCCCTGCTGCGCAGGATTGCTACGTGTTCTCGCACGACAAGGAAGTGAATCTTGAGTACGATGAGGTTCGACCACATCTAGGGCGAATCGCTGCTCCATGGCGACCGTGGTCCGAGACGGCTGAAATGCTTGATGCCAAAAGCAAAGCGCGACTGGTCCGAGAGCATCAATGGCAGTCACTGCAGGACACAATTCGCCTTCAGCCAAGCTCGACGCAGCTCGAGGTGTTCCAAGTCGATCATCTTGCTCAGCCAGTCAACTCTTCGCATTGTACGCAGGCCGTCGTGCTCTCGCGTTGTCGCGCGCCCACCTCAAGCTTTGAAGATGCGGATAAGATCAAAGAAGCGATCAGCAACTTGGATGCGAAATTTTTCACAAAACACGCGTGGATTTTCGAAAGCATCAGGAAGGCTCTTCCTGTCGACAAATGGACACCCCTCTCCTTTCAGCATGATCGTTCTGACTGCGACTGCACGCCCGCGCGACCTGAGCTTCGCTGGCGGCTCGAGACAGATGGAACTATCGTGCCATATGAACACCCCGAAGGTGCCGCAGCCTACGAACGAGCAATCAAGAAGAGACCAGAAACCCTCTTTGTAGCAACGACCGTTGATGAAGGCACTGTTCAGCTTTCACTAGGTGTGAACTTAGCTTCTCTTGCCCACCGTGCCGGGAAACGATTAACACAATCGAGATCACCGTCCGCATCATCCCCGACCTTCGAATGGAAATTTGATTCCGCGCAAGAATCTGATTTTACGTTCAAGCCGTTCCAGCTCAGCGAGACTAAGGGGATCGAGCCATTTACTTCAGAAATCGGCATGGGGGTGCCTTTGTTCCCGAAGCAGCAACTTGCTCTTGCTTGGATGAGGAGACAAGAGGATGGCACAGGTTTCACTCTGGAGGAATCAGAGGAATCTACGATACCATCACTCGGATGGAGAGTCGAAGTCAGAGCTCATGCAGAAGTGACAGTACGCGGTGGCATCTGCGCAGACCATCCCGGGTTTGGCAAAACCATTACTAGCCTGGCGTTGGTTCAGTCACAATTCCAGGAGATGAGCAAGGCTGAAATTGTGGGTGACATTATCGAACGCCAGGAACAGATGGCTCCCGGAATCATTCCCATACAGGCGACACTTATCGTCTGCCCCAGCGTTCTGCTACAGCAATGGAAGAACGAGATCAAAGAAAAGCTCGGAATGACGAAGCATGTGTTGTCTGTGAACAGCGTCTCGGACCTGTCAAAGTACAGCATTAGTGAATTCCAGAATGCCCGGATCATTCTTGTGAATCGGACCGTGCTAGGATCTGAGCAGTACGCTGAGCGGCTTGCAGCATTCGCAGCCGTTCATGGGCCGGCCACCAACTCCGGACGGGCATTTGGTTATTGGCTTGACTTTGCTACCAAACAGATTCCTGCCCATCTGCAGATTCTCCTCAAGGGGAAGGGACTGGAGACTTTGCGCCAGCACATCACTAACACCTACGAGAGCAACCTTGGAAGCGATGAGTTGAAGGCAGTTGTACCATCTCGCCGGCTGCGTGGACAAAATTATGTGGCGGCGAAAGAGAAGAAGAAGTCTGCAACCAATTCAAAAGCAGCATCAAGGGCCATCGACACTACGCACGTTTCCAAGCCTCTATTCGAAATGTTCTATTTCAATCGGGTCATTATCGATGAATTCCATCAATACGATGCCAAGGAGTATGCAGTCATAACTGCTCTCAAAGCGGACAAGCGATGGGGGCTGTCTGGAACTCCCGCAATAGGCGACTTTTACGACGTTTCCCAGATGGCCGGTCTTCTCGGAGTACCCCTACGCATCGGAAGCGACGCAAGAGGCATAATGAAGACGAAGAACATCAGCATTCTGCGCAAGGAGATGACGTCTTTCGAGCGATTTGACGCCATGCGTCAAGCCCCGTCAGATACGCTAAACAAGAGACTGCACGAGATTGACCAGAGCTTCTTGGATCATTTCGTCCGGCAGAACGTGATGGACTGTGGGAACCTTCCTTGTCAAGAACATCTCCTTCCGGTGTCACTGGATCTTGCGCACCAAGCGCTGTATCATGAGCTCTCGCAGCACTTGAATTCTCTTGACATGCGTATCAAGAAGGGGAAGAACGCGAAGACAGGCCGTCAGCAGCGTCTCAATGAGGCGACGAGTTCTTCAGCTACCGCAGAAGAAGCACTTTCGAAAAGTGCAGCGTTTCCGCCGGAAAGCCAAGCTAAGCGTGCGAGAGAATTGCGTACACAAGAGGTAGAAGACCTGGTCGCAGAGCTCCCGAATGCCATTGCCCAAGCTCTAAAGCACGAAGCAAAAGATTTGAAGAAGTGGCAGGAATCGCAACTCCAGTCGCAAGTACTAGGAGATGCAGTCACTATTGCACAGGTCGAGAGTGCTTTCCAACGCGCTAAGAGCGGTGCAGAAATTGCTCCTGTCAAAGCCACTAAGGCTAAGGGGAAGAAGGCCGCCAACGCCTCAGACTCGGACGAGGACAAGCCAGCGACAGGCTCAAGGGCGCGCACAGCCGCTCTGAACAATCTGTGCAAGCGCTTGCTGGTGGCGAACAGATCGGCTCGTTATCTGCAGAATGTCGAAGCCCTCTCGCCCTGCGATGGAAGCGCTTCGACTCAGCTCGGCGTCACTTGCGACAACGCAGATTGTGGCGAGCACGGCAATGCCGCCGTCATAGGTGTTTCGGGGTACTGCGGACATATAATCTGCAAAGGTTGCTTTATGGATCGCTCCTCGCGAGCTTTCGACAAATGCCCTGCAGATGGTTGCAAAGCTCCTATGTATAGCTATCATCTGCTGTGGTCGGACCAAGTGACTGGCACCGCGAGTGCACCAACACCAAACTCCTACGGGGCCAAAATCCAGGCCGTTCTGGACTTACTTGCGAAGATTGAAGAGGGTCACGAGCAGGCCATCCTCTTCGTTCAGTTCAACAATCAGCTGGAAGAAGTCGAGGCAGCGCTGCAGGAGCGCAATGTGTCCGCAATCGTTGTGAAGAACATTACTACGGCCGGGCGAGATATCCAGAACTTTCGAGACTCTGCTAGAACCAAAAGCCACAAGACCGTGCTCGTGCTAAACGCTTCCGAAGAGACGGCTGCCGGATCGAACATCCAGAACGCGAATCATGTGTTGTTCTTGAGTCCGCTACTGCGCGACACTCAATACGACTACGACGCCACCATGGCACAGGCTATTGGACGAGTGCGACGCCCTGGACAGAAGAAGCTCATTCACGTCCACCGCGTGGTCGCCCTGCATACAATCGACGTCGACATCTTGGAGCATCGTGAAAAGCGTATCGATGCGCTCGTGGAGCAGGGCGAAGAGGAGATACAGCGTCCTCAGGGGGCTTCCTCTTTAGAGGCGCACGATGGGCGGCCTGAGCGCACTCAGCTTGTGAAGGAAAACGGAAAGTTCAGTCTCCGTCCTCAGAGTTGGCTAGTGCAGTCCAGCGAACTGGAAATGCAGTCTTGCTCTGCTAACGACAATGAGAATGGTGAAGCGGTGGACAAAGTGCGCGGCAAGAATCGGGTGTTGGGATGGGAGGACTTCAGCTCGCTGATCAAATTCAGCAGAGCTTTCACTGAGAACGGCGATTGAGTATTCAGAGTGTACAGTATTTTGTATGTCTGTAACATGGCTGTCGGTATTGGTTGTATTGTCAAATTTTCTTGCTGAGGGCCCCGTCAGATGTCGATCTCATACTATCTCGTGGTCGGCGGTAGGCACTAGTGTCGCTTTCAGATTGAGAAGGTGAATGGAGTTGGTCACTCGTCACAGCCAGCCGTCGGCTTAAAGATCTCAATCTTGTGCCACGAATCTCCGATCGACTACCATCACCCTCACCCGCACAGATATACGTGCTTCTCCCGCACATATCTTTGCACGCTACGACCAACACTGACGGGGGCGATCGATTCCTCCACTGCAACTATGTCTACCCATCAGCAAGATTCCACTCAGTCGGCCGCTTCTACTACCGGCGAACCCATGGACATATACCAAGAATACGAATATCAGATCATGTATCCTTTCTGTCCGTGCGGAGGATGCTATCGGGATGAGATGCTGGAGTCGCCGTACGACGATCGGGAGCTTCAGAGGGAGGGAGAGGCGCGGGATCGGGATCGGGACACCTTTGAGCAGGTTGTTATGTTTTGGAGGAGTTGGTAGAGATGATGCGTGGGGAAGGTGCTTGTGAAGGCTGCAGGAACGGGAGGTCGTCATGGTGAAGCGGAATTTCAACCGAGCAAATGATGCAAAAAGGTAGCCATCACCACGGTGAATGCGGACCGACGTTACAGCGTATGATATTCAAATGGTAGGGCGTTCCTTTTCCCGCGGCCTGTCGTGTCTACATTCTCTCTATCGAAAATGTAAGTGTACGGGCTACTTGGGAAGGCCCCAAGAGTTGCTAATCGGCTGAGCAGGTCTCCAATCCATCCTCAAGACCCTGATATCTTGGTCAAAGACTTTCAAATGCACCCATCACTTAGCAGGAGCCTCGTGAAATCTTACTACGAAACTGATCATGACGCTGACTCTCTATCGCAGCTCAACTTTGAGGGCTACTACACCAAGCATCAAGTCAACGCGATCATCAGAAAGTTCGAAGCATGTGTGCATCAACAGCAAAAGCGCCATGAGGCCGAGATCGCCGAGCTCAAAGAGCAGCTCCGTCGCTTGGAGAGAGGTCGCCCAGCCAGTAAAGCACCGTATCATGAGTTTCGAAGGCCTGATGGCACGCCAGTACGATGGGCGCATGAAATTGAGGAAATTGAACATGCCAACGAAAGTGACGACAGCGAATCTACGGATGACGAGTGTGTCGGCAGGCGGAAGATTGATCACAACAAAGACATGGATCAGCAAGGCCGGCCTGAGCTCGTTGGCGACGATGAAGAGCGCCTCGATGTCGGCGAGTACACCCGTTAGTGGCGCAAATGAAAGTGCAAAAGGGCACGAGAGGACAGTAAGGCTATAGAGAAAATGGACGCGGAGCAAGTGAGCCGTCAGGAGAATCTGGAAGATATAATCTCACGTAGGGCTCCTTTTTTGCATTTCGAATCATTTCGTACAATTATACATTATGAAAGGTATGCTCTAATCAGCTACTGCCGGCAGTTTTGCATGCCCTCGAAAGAAATCTCCATGAACCCTTGATCAAGTTTCACCGCCATCTATGCCCACTAGTTGCTAGCACAACCGTCATTTGACCGCTTTGAGTCAGGATATCTCTCCAACGCCTCACATAAGAGCTTCATTAATTCATCAAATGCTCAGAAAATCTCCGCAAAATGTCGAAACCGTGATTGCAGCTTCTGACAGGATCAGTCACATTCTTGTTAAAGGGCTTCCCGATGCTCACCATCAAGCAGTATTGTCAACCGCAGAATCCTGTCTCAGACGCTCTGCGCGAGACTTCGACACTGCCTGCCACTCTACTTTCGTGACGTACTCAACTTCATCGATCTCCTTGATACGTTGCAAGAGTCCCAGAGGAGCGTTGCCTTCAGTGGAGAAGCGGAAGATCGTGGGCTCCATTGGATGCGCGGCCGTCAGACCGCAGACCAGTGGCGCATAAGCTACCTCAATCAAGACAGAGGAGTCCTCAGTCTCGCAAGACTGCACCGGGAACCGAGCAAAAGCAGAAAACGCCTTTGAGATTCTGAGTGGAGGTGGCGCCAGCGCAGGCAGCGTCAAATCCAGCTCTCCGATTTCATACTTCTCCAGAACTTGTCTGACCTTCTCCTCGCCCTCTCTGAACTTGTGCTCTTTGCAGTACACGAGGTAAAGCGTCGTCGGTGGCCGTGCCATTTCTCGGATCCGATCTTCGAGATTGGCAAGGCGCTTTGCGAAGTCCTCCGCCGACCAGGCGGCTCTGTCGCCGTGGTCCGCGCGGAGCACGTCGCCGAATTCTTCGCGGATGACGTTGGTCAGCTCTGCTTGGCGGCCGCATCGTTCGGAAACCTTGAGGAGGCACATGTTTGTATGGGTGGGGGTAGTAATGGTGATGATGTCGAGACGGTTGATGTTCAAGTGGTGTTGTGGCAGATGAAGAGGGATGTAACGGTGCGTTAATGAGTCCTCTAATAGTGAGGCCTGGTGGGGCTGCGTTGTGAGTGAGGACAAGATAGAGTTTAGGGGCTCTTTCACATGTTTCCCGCCAAGACGCTAGCGTGTTCTGCGGAGTCATTCCGAATTCGCACCCCACGGACAGAGTCGAGGCATCGCCTTGGATGGTAGCTTATATCTAGTGCAAGTGCGGGAGATAGGCCTCTGCCATTGAGAAAAAAAACGAACAGCTAGTGTAAGTCTAACCCGTCTTTAATATGTGGGAAATCGTCGTTGGCCGCTCATAGTAGGCCACTACTTTCTTTGTTCTTAACTAATTCTTTGCGTCCTCCGCAGTATCTCGGCTAGTCCTTCATGCGTCCTGTGTACTTTGACATGTCCTTGCGACTCCGGTTACTTTCCAATACGAGCTTTGATGAAAACGCGCAGCTCGGGCATTCTCACGCGGTCGTAGCGCAGACGGTTGTAGTGCTGGGGGTTGCTGTCGTCATGGCAGAATTGCTTGCCGATGAGATGCACGGTGGCGTAATTAATCGCCTCTTGTGACATGCTCTTAGTGATGTCGAGTCGAAAGAAGTTTGAAGACGGGAAGTTGAAGTTCAAGACCGGGAAGTAAGCAGCTTCGCATGTGAACACGAAGCACGAAACCACGAAGCACGGAAACAAAAACAAGAAAACGTGAAACATGCGGGTGGTTCTTGCTATTATTTCTGGAAAAGCTGCACACATTTTATACCTTGAGTCCACCTGCCGGCTCCCGATCGTCCTCAATCGTCTGCTGTATCGGCCACATCCTGCAGAGTCCAACGTACACCACTGTGCTCGTTACAATTCCATACAGGTAACTGAGGTAATACAGGTGCAAAGCCCCTTGCGCCACGCCCTGCGACGACACCTGAACACCCGACGATTAGTGGCCGTTCTTCTATGAAGCAATAGAACACTCACAGCGTTCGCGAACCCCGGCGTCAACGGCACCCACCCAGCCATCCAAGCAACCATAGCCCTCCAGTTGGTTCCGAACCTATTGTATCGATATCGTGCGTGCGGTTGGTATAGATCCGATACATGATACGTCTGCCGCTGTACGATCCAGTAGTCTGAAAGTAGAATGCCTGTAATGGGTGCTAGCCAGATCGTATACCCATCCATGAAGTTCAGCAGCGCTGAGGCAGAAGCGAGAATGTTCCATGGTGTCAGAGCCCAGGCGCCGATGAAAGCTACAACATAGGAGCCACGGCGAAGGTTGATATACTGCAAAACGACATTAGCCAGCCTATGGATTGATCAGAATGAGCAACATACCCTTGGAAACAGCGCATTCAAATCGTTACTAGCAGAAATGCAATTCGCACTCAAGTTCGTGCCCAGTTGTGCAAGGGCAAAAGCGAGTCCACAGAACGCTGCTGCAGCTCTCGCTCCGGAACTACCCTTCCAATACGAAAGAATGGTCAACGGATCCCAAATCTCTTCACCGTAGAGATCAGTAGCTGTGCCAGCAATGATGACGCCCCAGAAAGCCATCATGGCGAAGGAGATAGGTATGATGACGATCTGCACGAACACAGAGCGTGGCTTGGAGGCGTAGCGGGCGAAATCATTGATGTTCACGGCCATGGTGCCATAGTTGCCAAGCATGGACTGCAGCAGATGGGGTCAGAGAATTGCACGTACGGTCTCGGGTCAGGACTTACGTTGAGAGCGCTCATGAAAGCCCAAGCATACTTTGATCCAGAGATGGCATTGCCCCTGTCCATTAAAGTCGTATGCAAGCCGCCACCGGCGCCCTTGTGACAAGCCCACCCGAGCAGACCAAAGATCGCAGGCAAGACCAGAAAGGCCTTCAAATTGAAGAACCACGTCAGCCTACGCGGATGGACATAATGGAATGGCAGGACGATGAGGAAGTAAACAATATATGCTGTGAATCACATCAGTAAAGAGCACAGATCCTGCCTCAAAGGATCACTTACCAACCATAGTCTGCGTCGTGATATTCGCTCCGTCCGGTAAACGATTCTTCACATTTGCGAACTGCGGCCAAATAGCCAACAACACCGCCCGGATACAGAGAGCCCCATTGTAAGTATTAATTCCATACCAAAAGACCCCTACAACCATCCTGATCGCCACGACCATAAAACTCGCATAGAATCCAAACGAGGCCCGACTCTGGATCGTGTACGGGATATGTAGCCTCGCTCCGATGATTCCGTTTGCTGTGATAGCCAGCGCGATGATTCCATGCCCGAGCGTTATCACGCCGATGGCGGTTCGCCAGGAAAGTCCGAGCGTTACTATGGAAGAGCCCAGGCGGAGGTTTCCTGGAGAAAGAGCGTCGCAGAGCCAGTAGGTGATGAAGTTGAGACTGGTCCAGGTTTGGTTTTCAGGGGGAGTTGGTTCGAGGTCGGCGTTGGTCCATTTCGTTTCTTGTCCTGGGATGGAGTCGAGTTGGAGTTTTTGAAGGCAACGTTGGAAGAAAGAAGGATGGAGGTCTATGCCGCTGCCCTCGTCAATGTCATGATCGTCGACTACTACGGTGTTTGTAGCCTTCGCGGTCTTTTTGGATGATGTGGTGATGTGGTCATCCATCCTTCTGGTCATGCAGTCTGTCCTTCAAGCTTTTGATGAGGGTCATGCTGTTTTATCTAACTTCTTGTCTAAAGATAGCGTCGACGGTCATCCATGCAACGTGATAGCGGGGATCGGCCAAGATAGAGTTGTGGTACACAACTGGGGGATTTCGGCCAATTGCTGGTATCGATACGCCCATGGCCGACGGCGATACGACCATGGCCGACGACGATAAGCCGCTTCTCTTGTTTGCGACTCTTTATCTTGGGAATTCAATGGTAGCAACAGAAGGCTGACAGACGCAATCTGAATCACAAGGCAGTAACTGCTTCTCAAAATGCCGCACAGTATCGAATCTCTCAAAGTCGTCCCGCTAGATGGCAACCTTCGCAAGGACACCGGGCTTGGGGCCGAAGTCCAACTGTCCACATCTATGCCACTGCTCGAACCATTGCTCTTGACAATGGAAGACCAAGAACGTTTGCGACGGGCACTGTTTGAGAATGGCGTCCTGGTGGTAAGGAATCAACAAGGCATCCATCCGGACGTCTTGCCTCAACTGGCCAGAATCTTCGACCCAAATGCGAAAGGCATCCATTCTGGTGGCGCAAAACAGGTGACCGAGAAGAAGAACATATTAGCTCTGAACAATGGTTCTCGAATCCCACGTTCGCCACAAGTGATTGTCATTGGCAAGGGCAATACAAATGGTCATGAGGGGATCGTGGATTTGGAGCTGAAGCACCTTGTTAGTCCAATTGCCCAGCCCATTCGTTACGTGATAGTTTCTGATCAGCCAGGACCATACTTCTTTTCACGAGACTCCATTATCGCCAGAGGAGATCGCCGCTGGATACACGCGACCGTACAGATGGCACATGGACGCCCCGGTGTACGAAAACCTTCCCGGCTTCGCAACAGTCCTCCATTGCGTTGAAGCGCCAGAATTGCCCGATCAGAAAATGTCGTTTCCAACAGGCATAGGAATGGACATCGCAGCGGGAGCAACAGCATGTGCGTGACACTTTTGTTTGCTTGAAGCTTGGATGAGCTAATTCAAGGCAGTCTTCTCCGGTGCTCGCAATTTCGAGCTCTTGTCTCCGGAAGAGCGGGAGTTCGCACTCAACACAACTGTTCAATACGCGCCGAGAGCATACGAGTGGATGAAAGATTGTAAGGCTACTGATGATGGCCTGACTATCGCCCGTCCGGGCCGGGAGAAGGCAGAAAATGAGTTGACGCCGTTCGAGTGGGAGAAAGTCCACGCATATCCAGTGAGCAAAGAGGATACCTCCGTTGTGTCGACGTGCTAATACTTTCGCAGATGGTCTGGCGGAATGCGAGTACTGATGCTCCGCATTTGCAAATCCTAGGTTGCTGTGTGGAGTCTCTGCACACCAGAGATCCGGCCAGCGGTGAGATTTCCGTGATCGATAACTTGGCTGAGGTCAGGCGTATCTGCCATCAGATGCAGAGCAAGATCTACAAGCCTGAACACGTATACGCTCATCGATGGAGAAAAGGCGATCTCGTCATTTTCCACAATCGAGGGGTGTTGCACAGCATTACAGGACAGCTTGAAAGCCACCCTCAGAGGAGACTGCTGTGGCAGTGTAGCATGGCTACTGAGACGCCGCCGGAGGCATACAGGAAGTGATGAGATCTTTGACTTTGGTTTGTGCCTTCATTACTGTCGTGTAGTTGTTAGGAAGTCCCCGTTCTCATCCTTCACGAGTCGTATGGACTATGCGGTCGCGCTTCAAACACATACAGTGTCCTAATTCGTTGATCGGGCAAGAAGAACAATCTTAGCTTGCCGTGCTCCAGGCTGAATTCGGATGGATTCTGGGTGTACGTCGATGCCACCATTGTGGTATTGCAAGGCTCCGGGCTGCGCGCGTTCAGGAAGAGCGAGCCAGGGTGGGGGTTGCAGTCACGTGCGAGACTGCTGCTTCTTATTCTGGCACGTCCCAGTGGTTCCAGCAGCGAGGCGCACAGAGGAAGGCGCGAACGACTGGTCCGCCCTCAGATCAGGCAGGCATCAGCCACTTTGTCGGGCACCTCGAGCGCCACACGTCATTTTGACTGAAAGAGCTAGCGGCAAACAGAGCAACTCAGCAAGCTGCAATTACTTTACTTCTTCACATCTGTCCCGCTCTTTCAAAAGCTCTCGTCTCCCATACCGAACAACTGTCCTCTGTCCTCGTCCTCGTGATGCAAACGGTATACCACCGACGCCACATGCCGAAGTATGTTTGCACTTAAGTCGCTCTCGTCGTACCTGTTCGGAAAGACCGACAAGCAGAACATCGTCGAGCTTCCCCAAGGCCAGCTTTACATCGTTCGCCCACAGTCGCCCAAAGGCTACAGCGAACTCATCTTCAGGGACGCTGCGGCATACATTCGCAAGACCGGCCAAGACTTCCAGTATCAGCTGGTCATCCAGCGCGCCTACGAGGAGGGTGAAGAAGAGCTGCTAGAGGACGAAGGTGGAGAGGACGCGGCAGTTGACGCTCTTGGAGATAAGGACGAGAAGACATTTCTCTTGGACGAAGAGCTTCACTTTCGCGTGCAGCTGAAAGAGGACGGAGAGATCGTCCTTGCTTGGCACGACCTGTCCGGAGACGAAGGCGACCTATTTGAATTCGTTTGCACTGCTTCTACGCTCCCAGAGACCGCAATCAGCTTCGAGGTTGTCGCAGCGCAGTGTCAGTACGAACGCAAGTACAGACGGAGCCACGAACACGCGACTGAGCAAGATCTGAAGCAATTCGCATTCGACGACGAGCCAGAAATTCCGGCGGCAAGCCCTGTTGCCAGCGCAACCATTTCGCCGGTCGCGCGCTCCTTGACCGACGTTCGCGACGCTTCTGCATCCCCACAAACCTCCACGACGGAAGTGGTCATGCCTGTCCGCAAGGCGATCGAGCAGACTCCCACCAAGGCGCCTGCCCCACGGCAGGTGCCGCAGAGCCGGGAGGTGCTTGCAGACGAATCAGCGGAGCTCCATCTCTTCGATTTCCAGTCCGGCACATTCATACTCCAAGATGCAGACGTACAGGCGATTGTTCAAGAGACAGGTAACTGGACCTACTGGCTGCAGATCTCGGGCAACAAGCAGCAGTGGCTCGGACAAGAAGTCATGCCCGACATCAACCCAGTCTTCAACTTTGAGTACCTGAGCTTTATCTTCAATCACTATACAGAGGATGGTTCGGCCTACTCGTGGTTGCTGAAATTCAAAGACCGGGACACTCTGACCCAATTTCAAGAGGGGCTCATGCAGGCAATGTGGGAGCACTTGAATCAGATGAAGTGGCAGAAGATGGTCAAGGAGGCAGAGAAAGATTATGTTCTGGATGCATTTAATGATTTGGTGCTGGAGGACACGAAAGACGACGAGCGGGAGCGAGAGGCTGCAGAGGAAGACGAAGAGGAGGAGGACTACGAAGACGCCGTAGACCGCCCTGCCACTCCAGACTTCGATACAGACGAGGACGAAGATGAACACGAGGGCCTCGATAAGGACGGCAATGTGAACAGTCAACTGGCCGTGGGCGGAAAGGTCGACAGATCATTCGTTGTCAGAGGCGACAAGATCGGCGTGTTCAAGCACTCGGACGACAACGGCCTAGAGTTCAGCACCATGATCAACAAGGTCGCGACGCCCAAGGGCAAGAGCTTCTCGCCGCAGAAAGTTATGCTTCACATGTCAGATCGCAACATGGTGCTCCAGAACGGCAACGATCCCAATAGCCTCTACCGCATGGACCTGGAGACCGGAAAGGTTGTTGATGAGTGGAAGGTTCATGATGATATCCCCACCAACATTTTTGCGCCGGAGAACAAGTTTGCACAGACAACAGATGAGCAGACGTTCCTAGGTCTCTCCAACAACGCACTCTACCGAGTTGACCCGCGTCAGAGCGGCAACAAGCTGGTGGACTCTGAGCTCAAGCAGTATGCCAGCAAGAACGACTTCTCTGCCGCCGCGACAACCGAGAAGGGATACATTGCTGTGGCGTCAAACAAGGGCGATATTCGGATGTTCGATCGCCTTGGAATCAACGCAAAGACCGCTCTTCCTGCTCTGGGTGACCCTATCGTCGGTCTGGATGTCAGCGCAGATGGTCGCTGGGTTCTCGCAACTACTCGTACCTACCTTCTGCTCATTGATGCTCTCCAAAAGGAAGGCAAGAACGAAGGCAAGCTCGGCTTTGAGAAAGCTTTCGCCAAAGACAGCAAACCACAGCCTCGTCGTCTGGCTCTCACGCCATCTCACGTTGCCCAATTCCAGCACGAGACCAAGCAGCCGCTCTCGTTCACACCAGCTCGATTCAATATGGGCGAAGGCAAAGATGAGACGACCGTCATCACCGCCACCGGGCCTTTCATCATCACCTGGTCCCTCAAGAAGGTCCTGGCCGGCCGCAAGGACCCGTACAGTATCAAGCGATATGCGGAACAAGTTAAAGCCGACAACTTCCGCTTTGGCAGTGACAAGAACATCGTCGTCGCGCTACCGAACGACGTGGATATGGTTGCGCGCAGAGCATTGCAGAGACCTACCCGGGAGAGCATTATGGCAACGCCGAAAAAGAGCGCCAAGGGTAGAGGGAGCTACCTCTCGAGAAACGAGGTGGTCAATTCGCCTTACTAGGAGCCCGAGTAAAACATGGAAGTTACGTTACGAAGGAACACTGACGAGTCGACTCGTCGGCTGCGGCGCTTACGAGAATGGAGTTACGATCTGGATGTGGTTGATGGAGCGAATGGAGCCGCCGGTGGCTTTGGGCGCATGAGTAGCGATCTTGTTTGGGATTGGGTATTCTTCTAGTAGTGTCTCGTATAGGTAGCAACAGCCATGGCTGAGAATGGAAAGGACGAAGAAAGTTTCGGTCAGCATGATTTCTGGTCCTTCGTCACGAGGCACTGGCTGTTTGGAGAAGGCCAGGGAATGGGATGGATGGTTCCCATGAATCCCTTGCTTCGTGAAATCCGGTGAGTTAGTAGACCTACGATGAGAAGAGCTTACAAATGCGACATAGTCGGCAATACATAGAGATCGTCTGCCAGGGATGCGAATACGCAAAGCCATGGCGACTGGAACTCGATGCGAGATAAACAAGACGAGCTGGGGAGTCTGGACCTACTTTCTAGGCGAAGGGGACGGGCGATACTGTTTTCTGTGAGAAGCCTACCTTTACTACGGAGGAGAGACCTGGACTGGAGCACGAGCCCTTGGAACATGATGCCTGGCCTGGGTATCGTCCTGACTCCCCATTTGACACAAAACGCGTTACCAACCCGTCAGCTGCTGAAACCATGTCTTCGTATCACACCACACAGACCCTCCTCCCTAACACAGATTCAAACCTCGGCACTGCAAGCAAGATATACTTCTCACCATAAAGACGTTTCCGGTAGTTCGCGACACTGATGAGACAACATCTGCACAACGCCGACGATGAGACAGGGGATTCGCCATGTACGAGTTTCATTGTTCATGCGAACGGTTTTTCCTTTCTTAAGCGAATGAATGTTACAAGCCTTGCTTTGCCACAAATCCACACAAACTTCTATCGTACCATCCTAGCTAGTGCTTGGCACCCTCGGCGCATTCCGCCTTCCTCTGCTCAAAGATCCTGAGAGCTTCCTCGGCAGCCTTGACGCCCGAGAGAGCCATGGCGCCGAAAGTAGGGCCCATGCGGTTGGCTCCGTCGACCTCGGACAGTTCCATGCCTCCGACGATGAGGCCGGGAGCGATCTCACGAGTGCCCTTGACAATGGCGTCTTCGGCAGTGTTCATGTCGAGACCGCGCATGCCACCGAGGGAAGAGAGGCTGCCCATGGACACGAGGCGCTTGACGGAGAAGGCACCGAACGGGCCTGAGATGAGCGTTAGTTGACGGTGTTGCGGGGGGTTTGGGTGCACAAAGACTCACCGTCGTGGCCGGTAGTCGAAACAATGACGGGGGCATTGATGGTGTTGGGGTCCATGCAGCTCTGGTCATCATGGTGCATGCTGACGAGAGTCCAGTTGGTGACGACACCGGCAATGTGAAGCTCACCACTGGAGTTCTTGCGAGTGATCAAGTCCTCCACCGCAGTGGCGTTGAAGAGCTTCACGTTTGGAAACTGGAGCACCTTGGACAGCACAGTGCTGGTGAAGAGGGCAGCGTGCTTGACGACCACGAAGTTTGCATCTGGACCATCGTCCTCGTACGGGACGCCGAGCTCACGAAGGAAGGCATCGGCTGGCTTCCTCATGATCATGGCGCTGAAGAGCTGACCGCCAAGCCAAGCGCCTCCTCCAGGAGCGACGCCAGCCTCGATGATGGCAATCTTGAGGTCCGGGCGCGCCTTGGCGAGGCAGTAAGCGGTCGAGAGACCACAGCTTCCAGCTCCGATAATGACAATATCGCTCTCGGCGTACTGATCCAAGTCTGCGAAGTACCTCCTGGTCATGGCCCGCGAGACCTGAGACTCCCTAATATGCGCGAACTTAAAATCGCTCCACTTTCCAGCCATGTCGTCGATGGCCTGAGGCTTGGTATGCCCGTTGATCGGAATGGCAGTGGTGTGAGGCACAGAGGCCATCTTGGACGCTGCCACTGGAACTGCGTGGCCATTGGTAGCCGGCTCCTGGAAGTTCATGGCAGGTGGCGACATGTTGATGATTCAATCACTGCGGTCGTTAGCAACCTCTCCATTGCGGGTGGGAGAGGACGAGGAAAGCATGATTCTTTCGCTGGTATTATCCAGATGAGATCAAGTTCAGGCCGTATAATCTCAGGACGACTCTCGAGCTCTGCTCCATCTTCTCCCTCAGCGCACCCCGACGGTCTTTGGCAGATGAAGTTGACGGCAGATGTGTTTGTCTGTGAGATGACACAGAAATGGAATCTCGCCATCCCCACGCTCGCGCCAACGCAGACCAGTTGACTAGCAAGCGTTTGTCTGCGCTGGGGAAATGGCGGAGATGGTCGAGCTGCCTGATCAGGACGAAACGTTCGCTTCGTCCCGGTCAACCTTCACGCCGCAGAAGAGCCGCGACGGTGACTTGGGTTGGAAGATGGAGTCCGAGCCGTTTGCAGTCGTCCACCGGCTCATGCTCTTCGGTCGACTTTCGCGATACCTTGATCGTCATTGGACATAACCCATCCGAAGCTGAATCGTGGCCCCATCCCATGGTGAAGAGTGCGCGGCGCGTACCAAGCCGTTTTCGGGTATCACAGAGTTACCTGTACCACGGGTCAGTCTGCTCTGGGCGCCCACGTGTAGTGCCAATGTTGATACTCGTCCGGAGGGTCTTTGTTTCAACTCTCTCGCAATGCGTAAGGGAAGATATGCAAGATAGAGTGGGCCACAGGAAAGAAAAGTTGGAATGTATCAGGAGAGCAGGATAGCTTAAGTTGTTGAGGGGAGCAGGGTTCCCCGCCGTCAAGCTGGCAGGATGATGATAGCATTGGAAAGAGCTATCGCGGGTCTCGTTCGCGCTCTGGAAGCCGATGACGGCGTTGACCGCTCTACCAGGCCATCAGACCAGCGACCAGCAGGCCGGGTGACCGGTCTCGCAGAACGGCGGACAGCGGGTCACAGCCATTGACATGGTACTTCCCAGTTCCCTTCACCATTGCCATTGCCATTGCCATTGCCATTGCCATTGCCATTGCCATTGCCATTGCCATTGCCATTGCCATTGCCATTGCGACTGCCATTGCGACTGCCATTGCAACAGCGGTGACAAAGCTGCTTGCGTGGATAGGTAAGGTACTGTGATGACCGCGGACGCAAGTGGACGATACGCGCGCGGAGATAGACATGGGTGACACCGCTGCGCAGAGCAGTAACGTGATTTCTTAGTAGTGAGCAAGCTGAGATGAGAGCGCTGAAGGAAGGAGCAGGCTGTGATGAAGCCTTCCTCAAGTGGCTACCTAGACACGGCATTCTGCCCTAGTGTGTTATGTTATGGGTAGTACTAGTGGTGGTCTGCCCCGGTCTTGGCTCCCGGTCTGCTCATGGGGATCCGCGCGAGCAGTGGGGAAGAAGCTTGGCGGTGGAGTTGCGTCAATCACCTCAGGGATGTCAGGGATCCTGATATACATAGCAGCAGCCGACAGGGGAGCCACGATGCGAGGCGAGGCGAGGCGATGTGATGTGATGCAGTGTTCTTCTCGTCGGGGTCATGCTCTGGGACATTGCAACCCTCAGGCTGCCGTCACGCTGCGTCGGTACGCGCGATGCTGCGACGCACCGCTCCTCTGACCACCTGGCCCGGCATGTACGAGGTCCGCGAGGTTACCACGAGGCGCCGTGCGTAGCAGTGCTGTGGTGCGTAGCAGAGACTGTCCCAGCACAAGAGCTCCGCTCCGCACTCGGCCTGGCCTAGCTTGGCCTGGCCAAGCCGGACAAGGTGTATAATGCAGGAAATGGTGGTGGGGAGGAGGGTGTGTGATATTGATTGTTGCCCGCGGGATGCAACGAGACACTGTGTTGACGCTCTGACTGTCTGGCCTGCGACGACGGTCAGCGGCGCCCCGGACGAAGAGCAATGCAATGGAATGGAATGGAATGGCATCACAATCGTTCGCAGAATCGGGCAGAATCGATAGCTCAACGGTGCTGGGCGACGCCACCTCCAATCTCACCATCACCCTCACCATCGTCAACATCATCTCAGCCGGGCGATGTGTGATGGTCGCTGCCGCCGCTCAGGCCGCAGAGTGCGTCGGACTCTCCAAGGATGGCTGTGATGGTGTCTATATTTCGCGGCTCCTACGGCACGCTAGCAGGCCTAGCTCCACCAGGGGTTGGAAAGCGTCTTCTTCAACGACCTCATCACTGTCATGTCCTGTGTAGAGCACACCCGCAACCGTCGCGTACACGAGCAGCTGAGACGGACGCTGCGCTGCGCTGCCAAATCACGCTCCCGAATGCCCTGGGCCTGCCCGCCCGCTCCGCACGACGTCTGGTGTGTCCGGGAAGCCGTTGCCAGTATATCCGCCCCCTCGGTCCATCCATACATACCATCCTCTGTCCGTCCTTTTCTTACCTCCCTCCCTTCTCTCCCTTTCGTCCTGTTACTCCTACCATGTGCCATCCCGTTCTACCCGTCGCTCTCCCTCGCACCAACACCACCGCCGGCGCTGCCACTGCCACCGCCACCCCCATCTCTTCCACTGCCACCTCCTCCATGCCACTGTCTCTCCCCCGTGCGACGCCGCTCCAATGTTGGTAGCTACTATGCCCACCAGCACCCAATTCCTTCAAGTCCCGAAACCACTACCCAACCGGAAGTCACGTTCACGATCCAGGAGCAGACAAAGAGACATGCCTCGCGAGGTGACCTACTCGTCGACTCAGGTCATTGTCTCCCCCGACAAACTGAGCTTCCGAGCCCAGTCTCCGCCCGCGCCTTTCCGACCGGAGCCATACCGACGGCCGTCCCCTGTCAATGCTTTCACCAAGATGCCCAACCAGTGGACCAACGGCCACCGCGTCGTTTCCGCGCCACTGCCCAGCATCGAAATCGAAGACACGCCCATGTATGAAAAGACCGACGGTACCAACTACGACGACCTGAACGAGGGATTGTACACCATGGAAGAATGCGTGACACCGCCACCCGCAATCCCGCTACGACAGAAGCTCATTGGAGCTTGGAAGTTGATGTCCTATATCGCCTATCCAACTCCCCAATCACCCGTCCAACGACCTACCTATCCCATGACGAAGAATGTCACGGGTTTCATCCTCTACACGCCGGATGGATATATGTCGGCACAGATGCTCATACCGGGACAACAGAGCTTCAAGCGTGGAGAAGGAGAAGAGCCGCAATGGGCAGAGGCCGGCAAGCGCTGTTTCGCGTATTGCGGACCGTACTACATCAACAACGAAGGGCCCGGTCGCGAAGAGATTCTCCGGCATACTTTCCAATGCTGCAGTTTACCCGGCTGGATCGGAGACATTCAGATCCGAACACACCATTTCGAGGAGGACGGGCAAGTACTTGTTCTTGGAAGCGAAGAGCCCACAGAAGTCAAGGTGAGTTTGTCCTTGCATTGAAGATGTCGTCACGCTTCCTCTACGCGTCATTGATGCTTTATTGCATTCTATTCTTGGTGAGAACACCTATAACTGACATGATTTGTACAGGGCGACCGGCGTATTCCCGTCCTGAAATGGCGACGAGTACAAGATAACGCAAACGGAGTACCGCCACCGCCCACGCCCCAGATCAAAATCAGCGGCCCCGGTGAGCCTTGAGAAGCAGCAAAGCAAAGCAAGGCAGAGCAAAGCAAGGCATCACCAACAAACAACAGCACCACGACGACGCGCCCGCACGGGCCAACACCTGTCGCGACCCGTTCGATCTCAAACACAGCAGTAGCGTCGGAAGGAAGCAAGGAAGGAAGGAAGGGAAAGCGGCTTCCCGTTCGGCATCCTTCTCTCGGGAACACGCATCGGCACCCCGAGCGTACCACACCACAGCTGCGCGCACTACTTACCCGCAGAGTGGAACCACCGCGGCTACTACCTACGATATCGCATTCTTCTCCACCTACCTTTCGTAGCAAATCGACAGGACACCAACCAGCAAGGCGTATTAATCTTTTTTTTTATTTAGCGGAAACGAATCTCTCATTTGTCACACGAGACAAAGCATCTGTCAGCAGCATCGCAAAGCGTGCGAATCGGCGTTTTCAACGAAAGGATAACGAAGGATCTGTTTTTTTGTTTCTTTGAATGAAGGGAGCATATTCTTGGTGTGTGTGTGCTTTTGGCAATCAGTTTTGGGGATATACCACCGTTTTTGATTTTCTTGGATTCGATCTTGTACCAGTTGGTTTCTTTCTGGTTTGGCGCACAGAACAGAGCAGCGTCCGGCACGACTGCCGACTCCGCACCACAGAGCGAGCGAGGAGAATCAACCGACAGGCAGAAACAGAGACGGAAGAGAAGAGAAGAGAACAAGAAGGCAACGCAAATCTCCCTTTCGTTTCGCTTCGCTTCGCATCCGAGCTCCATAGCCCTATAGCTACCTATCCACCTACTGTCTAATACCCACCAACCAGCCAGTCCAGCAAGTTCAGTCAGTCCCGTCATCACCATTCCCAAAGACACAACAACTTGTCATAGAAGCTCGTACTCACAACCTGCCGGTTTTTCCCCTCACGTTTGATCGCATCGCCGCCGTAATTCATACTCTGGTGTTCTTCGAACCGCGCCAAGACTTCGAGGCGCCAGGAATCTTCTTCTCCTCGGGTCGCTTTCACGATGCGCGAACCGGCGTGCATGCAGCTGGCGAGCAGCACGGCGCTAGGGAGAAGGGTCAGGTGTCAGATTGCATCATCTTCATCGTGGCATGTGGTGATGAAGGACTTGCCGCGTGAGGTGTGAGTACGATTTGGGGGAGGGAGGGACTGGGGAAACGAACCTCATCACGGAGCCTCCTTGATTGTTGTCATGTGAAGATTCGAGGAGTTTCAACCTCCACACTCCACCCCCTAGATTGAGCTCCGCGAGGCATTGTCTTCTCCCCAGCGACGGGATCCTCAGAAGACGAATGTGGTCGTCATAACTCCCCGTGATGACCAGCTCGTCGGAAAGAGGCAGGATGGACGTGACACCCGCCTGGTGCAAGCGCGTGTCCCGCCAGAGGAACTGCACGCCGGCGGCTGCTGCTGCTTGTCGGTCAACGAAGCGCGAACAGCGTAAGGAGCTATCATCACCACCCGACACGACCACCACGCCCTCCTCCTCATCGACAGGGCCAAGCGGCGCGAAAGCGCAAATCCACGCTTCCAGCTCATGCGAGTGGATTTCCGTCTTCATCAGGTCATGCTGCCGCTGCGGTGCTTCAGGGCTCCACAGCGGGTGGTGCTGCTCGCTGTGCAGCACCAGCACTCTTCCGTCGCTCAGCGTCACGCCGAGCACGTGGTGCCGGCTCGGGTGCCATGTGAGGGAGAGCACCAGGACGAAGGGATCCTCGGATATGATGACGGTTTTCGCGTGCTCGAGCGTTGTCGTCGCTGATAGTCGATAGAAAACGACTCGGCCTGTCGATGTCGCTACTGCTAAGATTTCTTCGCTGTTTGGCTGGCAATTCCATTGGAGATCTAGAACGGCGGAGTCTGTAGGGAGTGTGGACAGGCGCGTTCTGCAGAATGGATTGATTAGCTGGGGGGCTGCAAATGCAAGGTCGATCGATAGCGAATAATCAAGGGAAAGAGTCCGCAAACCAACGACGCTAGAATATGCATCGAAGGCAAGACAGTCTTACAATATACATAAATACATACATACATGCTATTATCGTGCTCGTCCAGACGGAAGAGAATCAGACTGCCCGTGCGCTTCTGGGGCAGTGTGGATGTCGTCGCAACTGCTTCTTCTTCTTCTTCCGTCTCTTCCGTGCGGGAGGCCTCATCATCGTTGGCAGCAGTGCCTTCGGACTCGCATGTGTCAGACGGATCCCTATTATTCCCACCAGACAAATCACCCTGTTGCTCCCTCCGGTGAAGCAAGTAGGTTCCGATGCAGAAGATTCCCGGTCGCGTCGGGCAGAATTGCACGCAGCTGGGCGGTAAGTCGAGAGTTTGGGAGTGGATGGATTGGATGGATGGTGCTGTCATGATGGTGGATAGCTGTTGTGTTGTGTTGTCACGGTCCCCGTGAGATTTGAATAGCTGTTTCAGGGATTGGGTTCGCGAAAGGGTTTCGAGATTTACTGTACAGTTGCTTGCAGAGTGTCGGAAGTCGGCTGGCAGTAGGTAGTGTGCTTGGGTGATCTTTTGAGATGTGCTGGCTTTGCAGAAGAAAATCGCGAAAAACTTCGCTTGCTGCTGCTTAGAACTAGATACTCCCCAGCATAGGCCATAGGGCAGTTTCGTGCGCTCCTGAGAACTCTTGTCGAATAGATAATATAGGGGCATCACGCAACGCCCTCTCTCAAGTGGAAGAGTGCCCGTGACCCCGCTTCCCAGGTCTTTGAACGAGAAAAGGTCCCCAGTGGCATAAAAGTTGATTTCAGTCCGGAGATACATTGTTAAAGACAACGATTCAGCGCTGACAACCTGCACGTGTCCAGCACCAACACCGAAATCGTCTGCAGCTCATGACTTAGCTGCAATCAGCACCACGTAAGCCCCATTTCCATTATAGCCGGGGGAAAAGCTGTATGATTGCTACCAGCGTCCATCACATTCCAGTCTTCCGTCGTTCGCCATCGATGGCAGTCTCATCAGAACCACTAGCAAGTGTTGTCGCCATTCAATTTCCCATTCGCACTCCCCGTATCGTGAATCTCTTTAAAGACCTGCAGGAAAGCAGCTGGCTCCTCGGCGCCCTGAATCTCATACCGATCATTGATCGTGAAATTCGGCACACCGCCCACAAAGCCTCGCTGTGCCTTTGCGACCTCTTTGTCAACCTCTGGACCTCCCTTTCCAGCTTCCATCCAGTCTCGCACTTCCTTCTCGTCCAAGCCGGCTTTCACTCCACGGGCGATCAGCACCTCCTGCGATGTGATATCCTCTTCATTTTCAAAATATCCATTGAACAGCTGCTCGACAACCTTCGTCTGCACCTCTTCGCCCTTGGTCTTGCCCAGCTGGATCAATCTGTGACTATCGCGAGTATTCCCTGTTTTCCCGCCAAAGGCGAAGTTGATACCGACTTGCTGCCCTAGTCTTGCCAAATGTCCCTGCATCATCTGGGTTCTCGATGCGCCAAACTTCTTCTCGTAGTACTCCTGCTTATCGATGCTCTTGGGCGCATCTGGGTTGAGGTAGAAGGGATGCCATGTGGTCGTAAAGGTGTCGTTCGGGCTGGAGGCTTTGTGTTGCTTTATGGCGAGTTCGAGGCGATTCTTGCCGACATAACACCTGTCTCTGTATCAGCCCAAGCTCTTGCTACGGGTGGCTTGTCAAGAGGACATACCATGGACAGACTGTGTCCGAGACGATATCGATCTTGTAGTTCGTCATCCTGCGGAGCGTTGCGCGAAAAGCCACGGTGGAAAGAAGATAGAGATGAAATATGAGAGTATCGAAGAAGAGGAACACGCTACCTAGCTTTGGGAAAGAAGGACATTAATCATATGAGCGTGTTTCCAATCTTCGCCACGGCTCTTTGTGTTCGTTCCGCACAGCTCTCAGTGTCGACTCGGTAGATAGAGCATCCGTCGTGGTGGGCAGCGGATTAGTAATCCACGGTTCAGATAGCGGACGGGCGAGCTGGCAAATGTATTATTATTGCGCGGTTTGACGTGAGATGCTCTGATCATCAGTATGGTATAGTACGCTGGCCAAGGACGGTGGTTGTACGAAGAAAATCATTAACTTATTGCAAAGGAAAGAGGAATCCCCCCTTGAACGCACGGCCCTTTCGCCGCCCAAACCCCGCACGAAGAGTAATCAACACAAGCTCGCTCTAAAGAAACCCTCCGAATTTTCACAATTGGAACGAGGACCTCCGGGCCGAGAAATTGTGCTGCTGTACCGGAACTGATACTCGGAGTTATACCGCGCGGATTAGAGATCGGCAGACGTCAGAGGCAACGGCACTGAAGACTGGACGCTTCCCGGCACTGCGCATAGACACGATGGCGGAGGAGGTCGCCGGAGCTTCGACGGAATCGCTGTTCAAGGCCCACAAGCGCAGGAAAGTTACGCGACGGCGCAATGTGGACGAGGAGTGGAATGAGGATTCTGAAGGCATCCAGACGAATTCCGCTCAAGGCCCAGAGCCTTCACACGACGATGGGGATGAGGTACTACAGATTGTGAGAAGGCCAGTTGCTAAGAAGCATGGGGTGGCGTTCGCGAGCTCTGGTCCTACAAGGAAGGATGCCGACGCTGGGGAGACTGCTCTTGTTCCTGTTCAGCCAGGCCGAGTAGAGGAAGTCATCACGAGTGATCGCTTTGTAAAGCCTACTGGAAAGGTCGTCGTCGAGGACAAGCACTTGTATGTTGTACCCATTCTCTCCTCTATGTTTTTATGGGGCAGAGCTAACAGCGTAGGACGGCATACGTAGACTCGAAATTGGCTGAACTTCGTTCATCTACCGCTGCGCCAACTCAAGACCAAGATGCAGGATCTACTGCTGCTACCTCCAACAGACCCGGTGCCGGCCTTGATCCGACTGGAATGACAACAGAACCGTCGTCGGGAACCTCTTCGAATGACATCCGCAAGGACCAACGCAGAGCCACCATCCAAAATCGCCAACCGAAAAGACGTCGTCAGCCAGCACGTCGAGATGATACCTCTCTAGCGCGCGACGCAATGGTCGACGAAATCATGCGGGAGAGCGAAATACCAATTTACGCCCGCACTTCCACTCCCGCCAACCCTCCCAACCCTCCCTCCGGTCCAGCAGACGACTTCGACGCCGACGAAGCAGCAGCGCAAGCCTTCAAAGCCGAATTCCTCGCCAATCTCCAGCAGCGAAGACGTCGCAAACCACCCCCTCCACCGCCAAATTCCAAAGCCGCGCTGCAAGCGGCTGCTGCTTCCACGGGACCGAAATTGGGCGGAAGTCGAAGTCAGAGAGGGAAGATGAAGGCTCTGGAGGAGGCGAAGCATGGGGCTGGCAAGAAATAGCAGATTTTCCTACCCTTCAATGCACGCGTGCGTCTTGCAAGATCTCTGTCCTTCTCGTTCAGTAGACAGAATTTATGTTTAGATCAATCTCTTATCGCTCGCGTAACTCTCCGCCGAGGCTCCGAACAAATCTCGCCTACACCCCAGTTTGCCAAGCACCCACACGCCGTCCCAGAATTTACTAATATATATTTGAAGCCTCATGACACCTTCATCACGTGAACAGATCAAGGCGAGATGGCCGAGCGGTCTAAGGCGCCGTCTTAAGGTTTCTGATTCACTTCAGTAATCCGGCGGTCCGAAAGGGCGTGGGTTCGAATCCCACTCTCGTCACCATCTATCAAACTGTTCGCGTGATTCTTTTTGGCTTCGAAAATGAATGCACATCAACTCTTCTTTTTGTTCCAGGAAGTAGACTGGTTTCCTGATGTCTTTCTCTCCGCACAGGTCCTGATTCACGAGCTGGCAACGTGCACAAACACCATTTCAAAATTATAGCCTTCTTCTCATCCCGACTGTCTAATTCTCAAGCTCTATCAAATTAAAATCCCCCACCCAACGATGCCCAAGCAAAGCCGTTCTAAGGGATTTTCGAGAAATGCAAAAGCAATCAATCAATCTCTCCAAAGAAAGGTTCCAGATGGAAAAGCTCTTGGCGTACCTTATGGTCAGCTGTTATCAGCAAGCCCAGCTGAGGATCGTTGAGTTTCCTTTCGAAGTCGAACTTCATCTCTACGCATCTCCAAAATCTTGTATGATGCCAAAGGCATCAATGCAGAGTCCAGTGAACTACACATCAAGAGTCATGTACGGTCGCTTCCCCCTTTATGATCGATATCGAGTCCTTGCGGATTCCGTTTGAATCGAAATCGAGTAATGAATCGTTGGTCCGTAGAGGAGTACGAGGTTCTGGTTGATATAAGGCTACCGTATCGTATGTTTATCGCCGGATGAAACCAGCGAGAGGAAAATGATACAATATTATCAAAATCGGGACATCGCACCTGCATCTGCATTAACGAGGAAGCAGCAGCCTGCATTGCACGCTAGAACGTCATATGTCCCCAGCTTCTCCAATTTCGAGGCAACATGAAGGAGTGCTTAGAAATACGAAAGCAAGGCCAAAGAAAAAATTTAAACTGAGAAGACCACGAAGCTGCGGAAGGAAAGAAGACTAAAGGGAAGGGAAAGAAAAGACAATGGCGCCCCGAATCTTCATGTAAGCTAGGCTGCAGCAGAAAGGAATGCTTCTGGTAGACTAACCTCAGGTTGCGTCCTCACAGCACAGGTGGTACTGGCTACATTGGAGGGTAAGGTCGTCCGCGATGCAGCCGACCCACCCATACTCACACTTGCGGATAGGACGGTCCTCGACACTCTGGTAAAGAAGCACCCGGAGTACGAACTCAGCGCGCTCCTCCGGAATCCGCCTTCGAACTTCCCCCAGCTGTATCCGAGTGTCACAGTCGTGCGTGGTGACTACGACAATTTTGATATCCTGAGTGAAGCAGCCTCGAAGGCGGACATTGTCATTCGTTAGTCTCCCTCGTCTGCAGCACCACAATCCCCATGCAATTGGAGATGTAGTGCCTGCGATGGCGACGTTGCAAGACGCGTCTCGTCACTCGCGCCCCGTACGGAAACGTGGCTGATAGATGAGAACAGATAACGGCAATTCCGATCACGAACCTAGTATCAAAGCTCTGATCGACGGGTTGTTAAAGAGTAGTAAATCGGGCTTTCTCATCCACCTGAGCGGGACTGGAATCCTCGCAGACTGGCGCAGTCCAGAATATCTTGGAAAGAAGAATCCTAAAGTCTGGTCGGACATCGATGACATCGAAGAGATTACGTCTCGGCCTGATGCTGAGCTACATCGGAACGTCGACAAGATCATTCAAGAGGCGGCCAGAAAGCATGGTGAGCGACTGAAGACGGCGATCGTGTGCCCACCTGATATTTACGGCAAAGGCCGTGGACCAGGTAGAACGACCAGTGTTTATTTCCCAGTGTTCTTGGACGAGATCAAGACAATCGGTGCGCCGTTCTTTGGCGGCGAGGGAGCGAACACGAGGTCCTGGGTTCACATTGACGATCTGATGCAGATCTATCTCAAGCTCGTAGAAGCTGCTGCTGGTGGAGGCGGTAGCGCTGACTGGGGAGTAGAGGTAAGAAGCCTCAGGATCCATGCCCTATATCTTTTTTTTTTTGGCAGTGCTAATAGCAGCGTAGGGATACTACTTCGCCTCAATGCAAGAGTACTCGCAGTTGGAAATCGCCAGGAAGACAGGCGAGATCCTCGCGAAGCATGGGCTGCTCGAGAAGGAGAAGGCGGCGCCATTGCAGGTTTCCCTTGAGCGCATCGACCAGACCATGCAGAGCTATGGCTTCCCACATATTGGTACTTATATGTTCGCCGCCAATTCGCGCACCTGGGCACATCGAGCGCCGAAGAAGCTTGGATATCAGCCAGGTGCGCCAAAACTCTGGGACCAGCTTGAAGCTGACTTGTTGGATGCTGCTGGAAAACGATAGATTCAGATAGTGCTGCGATCGTAATTATTGTAGTACTGGTAGTACCACTCGTTGCATATCCTGGTATCTGTATTCATGTGAGCGGATCTTGAGTGCTCGATACTCGCGCAGCTGTAGTGTCGGCAGATACGCCTGGTTGGGACAGGTTTTGCGTAGCTTGCGCTTCGGGTGATGAAGCGTAAGCGCTGGTGTGAGTTGATGCGCTGTGTTCCACTGCGGAACCAGTAGTCGGTGCAGTCGAGGTGCGTAATGAAGCATCTGAGGGCCCTGCCTGTGCAAATCCTGCATCCGGCGGCGCTGTTTCAGTCTGTAAGGCTACCTCGGGAGTGTTTTGCGCGGCAGCTTCTGAGCGCCCTCCGCGGTCATCTGATGCGCCTTGCTGAGGTGTGGCGTGTTCTGTCCCCATGTCTCGTGACGACGTTGCTTGGTTCTCTGTTATAGCGACATCTCTCAAAGTTGTCCTACCTGATGAATCCGTGGAAGCTTTGTACTGTCCCGTGAGAATGGACGGACTGGCCAAAAAGCTCGACGGGCTAGCAGAGGGTGTCGATAGCGAGTGCGCCTCTTGAAATCCCAGTCTGGCGGCCACAGTCTCCCTGGAATGTCGGCCAGCCAGCTTCGCGCTTTGCAGCTCCTCAACGCCCTTTTCACTATGCGTCAATTTGCGTCGTTTTTTGACCTGCCTTTGCTGACTAGCAGCGGCCTTTTCTGCCGTCTTCTCTCTTTCTTTCTCAGCATCAGCTTCGAGGGCAGCTCGACGTATCTCATCCGCATTGGCAGGCATCTCATGGATCTTGATGGTGTGTGGCGGGACTTGATCCTTCTCGCCCTTCTTCAATTTGATTTCCGAGAGACGCTCCAAGAATGAGGCTTGTGCACGGCCGTTCTCGGTGGTGTAGAGATCACGAGGGATCTTGAGTGGCTTGCCAGGCTCAACCTGCCAGCCTGAAGCAGACGAGAGGTCGCGCTGCCCCTTTTCGGGATCATAATCGCCATCGGCGTCATTCGCACGTTGCGGATCTCCTCCAGTGGTGTTGGCTATGGCATCCAGTCGTGCATGTCGCGGACGCAGATCTGCAGGTTTGCCGAGGAGCCTAGTGCGCGTGGTAGCGATAACATCCAGAACGGTGCCCAGTCGGCGAGGATTGGGAATGTCACCCGCCTTGGCGATATGAAACTGAGTACCGAGGTCTGTGGCCCATTGGCAAGAGTAGATATTATCGTCGAGCTTCACGAGTGGATTCTCGGTGTGCAGGTCAACAAGCTGGAGCTTGCCTGCAGAAGTGGACGGGTCGTCCTCGCCAGAAGCTGTTTCCTCTTCTTCGCTGTTCGCATCGTTTCGTCGAGTGACAGATGCGTGGGCGTTGAACTTTTTGCGTGCGGTCACACGCTCTCCTCTTTGGACGAAGGCGTCGGGCACATGAGTTGTCAGGTCCAGGGTCAGGTAGTAGTCCTCGGTGGCATTCTGGTCGTACTCATACTCCCACTCCCACTCTTCGTGCTGGCCCGGTACATCTGTGACGGGGTTCTGGGAGTGGGTCTGGCCAGCGTGCTGTATGGGCTGACCCATTTTCGCGGCTGGTATCTCTCGGAAGAGCAACGTGGAGATCAGCGGTATATCTATTGGCAGGCGCGCCTTAGCGCCGAGTTCTCCTTTTGGGAGTGCATGTGAAGAGCGGAATGCAGGAGGACGGGTGTGCACGAGGTGTTCAGAGCTGTGGAGAGAGATGCCGAGCGCGGGCGACTCGGGAGCGAGCCGCCCCGGGTGACGCCGATTTTGAGTTTGCAGGAAAGAGTCAGCACCGTCACACGATAATCAGCTGGCGTCGACACCTCGACCGCACAGACAGTGCACCACACACAGCGCTCTCTGGCGGCGGCGGTGAGTTGGGCGTGCAGCACATCCCACGCCGGCCGTACGTGTGTATGTATGCCCTACGCCGTACGCCAGTCGATTGGAGAGACGCCGGTTCCTTTCTTCATCCCGCAACTGCTCCGTCCATCCTTTTACCTTCTCACAAAGCGCAGCGCTGACAACAATCAACACCTTCGTCTCGTGCTACAGCTTGGTAACAAGTTCCACTTACTTTGTTCACAGCAGCAGCAGCCGCAGCAGCCGCGGCAGCAACGCATTACAAAATCAAAAAGAATCCGTACCTCAAACACGACAGCGCCTACACTGCAAGTGCTGCTTCCGCCGTGCCTCCGAAGCCCGCCCTCGCGACTCTTACAAACCGGCTTGTCCTGATTCCGAGCCTTCCGTCCTGCACATATCAACGAGCACCCGTCTCAGTCTCAGATTCGTCGACGTCACATCTTCCACTCGCACGATTGCCGTACCAAACTATCCGCATCGCTCTTGCCTCTTGAGGCCGACTTCCTGTCGCTTTTAGCACTAACTAGGGCGCTGGACCTTTTACCTTACCGCACGCATCCGTTGCGCCGCTTGGCGGGGACTTATCGCTATCGTTCCACTCTGTCCTCCTACGCTTTCACCCAACCTGAACACTGCCAACACATACCGATCAGATCAGCTTCATTCTCTCTTCCAGCATCTCGCGCCTCTTGCAGCGTTCCGCGAGCATCTAATCGCATCGTATCGCCTCATCGATCTCGCATCATCGATCTCGCCTCACCGTCCACCACCTTTCTCGCGCATCATCCCAATGTCCCGGTAGCCGGACGCCTTGTGTCACCACAGCATCTCTTCGTGGTCGCAAATGCCCTCTTCACAACACCAGCGCACTCTCATGAGGCCCAAACGGCCCCGCGGGCGCAAATGCTTCGGCTGGTTCCTCGGCATCGCTCTCGCTTACATCATCATCACCGGCATCGTCGTCCATCTCACCAAGAATAGCAATGTACAAGAGATCGCAGAGAACAGCGCATGGATAGCGAGTGGGAAATACTGGCTGGACCGACAGATGTGCAGATGGCTCGGTGTATGCGGATTACACCATTATGTCTTCAAGAGCGGCTGGACGTGGCATACCGAAATCGAGATCCCACCAAACCCTCACGACGACATTAGCGATTGGTGGACATCTGGCAATGAGAACCCGGACACTTGGTCGCGCGAGGAGGTAAAGCGCAGAGAGATACCGCAATACGTGCTGGACCACGCACCCTATGTTCACTTGTTCTCTGGAGAACAGTTCTGGCCATCTGATGTTGGCGATCACCTCCTCCACACGTCACCTTTTCTGAACTACACCAAGATCGAGGATCTTGAAGACGACCGAAATCTCACCAATCTAAACGACTTAAACGACTATGATACCGGGCGACATGGCAGGTTCATGTATTTGCAGAGCAACGACAATGTCGAAGAACGGCCGAAGTGGCTGGTTAGTGCTAAGAATATCCCAAGACTGCCGGACAGGTACGAAGATCCTGACTTCGAACATCCCTGGCCGGATATGGGAGATTTCGACTTGGATGCTGCAAAACAGCAGGCGCTGGCTGAGCACTTCCCGGATGCGAGTGACGAAAAATTGTCAGCGCAGAAATATCCTGCAGAGCTTGTCTCCAGCAAAGACGGTCGATGCGGTGGTAGCAGTGGCTTTACTTGCAGAGGGAGTTCCTTCGGATCGTGCTGTTCCATCTATGGCTGGTGTGGTGGCGGCGACGAATACTGTGGAGACCCTTGCGATCCGCTTTCTGGCGAGTGCTACGACCCGTACAATCCTCCTCGAGGGCCACATCAGGATTTAAAACGTCACCTTGAAGGCAACTCGCACAAGCCCGAACCGGGCGGGAGGAGTGCTGCACCTGCCATCTTGCTCGTTGTGCCCAAGAAGGACGGTATCGTAGATGCCTTCTGGTTCTTCTTCTATTCCTTCAATCTAGGCCAGCGAGTACTCAACATTCGATTCGGAAACCATGTGGGCGATTGGGAGCACACCTGCATTCGCTTCAGGAACGGCAAACCGTACCAGGTCTTCCTTTCGGAGCACGACTTCGGGCAGGCTCTGACTTGGGGAGCTATGGAGAAATACATTCCCAGCTTTGACGGCTCCGGCACCATGATTGGCAGCTGGAGCAACGAAACCGCCGCAAAACACGCGACGAGACCGGTTGTCTACAGCGCTATTGGATCTCATGCCATGTACGGCACGCCGGGCCTGCAACCTTACATTCTCCCCTTTGGCGTTCTCCACGACGAAACCGACCGTGGGCCGCTTTGGGATCCTGTGCAAAACTTCCAGTCCTACACCTACGATCCTTGGACGAGGAAAGCTAGCTCTTCGGTCCTCAATCCCCTGTCTCCTACCGAATGGCTTGATTTCGCTGGGCATTGGGGCGATAAATACTACCCTCTCTCCGATCCTCGACAGTATCGGTTCGCGGGACAATACCATTACGTCAACGGGCCTACAGGTCCGAAATTCAAGAATCTGGGCCGTAGCCAGGTCTGTCAGGGTCGCGGCAAGTGTGAAGTGAGACATTGGCTCGGTGGGAAGAGGCCTGCGACGCATGTGGATCCGGATGAGGATGTGGAAGAGGGGGGACTGCCTGGTGGCAATTACACCGAAGAAGCAGACTGGTGATGGAAGAAGAATCGGGGGAATTTTTCCTTGGGTTTTGAACGCGTTATGATACCCTATGGCGGAGGACGAACCTTTTCTACATTGATACAGCAATGATAGACCGGGAGATAGCGCTGCCCTTATGAGGAGGGTTTGTGGCTTTGCTTCTGTAGATGATACGAATTGAATGGAAATGAACTTTGATCAATCGATGTTTTTCAACCGGGTCCCACCCATCAGCTACATCCACAATCGGCCTGCCCATTTTCCTGAGACTCCCTCACCACTTTTTTCACCACGTCGGCAAGCTTCTCATCATCACAAGAGCCCTCTGCCAGAAGACCCAAGATAGCCTTGGCATCCCGCTCCACAAAAGGTTTCACAGCATCCAATGTCGGATCAAAGAGCACAGCCCTCTCCATCAAGAACATGCCTGCGTCGGGAAAGCCTCTCTCGAATCTCCTCTCCGCTTCGTGCAGCAAATCCGAAATCTCCGGCGAATAGTTCGCTTCCCATTTCGACGGCGACTTCGAAGTCTCCTGGAGACCTCTCAAAATGGCATTCGTGGAGGTAAGCAGGTTCGAAGCGTAGAGATACTGGTTCTTGAGCTCATGCCAGTGCTTGGTGACTTGGAGAGCGACAAGACCGTTCCAAGTTGAAGAAGTCGCAGCGGCGAAGACTTCATCGCCTGTGCCGTGGAGACTAGCACTCTGCCATTTGAAATCGAAGCCGAGATTTCCACTGCGCAGAGCGTGGGAGAGATCACAGCCCGTTGCGATACCGACCCATTCGATCTTTCCTTCTGCTGACAAGGATCGGAGGTATGCGATTGTCTTGGCTCTTTCCCTGTACGGCGGTAGACGTTCTTGGATTTTCGTGTTCAGAGAATCTTGCGCGAACTCGGGGAGGACGAAGCGAGGGGTATGGATGAGATTGCTGACTGCCGTATCGACATAGAGCTTCTGGGTGGAGAAGGACCCTGGTGCTTGGGTGCTAACAATGAGGTCGGGCTGGAGGGCGTGAAACAGCGCTGCAAGTGCTTCGGGCGAGGATGCGATCTTGTGAATCTTGATGCCGTGAGGTTGTTCCAAGGTAGATTGCGGATGCGTTGATTGGTGGACTTCGAGTTTGCTGTGCGATAGACTGTGGACGATGCTTTCTGCTAGGCGATTGTCCTGTATCAGCGTCAGTCACGACAACTGACTGTGATAAACACTGCTACTCACTCCTAGCACAAGTACCTTCGCGATACGGTCCCTAGCTCCGCTGACGCCGTTCGTAACAGCCATGAATGTTAATGACAAGATGCTGAACAACGAGAACCTTGTCCCTAAAGTTCTCGATCCAAGGTGTGCTTTCCTCGGGTGAACGGGAGCTCCTCTTCTTCCTTCCAGCAACGAAGGCGCAGTGACGACAACGCCTCCCCGAGCATAGCGAAGGAGCTACAAGTATTGCTCTACTCGGTATCTACAAAATCATGCTCAGTCTTACAAAGAGAGTATGTCTCTTATGTCGGCTTCTTCCGTACCCTGTGCGATTTTGCCTTCAGCAACCTTCATAGGCCAAGACATGAGCTCACGCCAACCGGCTGGCAGTACTTGGTAGATGGAGGGTATTTGTCGCTCGGCGATTGTTCTGAACCAAGGCACCTTGTCGGAGATGAGCTTCATCGTCGCGAAAGCATGGGCCAGAATGACCACAGCCCGTGGCTGTCGCACTTCTATGAGCTCGTTAAATCGCTTTGGGAGTCTCGAGGGCATGGCCACCAGGCGCCGACAATTGACCAGCGCGTCATCGGTGTTTTGGGAGATGCTCTTGTGTACAAAGGCGAGATATGCCACTGCTTTTTGGTAGGCGTCTTTGTCGTCCGGATTGCTGGACTCATAGTCCTCAGCGAAGGTGAGAAGCTGCTGGAAAGGCTTGCCTTGTTCCTGCTGGAAAAGCGCATCTTCCTCCGCCAGTTTTACGCGGCCAAAGTAGACGGCATTGTTCTCGATCCACTCATCACCTGCGAAGCCTCTCCATACTTCACAGAGATACCTCGTGCCATCTGCAAGTCTTAGCCAGAACAATGGGTCCAAAGACGGAAGTGTAGAGTCTCCTTCGTGTTCGCCGAGTGTGAAAAGAGCGTGGAATGATATCAGAATAGAGGTGATGTATACCGCCTCGATGTTGTCACGGCTAAGATTCTGTACGGCTCTCTGATGGCCATCGATGGCTCTGTCGAAGTATTTGCGGGCATTGATGAGCATCTCTTGACTGGCCCCGGCATCCACGAATGCAGCTGCATCAGCTGTCGCAGCGAGATCTACGGCATTGGCACCGTTTGCTGCGACGACCTCTGGTGATGCCTGCAATGGCCCGTGGCCTGGATCCCTAATGGGAACCATACGGCCTGCCATGGGAATCCACTGAGTGGATGATCGCCGCGAGAAATACAATGCGGCAAGACCGAACATGGCGTCGAGGACCAGGCGGTGCTCCATGGCGAAGAGTGGCGCTTGAAATCTCCAGAAGTCGAGCTCGGTGGAGAAGCTTGCGCATGTATAGGCGGTCCATTCGTGCATCAGCTTAAGCTCTAGTCGAGGATCCAAGATGTGCGTGCCATCTTCACGGAGGGCGCTGTAGACATCTGGCGAGGCATGCTGCACGGCCAGCGCGTCGGACTTACGCGGTGCCGGCTCGACATATTCGCACGTCACGTTGTGTCGAGAGCACGCGGAGCATCTGGGCTTCACTTCATCGCACTGTGCACGAACGGTCAGCGATGTTTGCGAAATGTGCGGTATCTCGACAAATGGTGCTCGCAGCACCGGTACAGGGCTGAAGTCCGGACGACCTTGGGCGTAGAGTGTGCTCGTCGCGATTTTACGCGCCAAGCCCGCTATACCGAGCGGGCGAGGAGTTTGCGTGGACTGAATCGCTGGATGCAAATCTGAGTCGCTCGACGTCGAGGTGGTGAGTGTGCGGCCGGGTTGGGGCGGAGCGGGTTGATGAAGGGAATGTGTTGATTCGCGCCTACCTTGACTTTGCGTTGTTTACACCGCTGGCAGCCGGTCCTGTCGCGTCGCGTCAGATCAGCATATCCTGTAGCAGGTGGTCGAGTGTGGGGATTGCCTCTCTCACCTGGCCTTCTTGTGATTTAGACGCGGCATTGCGCGTGCAAGATTTCGGCAAAGGTCGAGGTTCCTCGCAATCGACAAGGATACAGGCACGATACCGATACCGAAAGGTGGGAGGGCGTTGGCTGCACCGCGGGAGGGGGCAGCGAGCGGAGTCACGAAAGCAGTCGGATATTGCCGATGAAGAGGAAAGTGCGAGTGCCCAGCCGTGGAAGGTGTCATTCACGAGGATGCGTCGTTCTTGCCGGGTCCGTGCGCAACAGCAACAGCATCTGCATCTTCTCACTCTCTCTTCGCTCCCTCCCGTGTCCATACTTCATCTCCACGAATAATCTCGGGAGCAGCATACCTTCCCTGAGGAGAACCGGTTCTGGGCATATGAAGCATGGATTCAGAATGGGAACTCTACCGGACCGGTACACAACAATTTCCAATCCCGCTCCGTCTCGATCAAGGTCTCTCGCGATACCATAGCCTGACCTTCGATTATCCAACGAGTGTTACTGGCACTTTCAGCAACTGGGGTTATGGACCGGCGTACGCGATCAACCACCCTCCAGGTGACTGTAGCACCCTTCCACTCGTGGTCTTCGACGAGAGCGAGGTCAATGAGACGGTCTATCTTGCTAGCTGGCAAATTCTCTGAGAGAAGATAGAAGGAAGTTTGGAATCACGAAATACACGTCTGATCTTGCAAGAATTGTGTTTGGTCGTTGTGATGTTAAGGCGTTGGATGGTCTTTGCTTGTGTTCAAAGAGATTACGATAGCTTGGATACAGATGCATATACGGAAATTTGTTTGGACAAGAGCTTTGCTGCCTGCTAGTCATCGATGGGCGGTGTGGATGGACGAGTCTGAGGTGAGAGGCTTCGTCCTTCTTTCGGTGGCCATGTGACGAACGGTGATGACTATTCTTTATGTGCTCATTCCTCTGTTGCCTGCTGGATGGTGTTTCCGTTCGCCACCGAATGTTGCAGTAGATGTGCAAAAGATGATCGAAGAAAATGAACGCTGAAGGACAGGAGCCTTGGATCGTGAACTTTGCCGTGAACGAGGATGTCTGTGTGCGTAGCTCAAGTGCATTCCATCTGCAGAAAAGAAATGTCGTTTAGGCTGTTTTCGTTTACGCGAGGAGCTCTCCCGCACCCGAGGTTCAGCCACTAGTCCGGAAGTAGCCGTGGGGCTCCTCTTGACTACTTAAAGCTCCTTCTTGCCTCGCCAGCTTGAGCCAAGAAGTCCACAAAAGGCCGCTTTGTTTACCGATTGAAACAAACAACTCTCCGAAACACCTCCAACGACCGCCGCGCACCTCAAGACGACCCCTTCGACACCAATATTCCCCCCCACTTCGCCCTACTCACGAATCACGAATCACATTCGCGCACGCGCATTCGCCAAGCTGTGATAAGGGAAAGCTACAATTCAACGCGACTGGCAGCAGCAGCAGTCATGCGACCAATTTGGTAGCAACAATAACGTGCCTTTTGCCTTGCGTTTGGTGATACCGTTCAAGCTGAAGCTCATCCGCGCAAATATCCAACCTCGATCCATCCCTCGCGCCGCGCGCGACAATACCATGTGATCGACAAACAGTCATCCAATCCCTTCAATCCGACCAAGAAACAATTCGATTCCAATGCGCTTGTACACACCCAAGAACCTCCTGTATCCGATCACGGTTACGAAGCTCCTGCGACAGGAGGGAGATGACGTCCCTGTCAACGAGCGGCTGTTTAGCTATTCGTACCAGACCAAGGTTACTGAATTCGATAAAGACAAGAGATTAGACGTGGATGTGACCAAAACATTACACTCCTTTTTCGAGAGCGAGCTTGAGGGCAAGCTCAACTCGCTCAATGTCAAGGAGGGCCAGGTCCTGACACAACGCTCGGTGGTGGCAGACGTGGAAGAGCCGTGCAAACATGAAGTCCAATTTGGGGGCCTTTGCGCCAATTGTGGAAAGGACATGGAGGAAGTCAATTCATACAACACCTCGGCATCGAATACAGAGCGCGCGACCATCAACACGGTCCACGGCACTACGCAGCTCAAGATCTCAGCGGACGAAGCTACTCGAGCCGATGAGGAGGCGAAGCGCAGACTGCTGGACTCGCGGCGCCTCAGTCTGGTCGTCGATCTGGATCAGACCGTCATTCACGCGTCCGTCGAGCCTACCATCGGCGAATGGCAGAGCGATCCCTCGAATCCCAACCACGAAGCTCTCAAGGACGTATGCAAGTTCCAATTGCTAGACGATATCCCGAGCAGGTCAGGCACATGGTACTATATCAAGCTCCGGCCCGGCCTGAAAGAGTTCCTGAACACCATGTCAGAGTACTATGAGATGCACATTTATACCATGGGCACCCGCGCGTATGCTGAGAACATCGCGAGAATCATTGACCCAGAGCGCAAGGTCTTTGGCGATCGCATCCTCAGCAGAGACGAGAGTGGAAGCATGACCGCCAAGAACTTACGACGCCTGTTTCCGGTTGACACCAAGATGGTTATTATCATCGATGACCGTGCGGATGTTTGGCATTGGATTCCAAATCTCGTCAAGGTTAACGTCTACGAGTTCTTCGTGGGTATCGGTGACATCAACAGCAGCTTTTTGCCGAAGAGACCGGAGGTGCAAGCGAAGAACAAAGGTGGCGCGAAGATGGAGAGACTGCCATCGAATAAGAGAGGATCCGACTCTAGCAGCTCGAGCGACTCTAAGTCCAGCGAAAGCGACAATTTTGCGCCCAGTACCGCTCCGACTACGCCTCCCTCGACGAATGGCGAGACTACAGCTGTGGAGCAGATGCTCACAATGGCTGGAAATAAAGACGGAGAGAGCTTGAAGTCGAAGGAGGAAGCGCAAGAGCAGACAATCACAGCACAGTTGAAAGATCGCCCGCTTTTGCAGAAGCAGAAGATACTCGATGCGATAGAAGAGGAAGAAGCAAAGGCATCTCCGGCCGTCGAAGCGGCCACCGAGCTCCTCTCCGAGAGTGGCGAGGCGAAGGAGGAAATGCCTGCAGACAACCAGCCGAAGAACAAGTACCGGCACAACCTTCTCCAGGATGATGATACGGAGCTGCAATATCTCGGACAAAGTCTGCGGAGTATACACGACGCATATTACGACGAGTATGATAAAGCGGCCATGGGAAGCAAAGGCAGTAGAGTTGCAGAGCTTCGGCCAGGTCACACAAAGAAACGCTCTATGGATGACCGGGAATACATCCCCGATGCAGCTGCGATTATGGACGGCATGAAGAAGAAGGTTCTCGCGGGCATTCATATCGTCTTTTCTGGCGTCGTGCCGCTCGGTGTTGATATCCAAAATCACGACACTGCTATCTGGGCCAAGAGCTTCGGCGCAAATGTCAGCGACAACATCAACAAAAAGACCACCCACGTCATCGCTTCTCCTGAGCGCCGGACTGCGAAGGTGCGGCAAGCAGCCGCAAAGGGCGGCCGCATTGCAATCGTCAGCCAGTCATGGCTACACGCCTGCTTTAGTCAATGGGCCAAGGTTGATGAGAATCCGTATCGAATTCACTCCGATAATTCCTCGAACGGCACAAATGGACTTCCGGACAGCTTCGAAAGCAAGGACTACATGCTCTCGTCTTCGGACGAAGAGGCTGCACAGACTGAGGACGAGATCGATGGAAGAAGGAACCCGAATGGCACCCGCAATGGACTGACGCTCGAAACCGGTCTTCATACCGACAACGAAGATTGGGAGCAGTACAAGCCCACCACTCCACCGGACGAGGCGAGCCCTGCAGAAACTGAGCAGGACTGGAAGGATGTCGACGCCGAGTTGGCTGAATTTCTAGGCTCTGATCTGGATGATGACAGCGACACCGAGAGTATACGCAGTGAGCGTACGGAAAAGGGAGATGAATTGAAGACTCCGCCTAGCCAGCGTAAGCGCAAGTCAGATGACCGGGATGGCGAGGACGATGTGGAAGAGAGCAGACTCCAGAAGCGCAAGAGGGAGGCTCTGGATCGAACGAGCAGCTTGACGAATCTGGCTGCTACGGGAGACAGCTCTCCAGCTACCGACCTCGACGACAACGACCACGATGACGATGCAGGCGGTAGGACAGAAGATGACGACGACCTCGAAGCGGCACTCGCTGCTGAGATGGAACGCCAGAGCAGTGAGGAAGACGAAGAAGCTGCCGAGTTCAATGGCGGCGGCACCAATGCATTGAACAGCTGAAGGCAGTCAAATCTGGGTGTGGACGAAGACTAGGCGTTTCAATTCTGATGGTAGTGGTGGATCATGTGTGCAAGCGAGGCATTTACAGCTACTTGCTTTGCATATAGCGGTGGTGTTGGGTTGGACTTGCAGATTTGCAACGAATATGACGAACGGTTGGTCTCGTGGAGCTTGGCACGAGACGCACTCTCCTCTAGACAAGCACAGGCATACGAGATGAATGAAATGAGAGAACCAAGTTTGAAGACCCGGCCCTCTTCCCGACTTTTTGGGTTTGGATATTGGGGTTGTTGTGTCGTGTTACGCGCCTGTGGAAGTGCGCGAGGTGGTGAAGCTACATGTACCCTGAATCATTGGCAGATCTGCAAATACATGCATGTCGTCAGAGAAGTACCGTCATGTGAACTCTAATGGCCAGCCTCTTAGTAGGGCATTGAAATGCCCATTTTCTAATAAATGGTTCTCTACTACTCGTACGACAGATCCGTATTATCGTTGGGAATGTTCCCGGAGCGGCGCCACGATGTCACAGCAAGTGAATGACGAGAGAAGGCCTCTCCTTGAAAATCAACATCAACAACAGAATGTCCATGCCGAACAAGAATCACAATCTCAACAACAACAACCACAACAACCACAACAACAACCAAAGAAGATTTCTTTCCAAGAAAACGACCCATCAAATCCGAGAAACTGGCCCTCGTCCCAAAAATGGCTGCAAGTCCTCCAGATCGTCCTCGTCGCCTTCGTGTGCCCTTCCGCTTCATCCATCTTCGCCACCGCCATCACGGAAATCTCCCAGGACCTCAACACGACCACACGTCTCACCCTCCTGGGCCAGACCGGATTCGTATGCATGCTCGGAATAGGCCCTCTGTTCTTAGCACCCATGAGTGAAACTCTTGGGAGGAGACCGGTGTTCTTGATGGGTTTGGCGGGTTTCACTATATTACAGATTCCGACTGCTTTGGTGAAAAATCTGGCCAGGTGGGCGGTTCTGAGGACGTTGGCGGGATTCTTCGGCAGTGTGGGCGTTGCTAATGGAGGTGGGAGTATTAGTGACATGTTCGAGACGCATAAGAGGGCTATTGTGTTGGGGGTTTACCTTGTGGCGCCGCTTCTGGGGCCTTCGATCGGGTGAGTTCCTCCGATTTTGTTTTCGATGAAAGAGACTGATGTATTGTTTGTTTCCAGGCCATTGGTCGGCGGACTCATCGTTGCAGTCATGGACTGGAGATGGATTTTCTGGGTCATGTTCATCGCGTCGGCCTTCGTGACAGTTCTCTGTTACTTTACCCTCTACGAGACCCGAGCTCTTACGATTCTAGAACAACGCAAAAGGAAACTGGAACGAGAGAATCCGGAGACGAAGTATGAGATCGAAGGCGACCAATCCGGAAACCAATCTTTGCTTGGCAAAATCGGAGCGAACAGCACTCGTGCCATTCGTATTCTCACTACCCAACCCATCGTCATGATCATGTCGCTTTATCAGGCCTTGGTCTTCAGTTCCATGTATAGTCTCTACTCGCAGTATTCGACGATCTGGAGCGCTCCGCCGTACGAGTTCAGCACAATGCAGATTGGACTTGCCTATCTCGGCCCTGCAATAGGATTCTGCTTCACGGCCATCTTCATTGTCCTCTTTATCGATCGGCTGTATCGGTATCTCGCCAAGCGCCACGGCGACGAAGGGCAGCCTGAGTATCGACTCCCAATGGCGAATGTTGGAGCCTTCCTTCTTCCCATCTCCCTTTTCTGGTTCGGCTGGACAATCGAAAAGGACCTGACTTGGCCAGTGCCGCTTGCTGCTACACTCCTGTTCGGTGCGAGCCAAGTCAGTATTTTCAACACGATTCAAACCTACTACATTGATGCGTATGAGCAACACGCTGCTTCTGCGGTTGCTGCTGGCGCGTTTCTGAGATCCGTGGTTGGTGGCATCGTACCGCTCTTTGTAGGAGGCATGTTTGATGCTCTAGGGTATGGATGGGGCATGTCCGTGTTTGGAATCTTGAGCGTGATTCTCATGCCTGCTCCGGCGGTGTTCTATTGGGTTGGTCGAAGATTGAGGGAGAAGGTGCCTTTCAAGGGTTGATGGAGTGGATAGAACTTGTATTGAGCACCAGATCGATGTTCTTGATCCGTGGTAGTGGTCTCAGACTACACTGTCGCCTTGCTCACGGGTTCAGATGCCACGAGCAAGATCGTAAATTCTCTGATAACAGGCGGCAGCCGATGTATCCGCTTTGATCCGTTTCTCTGCGTTCTCAGCATGCGCGACTGCATGGACCAAGCAAGGTGCGTTGAGGCATTGATCTCGAAGTTGGGCCTGATGGCGCGTGGGCACATTGTTTCAGCCAGGTGCCATGCTCCTGGAGGAGGAGATAGAGAGAGACTGCGAGAAATTGATGTTGATGGCCACGGATGTGAGGACACATTGAGCTTGCCTCTCTCGTCCACGGGCATGAGTTCCACAGGCGTGAGGACATCCTTTATGTCGCTTGGTAAGTGAATAGAGAAGCACCAAGTTGGAAGAATGTGCTCCGGGCGTGATTGCCTTGAGAATTTGGGAAGTCGATGGTCAAGAAAAGAAAGGAAACAACGATAAAGCAATCGAGCTCGGCTCCGGAGTAACTGTTTCTCCGGTCGCAGAACTAAAGCGTCTCGACCTCACTCTGTTTCCCCCCCCCCCCTCAAAATTCCTCCTCTCTTCTGTCAGCATTGACATCAATATTCGTCTTGAACGACAAAAGACCACATAGTGGTCACGCCAGCTAGTTGTCTTCCAGAGTATCCTCGTCATCTTGCCTTTCCACTCTCTTACCCCTTGGACGGACAGGAAGCTCTTCCCAATTGCAGTCGAGCCAACCGGCAATGCGGTACTGGATCTTTGCAGCAGAAAGTCGCAGCCCGATATCTCCAATACCACACCAATCCAAGACCATCTGCTTGGTGACATCCTCAACTTTGCAACCGAAAATCCTGGACATCGGCCTCGAGCGGTCAAGATGAATGTTCAACTCCAGCTCCTGAACAAGCCAAGCATTTTCTTTTCCGATGCAAGCTATCCAGCTCTGTAGGGCAGTCCGCTGCTCCTCTCGAAGCCCGGTACTGATCTCGCTAGGTCTCAAATCCTTGAAAAAGCGATTCGAGCCCGCGTAAATCCCGCAGGCTTCTGCGTGGATTTGCTTCGAGGCCAACAGTAGCGCTCTCATATCCTTTCCCGGAGACATTCCTGCGGCTATGACGTCTGGATCCGCGATACAGATCTTCTCATCCCCGTCTGGGCAGAGAACTAATTTGTAAATCTCATTTCGAAGCTCGCCGGGGAGACTGTAGAAGGCTGGTCCCTTTTGAGGCATTTGTTCCGATGGTGATCTATTATTTCCTGATTAGCACGCAATCACGAATGATTGAAAGGTGCTTCACTTACAGGGTTGCCAAATCGTAAGCAGTGTTCGCGGTCTGCAGTGGCATCATCTCCGATGGCTGGTCGAGAGCGTCATGGATTTCCTAAACTTTCGATACTATGATTCTGGCTAGGCTCGGCCTTAGTCTGGAGGTTTGTGGTACGTATTATATGAATTTGCCGATTCCCGGATTCAAGATGCATACGGAGAAGAGAAAGAAGTGGACGAGGCGAAGATATACTCGCGGTGCTCCACCTGATCTGAGGACAGCGGACAGGATTACTCTTGCGAGCCTTGATTGGCCTTCATGTTTCTCCTGGCGCAAGCTCAAGCAACCTGGATTCGACTTTCATCTGATGTAGTTGGCTAGTCATTCTGTCTCTCGCAGACAGCGTGATCGCCCGTTTGTGTCTCACCACGATGGATGCCACCTTTACTCACCAATTTTCGAGCCCTCTGCGGCCGATCTGATTACTTACATGCTGGTAGCGAATCCTCGCAATACGCCATGATCCTCCATCAGCCGCAATTCTTCCCCTTCCAAGCCTTCGCGGGCATTCGAAGACCTCGAGCGAAGTTCAGCCGCGTCTAAAGACCCTTTTTCTTTTTCACGGCCTCGATCGGGTCGACCCAGTCCTTGTTCTCGTCAAGACACAAGACCTGCAGCGCATCTTCGCGCAGATTGGTGTTCTCGAACCCCAGTACCTTGAAGAAGTGGCTCTTGTTGATGTCGGATACCGGCAGTCCGAACTTCTCGGCAACCCGAGTTACCACCTGCTCGCTGCTCTGCTCTCTTGCCCAGGAGCGACTCGTGAAGAACTTGACGGACAAAGAATTGATCTTTGCGGCATTCGACTCACCAATCTCCTCCAGCCACTCTTTGATGGCAGTCGTGGAAACGCTCGCGAATAGGAAGCTGCCGTAGACGATGTACTGGGTAAACTCACCGCGCTTGTAGTAGACCTCCTCCATCTCTTTCCGAACCTTCCTGCAAGCCTGTGCCATCATGGGGCGCTTCGGCATGTTCTGTTTGAACGAGGAAAAGCAGTCTTTTGGGTGGGGAGGCTCATTGTCGAAGACGCAGTAGTAGATCTTGTCGCGGAGCTCTCGCGGCAGCGACTGGAAGGGACTTGCGCCGCCTTTCGGAGGCTTCGAGGCCGGGCTGGTGACTCGGTCAGTGCGATGGATTCGGACGACATCAAGGGGTATACTGACTGCTTCTTGAGCTTCTTGCCGAAACTTAACTTTTTGCGCCACGTCTTGTTCGATGGCCCCGCCGGGTGCGGGTTTGAGAATGTCCCGCGTGCGAACATCTCTGAGCTTTCACAATGCTTGTCGAAAGGTTGCTCTGTTGTGTGTGAATCGTGGTTTGAAGCTCGGTGGAGCTTGTTGCGAAGCTTGTGGAATTCTAGGGAAGGAACCATAGAGTTGGCTAGTGCGTCTTAGCTAAGCGAGCATCTGATATTTACTAGCTTGAACCTTCATGATGAAGACATCATCAGCGGACTTTGGCACTGAGCTTTAGCTTGCCACATGAATAGAATCAATGTAGGTGGAAGATCATTCTGCTTGCTATGTCGACGTAACTGCGAGGTCAAGCGATGGTCCGCCAGTCTCAGATTCGATTCTCAATGCTCCATCGGTCTCAGGTTCAACTCGCCATGCTTGGCCAGTCCCCATCAAGCCATACTTATGCCTTGAGTTCCAGCTTCCGCACACTTCCATTCTCCAGCAATTCGCACCAACCAGCCTTACCTCCATCCTTCAGTTCCCCTTGGAAATGAAGCTTGAAACGCTCCATTGGAACTCCGAGCTTCTCCAGCTCAAGTACGTCGTAGACGATCCTCTTAGTGTATTGTGGCAGCTTGACTTCCAGGCTGAGGTCTCCCAGATCGAGAGTATCGTAATGCCGTCGCGCGTCGTCGTCGAGAGCCCAACGCGGTCGCGTACAAATGTGCGCGCGGAGTAGTAGCTCTTTGACCTTCGAGGCATTCTGCAAGCCGATGGATGAGAGCCATTTTGCGAGCTTCTGCCTTGTGTTCGCGAAGTTGATACGGACCGGGCCGGAGTCCCAGCTGCGATCAGGAACTCTGTGCTGGACGACAAAGATGTTGGAGTAGTAGACTGGCAAAGCTTCCTCTCGTATCTGCTTGCATGTCAGGAGGAGAGGGGGGTTCGTCTCCCGCAGATAACGCAGACGGCTTGTAGCGAAGAGTCGAATTGCAGGCTGCGTGATACCCTGGCCCTCACGTGCGTCGAAATTCTTGAGTAGAGCCAGCTCGTAGATGTTATTCCGCAGCTCGGCGGGTAGAGAGAAGAAGTTGCTGCGAGCCTTTGATGCCTCGATCGCTGGAATTCTAAGAATTTCCCGTGTCAGTTAATGCCGAAGTCTTGGCATTTGTACAGAGCGAATCTTACGAGTTCAGAAAGTCAACTTGCAAGTCTGAGATCTTGTCGAGAATCTTGTCGAGTTCAGGCTGCGGCAGGTATGGAAATTTGGGCCGCAAGCGCTGACGTGCAAATTCGCGAATTGCCGCGATGATGACTCTGCCCTCCTTTTCCATCGCGGCCGACTCCAGTGCTGCTTTTCTCGAGATGGCGGTGCGGCTCTGTCGAGTGAGTGTGATGCAGAAAGATAAGGAAGTCTTGGTGTCAGGGTTTCGTTCGAAGTAGATATATCTTCTCGGATGTGGGGCCAGTAAGTCCGCAGCATGTGATCGCCAGCGGAAAACGCCGTACGTGCACGCATGTGACAGCAGCAGCGACGTAGACTAGCCAAACCCGCGATTCACCCGACGAATGCTCACCCTGGTCCCCAAAATCGTGGCACAGTGAATGAAACACCGGCTCCAGATCAAACTCATCATTCATCAAACATTATATCTTCCTGAAAGAATACAAGTCACACGAGTGACACCTCTCTCCGCAATCATCGTCCTCCTCAAGTCTCTCCTGAGACTTTTCCACTTTGTACTGGCTCTCCAAGAATCTACCCCATGCAAACTCGGTGCTCCCCTACAACAAGATCATTCCAATACCTGAAATGAGGGCGATCTGTAAAATCAAGCCAGCCCAGACCAGGCCAAGATCGAATCCAGCAACCTTCGTGATTGGTGCGGCGCCCTTGCTGCTTGTAGCCGCAGCACCTGAACCACCACTGCCAGCAGCTGCACTCGCAGAGCTCAATCTCGCAGCACATCCACTCGCGGTAGCAGTAGCAGCCTTTGTCATCGCGGAGCCAGAGAAGCTACATGCGCTCGCGCTCTTGCCTTGTTTCTGGTAGTACTGATCGAGGACATAACCAAGCTGCTCGGTAGAATTGCAGCCAGAGTACTGACCATAAGTACCGGTGGTACCATTGGCAGTGATTCCGTTGCAGAGGTTGCCAGAGAGACCGCAGACGTAGCCGAAGAGATCGCCGTAGCTGCTCTGATTGACGCTTGGGGAGGCGACGCAGCCAAGAGATTGGTACATGCAGTCGCAGAGGCCGGTGTCGGGCGTTGGTGGAAGCGGAGACGCGCGGGCGTTGAAAGTGGCGTTCTGGCTCGGGCAGGCTTGAGGAGAATTGGTAGGATTGTAGGATGCAGATTGCACTTGAGTTGGAGATGCAGATGCAATGGCGGTCTTCAAGTTGCTGAAGTCCTGGAGGGTCGAAACTGAATTGCCGCTGACTGAGACAAGTCCTAGCATGGCATTGTTAGCAGAGCTCGGACATGGCACGTTCCATTCGGGAAAGGCTTACCGTAATTGTTGGTTTCTTGGAAGTAGAGGTATACAATACCTCCAGAGAAAACGCCGTCCATCTGAGGTCCATACAACACAGGAGTCTCCTGGAATGTACGAGGCTCTACTTGGTTGCAGCCATACTCGGCGAAGAACACCGGGACAGAGTAGGATGAAAACTGAGCTACTCGAGTGTCGTATCCAGAGCTCTGGAAGGTAGCATCGCCGCACCACGAGTAGACGTTGTAACCCCAGAAATCGACAGCGCTGGACTGGTCGCTACCACAGTTCATGTAGTCGGCCAATGGCACCCGAATGTCCGGATTGTCGTTGGTGGCATAACCAACTCCCATAGGGCGATAGTTCTTCTGCTTGATGTAGGCCTTCATGTCTCGGACTGCAGCCTTGGCAAATGGAGCAGAGTCGGAGTTGTTAGACTGCGTAATGATTTCGTTTCCGGCGAAAAAGCCAAGGGTGTTTTGGAAGTTGGCCATAGCATCAACAACGCTCGTGTAACGCTGGTAGAGGGCTGTGTTCCACTGAGGGTCATCCTGGTTGATGGACATTTGCGGCGATCCCAGATCTGCGAGAACGTAAATTCCTGCATTTGCCATCTGGGTCATGCAATCTGTGTGGTCCTTTGTAGGATCAATAGCGTAGACACGGATAGTGTTGGTCTGAAGCTGAGTCAGGTATGGGATGTCTCTTCGACAGCCAGCTGAATCGGCAAGAGGATCAGTGTAGCCCGTTGAAGAGGTATTGCCACTGGCTGAGTCCCCATCGGATGTGAAGTCTTGCTGATAAGCAATGCCTTTGATGTAGCTGGACTCAGTCAGTCTCTGCCCAATGCAAATCTTGGCAGCACATGTGAGAACTCACAACTGAGTGCCATTGGTCTTGTAGAAGAACTTGGAACCCTTGATAACGATCGGGTCGACGTTCTGAGAAACGGCGGTGGTGACGAGAGAGGCCAGTATCACGGCCACGGACGGAAGCTTTGCCAGCATGATCGGTGGCGGTGGCGGTTTATCTCGGAGCCCGCAGAATGAAGGTAGAGCTGATTCTCTGCTGCTCCCAGGCCGGCTGGATGCTGTTGGTAGTGAAGATGCTAGTTACGGATGTCGAAAGCGACAGTCAGTGGATTGTTGTTGACGCGAGTGTAAGAATGTTGCTGGGTGGAGATGGGAGAGGTGAAAACAAAGCCACGAACTCTAAACGCTGTGGTGAGATTCTGGCTCGGCTCTGTGATCAGCCCAAACCGCGTATGCGCTTCGCTAGCCTGCAGCTCAGAGCTGTTCGTGGATTAGTCGGTTGTCTTTTATGCTCGTATTTGCGTTGTTGTGTTTTCCAGGCACCGAAGGAACAGTTGGCAGCGCTTCCGATAACCGATCCTCCACATCCTGTCGCCGAAGGCCATGTCGTGATTGGTATGCGCTGACAGAGTGCCACGGATGAGACTTTTACGTCGCGCTACGCACCTCAGCCGCCACCCTCTGTGGGTGCCGCACTGCGACATCGATCCGCGGAGGTCCGGAGTGCCATTCAGCATATCAGATGGCAAAAGACCCTGATAGTTCTACATCGATGGGCGAATATACTCACTCAGATACCGTGAAGTCGCAGCCAAGCGCCAGGACGACGTCAAAGCCGGCGGGGCGCATCGCTCATCGGATGGGCCGAGCGTTGGCATTTCCCTGTCACCCATGGATCACCGTGGCTCGGACACGCTAGACCTATTTCATACCGTTTCGAATCTGTTCACGGTGATTGGTCAGCTTAGCGAACTGGTCTGAGCTCTGTGAATGGCATTCACTCAGGTCTCCAAGCGGCTGGAATCGCTGGCTTCACATGCCATCGAACGTCGAACAACAGCTCCGCCCAATATATGACGTCCTCATCTGTGCGTAGTCAGCGCAAGTACAACTCCCCCCGACGACGGAAAATGTACATCCTAGAAAGAGATGAATTCGCGACATGGAAGGCTTGGTGAGCTTGGCTCGACGACAGTGCCATTGCGAGGATGATCTCAGAATATCTCCAATTGTCGGTCGTGTATACGCATGAACTCAAGAGGAGCGGCTGGTGGGTGAGCAGCTGGAAGGAGATTGTCCTGAAGATGTGAAATGCGAAGGCGCCCTTGCCAAAGCCACCAATCCGGCCGCTTCTTGTCAAGGACATATCAGGAGTCCGACCCTGGGACACATGCCGAGCAGCTCACGTCAGCGCACGCCCTGCTTGTGCGACTCCAGCGCTCGTGGTTGAGATGGTTTGCGCGATCCGAAGAAGGACGCGAAACCATAAACCGTACGTTGAGGTACATGTGCACTGGTCTTGGCATCCATACGGAGATGAAAACTACGGTATGCAGGACACCATGCCATCTTCATGTTTTCCGTATGAATAGGTATAGACACCTTCTCGATATGTCTCTGAACTTTCCGACAGCTTGTTCAACTGTGCAGGGTCTACCTTCGCTGCTCTGCTGCATTTTCCGCTGTCATGCAGTTGGAGCAAGTCCTTCTCATTGCCACCGTTCACTCACAGGCAAGCCTGTCAGGGCTCGAAAGCTCTATGATATATACATAAGCAGGTAGGAACCCTGATACATTCTCTGCAGAAATCACGTCTACACAGAGACGACTTTTTGGGGACCTAGCAGCCATCCTCACGCACCACAATGGCCTTCGCGGCGCGATTTATCCCAACCTACCACGATCTTCCAATATCTTTCAGCAGCCCCAATGCTACCGCGATTTGAGGAAAGGGTGATCCGGCTTTCAGTCCGCCGGGTGCTGAAGCGTTGAGGAAGGATTCTCCGAATGCTTTGGTCAGATACGTAGATGGTGGGCAATTCGCATTGGAGACGAAGAGGTGGGAGATTGGCGAGGATCGTGAAGGATTTCTTGTCGGGGCATCGGTTACTGATAAGATACGCTTGTTGAATAAAGGAAACTGTTCGATTATAACTACCTAGGCAACGGAATCTCTCTTGGTTGCATGATGTTCCACCTCCTCAATGTCGGCCGCAGCAGCATTCACATCCTTCGCCACCTCCTGTACGTCTTCTTCCAATCTGCTGCCGGTGTACTTGATCTTGAAAGCCCAGATGCTCTGTGCAAACACCTCGTCCATCTCCTCGAGAGTCTTGCCTTTGCTCTCGGGGAAGAAGAGAAAGACGTGGATGAGGGACGCGACGTTGAAGACGCCGAAGATGATGAAAGTCTACAATAGTCAGTCTCTCGTTGGCGGGCAGAGGGGAGTTAAGAAGTAACATACCCGCCATTGGATGTGCTGGAATGCAGGTGGCGTGAAGAACGTCAGAGCGAAATTGCCCATCCAGTTGACGCCGACGCCGACGCTGGTGACTTTGGTTCTGATGAACATGGGTAGGACCTCACTTGGGTAGACCCATCCGATAGGCCTGTTTGGATCATTAGCAAAGGCTTTGTCTACAACGAGGACATGGAACATACCCCCAAGTCAATTGATAACTTGCAACGAAGAGGTAAGCGCACGAGATGATCGCTTTGCTGGCGGCTTGGTTATCCACGACCCACGTAACGCTTGGAGTTCCCTTCAAGCCACCAGGCACGGAGTGGCCGTAATTGGCCATGAGACCAGCAGCTGCGAAGAGCCAGGTGAAGAGCAAGACGCTGCCGATCATGAGGGCCCAGCGTCTTCGGTAATGGTCCATGAATGCGAAAGCGAAGACTTGGACGCCAACACTGATGCAGTACTGAATCGCACCTGAAATGAGCTGTCGATTGCCTTGGATGCCGGCCATTTGGAAGATGTACACGATGTAATACCTGAAGATAAGAATGTAAGCAGATGTTCTGTTCGTGAGGAACAGCTTCTATGCATTTGGCCGACTCACATCAAAGCGTTGTTTCCACTGAATTGAGACCATAGATGGGCGCATACAGCGGCCTGAGTGCGCATGACGTTTCGCGGTTTGATGAGTTCGACCCAGGAAGTCGAGCCATAGTCACGTTCGAGGCTAGAAGACACAGATATCAGTTCTGGATATCAGTAAAAGGATTCATCCACGTACAAGATCTTCTCCTTGATCTGATGGAGTTCGGCGAGGACCAGCGGTTCCATGCGATCGCCTTTGCCGTGGAGCAGAGCGAGCACATCGTGTGCTTCCTCCCACCGGTCTTTGACTGCAAGCCTGATGATAGCAGACAAATTAGCCGAATTACGTCCCCTGATTTCCAATTTCTAGTCATGCCACTTACCATCGCGGTGACCTGGGCATGAACGGGATGAAAGCAAGCATAACCAACGCCGGAATCATTTGTAATCCCCAGGGGATTCTGAACGAGGCGTTGCCCTCCACGAAAGAGGTTCCATAAGATATGAAGTAAATGATGAGAGTCTATCCGACACCGTCAGTCAATGGTCTTGTCGACTGGTGCAGCAGAGGGCACACATACTCCCCACCCAATCATCCAGTTCTGAAATGCGATAAGTCGTCCTCTGCGGTCCGGTTTGCTGATCTCAGCAATGAAGAGAGGCCTAAACATCCAAGTCAGTGTCTTTGCCCGATTGGGGGACCTTCATAGCTCGACTCACGCCTGACAGCTGAAGATTCCCACCGCAAAGCCATTGATGACTCGGCTGACGATTAACTGCGCAACATTCTGCGCAGAAGACATGATCGCACAGCCAACGATCCATATCACGCAACCAATAGCAAGAGAATCTCTTCTGCCGAATCGATCGGCTGTGAGGTTCGTGGCAATGGCGCCGAGGAGAGAGCCGCCAGCCATGGAGGCCGTGATACCTCCCTGGAGAACGGAATTCGGGCTATGGAAGTATGATTTGTACTACAGCCTCCATCAGCATTGGTGTAGTGAGTGGCGGAGGAGATGCGAACATACCTGCTTGGTGCCAATAATGGCACTCATACTCGCGACATCAAAACCCTGCATCAAACCTCCCAGCGTAGCCAGGAAGCTGATGAGGTACACATTCTGCAGTCGAAAGGTGGGCGCCATGTTGCGTGTCCAGCCGTGTATGGGAGCGAGAGTCGGTCAAGACAAGTCTGCTGAAGGAGGTACAAGTATGATAATACCAAGCCTTCTTCTCGTGGAATAACAATCCCCTCAAGCCACGCTTGCCGCACTGGTGCAGTTGTCTATGTGGTGCGACTCACACAGCCAATCAATTTAGCTTTCACGTCCGGGTCGGGTAAGCGAAAGTGATGATCTTCAGCACGCCATTCCTTTGTCAATATCTCGCAAGAATGCGGTGCAGGTGGAGGTGGAGGGACTTTCGATGACAAAGGCTGGAGGGATGGAACATTGTTCTAGTAGACATGTCTGAATGAAACGCTTTCCGCAGCGCTGATCCTTGTACAATTATCGTCATAAGCAACGCCTTTTGCGCAACCCTTTGCTTTGCAACGCCATCTCACCTATCGTGTACCGTGTTCTAGTCGAAAGTGATCTTGGTAGCCGCCTTCATGTCTGCAGGATCCTTGTAGAATGCACCATATGCATCGTGACTCTTCTTCTTAACTGTCGTTCCAAACTTGAGTAGTTCCTCCGGTACGGGTTGCTCAGCCTTCTTGAGCACATTGATCAGTGCACCTGCAAGACCTTTCTCGTTCTGCGTGAAGAAAGTGATGGCCAAACCGTCCTGGCCAGCGCGACCGGTTCTGTTAGAGCTGTTAGCCATTGTGGACGTGCTCTAGGTTAACGTCGCCACTCACCTTCCAATACGATGCACGTAATCCTCAACGGTCAATGGGAACGTCACGTTGATGACGACCTTGACAGCTGGAATATCCAGACCACGAGCTGCAACATCTGTCGCAACCAAGCAGGGCACGTCTCCCTTCTTGAAGGCATCCAAGCTTTCCATACGCTTGCTTTGACTGAGATCGCCGTGAATGCCGGCCACAGGGAAGCCCCTCCTGCGAATAAACTCCTCGAGCCGTGAAGCCTCCTTCTTGTAAAGAGCGAAGACCAGTATGCGATCTTTTTTGTTCTTGCCAGACTGATACTGCTTAAGCGTCTCGAAGAGGCGATTTTGCTTCTCCATCTCCTCCACCACGTAGACTTCTTGCTTGATTCTGGTGTTTGCTCGCAGCTCGCCTGAAGCATTGTCGCCGATTGTGATTCTGACTGGATCCTTCAGGAATTCGGACGCGAGCTTGCGGACCGACTCGGGCCATGTGGCTGTGAACATGAGTGTTTGTCTGTTCTTGCCTTCCGCGGCGGTGATGATCTTCCGAATATCCTGTTCAAATCCCTTATCCAGCATGCGATCCGCCTCGTCCAGTACGAGGTAGTTGACGTCAGAAAGCTCAATCGTGCCGTCCCCGATGAAGTCGTTCAATCTTCCAGGCGTTGCGACCAAGATGTGACAGCCCTTCAGCTGTGCACGTTGGTCATCTTTACTCATACCTCCGAATACACATGTCGCCTTCAGCCCTTTAGGTTTAGCCAGTTTGGCCATCTGCTCATGGATCTGGAGTGCAAGCTCTCTAGTAGGGCTGACAATGCACACTTGGATACGCTTACGGTCTTTCTTCACTCGGTTGATGCACGGTACTCCGAATGCGAAGGTCTTTCCAGATCCTGTCTCGGCGACACCGATCATGTCCCGGCCGTTGAGGAGATAGGGCCATGATGCGGCCTGGATGGGAGTCGGCTTGCTAAAGCCAGAAAAGTATGAAGTTCGAGTGTCGGCATCGAATGGCAAGCTCTCAAAAGACAGCACGGGGCCGGCATTCTGCTTCAACGGATCTTCCACAGAAATCTTTTCTTGAGCATAGTATGCTTCTGCTTCTGGCTTACCCACGCCCGTCACTTGTCCGTTGCCAGCCTCGTCGTTGCTCTGTCCATTGGACTCGACCACCGCGCTCGCTTTCTTTGCAGCCTTTTCCGCCTTCTTTCGTGCCTTCTTTTCTGCTTTGGCAGCAGCCTCATCGTCCTCTTTCGCTTCCGCGACCTCCTCGGATGCTTCTTGCGCCGCTGCTGCTTTTGCTGCCTCTTTCTTTGCACGCTTCAGCGCTTTGCGCTCTTCTTTCGATAGCTGCGGTTTCTCTGTATCCTCACCTACGGTATCCTCGTGAATGGCGATCGTCACGCCATCATCACTCTCGTCGGCGACCTTCGCCTTCTTCTCCTTCTTTTCCTTCCTGTCTTTCTTGTCTTTCTTGACCTTCTGCTTCTTCACACTGACGTCCACAGGCTCCTCAGCAGTCTCTGGCTCTCTCGATCGTTTGGCCATGATGAAGATGACTGCACGTTGGATGCGTCAAGATGCGCCGTACTTTCTTGAGTCTCGAAAATTTGGGCACTTTCCTTGGCGGCGGGGAATCTTCGGGTTTACCGTAGATCGATCCTTCCACTGCCGTGGTTCCTCCGAGGACCACATCCCAATTAAATGAGGATATGTTCTCTCATCATCAGAGCCATATCGCTCGCCATGTCAACGAGAGCCAAAGCCTAGCTCATTGATTGCAAAGGGAGGCATCGTAAGAATTGGATCCAAAGGCAGCTTTTCAAGACAGGATCTTATCTTGGAACAGATGAAAGACTATGGATAGTAATAGCGCACTGCCATCCGATCCATATGATGGCGCATCAGCCCTTGCTGAGAATGCACTTCGTCAAGCGTCGTCCATAAAGAGACCCGGATCATCGTTGACCCAAGCTTCAACCAAAAGGCCGGCCCTTCAGGATGGGGGTCAAGAGAACAGTCCTAATCCTGGCCCTATGAGAGGCTCAGACGATGCATTGGACTATCCTCGCAGACGAGCGACGATAGCTTGTGAAGTCTGTCGCAGCAGAAAGTCACGTTGCGATGGCATGCGTCCGAAATGTAAGCTGTGCGTCGAATTGAATGCAGAATGCGTATACCGCGAGCCAGGCGTCAAGCTCGATGCAGGAGATAAACTTATCTTGGAAAGACTGGCTCATATCGAAGGACTCATACAATCGAACATGGTCAGGTCTCCATCTACGGTCGGCCCTATTTCTCCAGCAACGAGCAATGCAACATGCGAGGACATGCCGTCCCGACGCACTGTACCTATGAGTGGAATGGGAATGTCATTGACGACCAATATATCAGCTATGCCCAAGGCTCATACTACCCCGGCACTTCATCTGCTGCACTGGCCTGTGATACAAGACCTAGTATCGAAGCCATGCAACCCTCAAGCATTGATGCAACTCGAGATGAGTAGACCGCCTCTCCACTTCACCAGAGAATTTGAGCCTGACTGGACGGACCCGATTGAAGTTTACGTGAAAGCCTTCTTCGAAAAGGCAAACGTCTGGTACGCTGTCGTGAGCCCCTACGCATGGCGAAGCTATTACCAGTCGGCCTCATCGGTCAACGTCCGATCCGGTGCAGAAAGCTGCATCGTTCTCCTCGTTCTCGCGCTAGGAAAAGCAGCTCATTCTCACCTTAGCATCTCTGAACTACCACCGAACCACCCACCTCCAGGATTATCCTACTTCTATGCAGCCTGGTCCCTCCTGCCATCCCTACTGTTGCGCAGCGACGTCCTGTCCGCGCAAGCACACATCCTCGCAGCGGCATATCTCCTCTACCTCGTCCGTCCTTTAGAAGCCTGGAATGCGCTCTGCACAGCATCTTCCAAAATCCAACTTCTCCTGTCCTCTCCAACCACAATCCCGCCACAACTCCGCGAATTGGCAGAGCGGATATACTGGAACACTCTCCTCATAGAATCCGACCTCCTCGCGGAACTAGACCTCCCACACACCGGAATCGTCTCCTTTGAAGAAAGCATGCGCTTACCACGAAGCTTCCCCTACGACACCACGGTCCCGGATTCCCCAGGAACAGACGATATCTGGTACTTCCTCGCCGAGATCGCCATCCGTCGTCTCCTCAATCGCGTCTCTCACCTTATATATTCCCAGAAACAACAGCTCGGAAATCTCGAGCCGATAGTCACGGAGCTGGATTATCAGTTAACGCAATGGTACACTTCCCTCCCACCTTCTGTGCGATTTCCAAGGGAAAGAACCCCAGCTCGGAATCAGATCCAGACAGTCTTGAGATTACGATACTTTGCTTGCCGGACGATAATTTTCAGACCTTATATCCAAGCTGTTCTGCACGAGCCGAGTCTGATCAATGAGCCGGGTGTCAAAGCGGCGTGTGAGAAGTGTTCGGATGCTTGCATTCGGCAACTCGAGAACATAAGTGTACATAGAGAAGGACATTTACCTTATCTGTGGCAAGGCGCGTTGTCGATCACAAGTCAGTCGCTGCTGTTGATGGGCGCGACGCTGTCACCCGTGCTGAGCGGTTTGCTGCCCTTATCCAAGCAAGAGACCGACGCGGTGATAGCAGACGTCGTTGCAGAGATTGAAGGCCTTGCTCACCTGGCGCCCAGTCTGAAGCTTTGTGCGGAGATCGTGAGGGAAGCGGAGGAGAGGAGACAGTTCCTGATGCAAAGACCAAAGACATGAGAACGAGGAAGCGTGGAAGAGGTATACCACATCTTACCAGCGCGAGCCATTGCGCTCAGCTATCTACGTAACACCGGCGTAAAGGATGCGCACTCACCATCCGCGCATGCCTTGCTGCTCTGAGACAGCTCCGAGGGATCCGTCTGGAACGCCAGAAAGCAATGAAAGCAACGGAAAAGAGTACATTATGAGACAAACAGGCTCTCGTCCTGGATGTTGTACTGCTTGATGATGTCCGCCAATTTCTTCGCCTCGACGGAGAAGTTGAGCGGGTTGGCGTACTGGACCTGATAGCGAACTCTGTGGAATAAGTCAGTATTGCAATGGCCAGAATGATTGTCCGGATTGATATGCACTCGCCTCTGCTGATCATTGAAAGTGTCCATCTTCGCGCGACACCGGAAGACAAAAGTCTGGCAGTTCGCATCACCAAATGTCTCCGTGACGCGCTTGTCATCGCCTTCCTCCTTCAGCTGCATCAACTGATTCGCTTGCATGCCCATGATAGTAGCGCCGACTTCGTCAAAGCAGCTCAGCCAGATCTGACCTGTGTGGTCGCTCACGTTGACCGACATGATGTACCGGTAATTCGGTGCATCCCACACCTTGTTGCATTTTTCGCAGCGCCACTGCCCTTCAGACTCCTCCTGGACCTTCTTGTTGCAAGGAGCAGGATCCGTGGTACGGCAGGCTGGATACGCAAAGCTGTCTTGCTTGATGTAGATGATGGTGGCTTTCAGGCTGAACCACTCGGTCTCCTCGCCCATTCCAATATTCTCGTCCCGGATCTGCGCGATTGTCTTTGCGTCGTTCCCTCTACCTCCGCTCGTCACAGTTGACATGGTGTTGGCGTGGCTGGTGTATTCAGTATGGCGACCTTGGCCCTCGTACCAGCCTTTAAGCTTGTATGCTTCCTCAATCTCAGGATTGGCGTTCATTGTCCCGCTTGAGCTCAACGAGAGCGAACGACCTCCAAAATCAGAGACACGAACGCCTTTGAAAGCGATGACCGACTCGACCGGGACTTCAAAGCTTTCCGCTGTCTTTCCCCATACGGTGAGTCGAATGGTGTATCCAGTGTCATCGACGAGCGTCAACTCACGCTTGCTGAAAGGCTTCCCGGAATTCTTGGAGACAATCTCGCTCACCTCACCGACATCTTGCAGAACTCCCAGGATATCTGTAGTGGTGTCCTTTTCGACATTCTGAAGTGCTGCGAGAGTGGTGAAGTTATAACTCACTTGCGGCACTCCATCGTTGTCCTCCGCCTTCTCAACTTGTGTGTCTCTCTCGAATGCGAGCTCGTAGTCGTTGTTGAGGTTTGAGAACTGCTTCTTCGCAAGCTGGACTCGACAGGGGCTGGAAATGTAGTAGACTGCACCTTCCTGCAGCACATCGTACCACTGGTCAACGGCGTCATTGAACATGGTGGCACGAATCTCGCCCGAGTCGTCTAAGAAGTTGGCGCTGAACAGCTTGCCCTCGCCGTTCTTATTGTGCCATGTTCTAATATCACCCTTGTGCGTACACCGCGCCTTGATTGTCCATTTGTGCGTGTATGGGGAAATCGCTTCGATCGGAGTGATATTGCCGTGCGAGCCCCCGTGAGAAGCGCCGTTGGGACGAGACGGTAGAGAGCGCTGTGGCTGCTGCTGCTGTTGTATCTGCGGCTTGTTTCCATAGAAGTTGTTGCCGGCGATGTTTCCAGGCTGTGGCTTTACATCCTCTTGCTGCTCCTGCTTTGCCTCTGTGCTCTCGAGGGCCACTGGCTGTCCCAACTTGTCTGGCTCTCCATACTCTTCAAGAACATCCAAGCTGATCACAATGAGGATGTATTTGTCCTTCACGAAGTTGGCTTGGTATTGAGTGAGGCGACAGACGCTGCCCTTCTTGAGCTTGCCGTCAGTGATGAGATGGTTTGATTCTGACAACAAGATCAGCGACTTTCTTCACACTCTACTGAGCACGCGACATACGTATTGCAATCATGCCCTGAATGAAGTTGACAGTGTCGTTGAAAACAATGCGCCATCGCTCCTGGCCATTATTGTTGTTGGCCATGGGCTTGATCTGAACGCATTGCAGGATGGGGTTGTCGATGGTGACGCCCTCAGTGATGCTCTTGAGGGCGCCGATTGTGATGGCACCGAGTGCGTCTGTCATACTGTCGAAGCTAGGCGGCGTCAAGGAGGAGTTGCTGGGAGAAGAAGTGGGTGGTGTTGATGTCGTTTGCAGGCAGTTGAAAGATGTGTGAGCCACTTTAGGTCCCCTCCTTCCACGCGACGCGTCGATGTTCGCGATTGATGCCTGATCGTGCACGGACTCCATCTTCGTTGCCTTAGGATAAAACAATCACTTCGCGATTCTTCGTTGCGTGTATTTCGCCAACGAAAGACTCTTGTTGAGAATATGTTCATGCTCGACACCTGCTCGCTATGGAAATTGTAGGAGAGCTGGAGTGATGTGCTTATCGCTCTTCGACGAGAAGGCCACGACTGGATTAGAAGGACTCTTTGCCACTCTGTTGCCTTGCTCCATCCCAATGGCGTACGAGCACTAGGCTCCCGGTCCATACAGTACACAGCTTCATTTGCCTTTTTCATCTCTCCATGCGAGGATCTATTTGGCGGATGTTGGCTGCCTGAGGACGAAAGAGCCATGGATCCGAGCATCAAGACTTTTGGTTTAACATTAAGTATCTGTATGTGAATGCAGCGTCACACAGACTCGTCAGCTGCATCGCCGTTCAGCAGTCGCACTACGCATGCACCGTGCATGTGTCAAAAATCTACATGTAATGGCTATTACGGACAATCGACTGTTCGGCGACCTTTTAGACTCCGCGGGCTCTTGCCAGTTCGTCGCCGATTAGCTCGCCGGCGGGGTCTTCTTCGATATCAAACCAAGAACAGCTTCGAAACCAATTCTTCTTCGAGACAACCACGACACAAAACCACCAACAACCCAAATCAAAGAATCACTTCTCACCTCGAAAAACTTCCAACACCCTCAGCAAAACTCATTCAAGATGTGCAAGAAAGCAATCTGCTCAAGCTGCCGTGCGTCCTCTCCAGAATCCCCGCCGCCACCTACACATGCTGACCCTCTCTACAGAAAAGGCCACCTGGTGGGGCTGCGGCTCTCACGTCCCCATGGTCATGGACTCGATCCCAGAGGCCGAACGCTGCTCCTGTGAGCCAAGGAAAGAAGTCGACGGAAAGCAATATCCACCAATGGGTCCGCAGCCCTCTTCTTGATCTTTTCGTTTTTGGCAGGCAGTCAGCAGGACCGACAGAACTGACTTGCTTATCTTTGTTAAAGGACCTGCTTTTGGAATGGTGAAGGCGGCATTCGGTGTGGGGGTTGGTAGTGGCTCTGGAAGCGGAAAGGAAGACTTGTAGATGCGAAGTGAGATGCGAGATGAAGTGGAGTTTGGTCCATCAAGGTGATACGGAGATGGGCCTAGGATGGGACACGTGATGCAGTACAGGCTTACTACGTACGAGATATACTGTAAGGGTTGACATCTTTACTCTCCTTGAGATTGTAGGAGCCGTACTTCGAGCATCCAATCGCTGCGCAGGGAACATGGCGAGCACACCTCTGATGCTCGCCTCCTCCCGGTTGAGCCTGATGGAGGCGGCTTGGAGCGGTGCAAATCTTGTAGTGCTCTTCGTAGAGCCTGGGATGGCGCCTCGCAGCATTCCAGCAACGAGAGGCGTCGCAGGTGTGCATCATATCGTCCCAGTGACAGCGAAAACAGAAGAAAATCTCACAGGTAGCTGAAAGCAGCGATGAAGAACAGATATGGTGGGTACCGAGCATATGTCTTATGCGGTATTCATGGTCTGAGAGAGCACGGGGGGCGTTGCCGTGCAGTGTTTGATGTTGACCGAGAGCGCGACTGAGAATACTGACTCACCGGTCGTGGCTCAACAGTGAGCTCTACCTTTCGAAGGAACCCTCTGGAGGAGGTTTAATTTGCCTCACGAAGCCGATGGGGCAGAGATGGGAGGCCTTCCATGCAGAGGATACTTCGCCGTCCAATACCAGCATGTCCCCGCGCCAATCGGCCACACAAGTCGCTGTTGAAGCAAATCTTCGACCGCTATGGCGACAATATCCAGAATACGAGACCAGCTGGCGAGGGAAAACCAAACCAGAGTCAGAGCATAGGCGAGATAGATTTGTTTGACAGCAGAAGTCTCCCCATGCAGAAGTCTTCATCTAATGTTCATTCGCGGGAGAAGTAGACTTGGAACGTGGTTCGCAGCCTTGTGCGATCAGGCTGGGGCGTGATGAGTGCGGTGTAACGAGGCAAATGACCGCGTACCTTGTGCATCTTCATCTGGTAAGGGACGAGGGGGCGAGAAGGAGTGCCTTGTGAGCATGGGTTCGAGATCGAAGAAGTCGGAGAGCAGATGAAACCAAGGAAGCTGTGGAAGGGTAGATGTTGATGGCAATATAGGCTAAATTGGCTCTCGGGAGCTGCCGCGCGCCCGAACTGCAGCCAGTACGAGCGTCATGTTCGACTCTTCGATTCTCCGATTTCAACCTCCAACTCTCTTCAACAAAACACCACGCATGTTCAACCAAGTCTTCTTCACTGACAAGAGTACACACACAGGTATCGCACGGTAAGCTATCTGCATTTCCTTCAACCAGTCCTCAAAGATGGCGCGGCGCAAGGAAGGAGGAAAGGCCCATGATAGCGAGAACAATTCAGGTGGTGATAGCGATAGCGCACACCATGCCAACGACTCAGCAGAAACCCCCGTTAGCTACGACCCTTCGACTTACGCGACGGACGGAGACGCTCGGCAGTATCAGCAGTATCAACAACATCTCCAGTATTATCAGCAAAACCAGCAATACTCACAGATGGACTACAACCAATACGCCAACTCGGCGGCGTACGGCGCTGGGTATGGTTATGGAGCTCCACCAGGCTATCAGCAATACGCTCAACCGCAACAGCAGTATCAGGCATCACCGCCACAAATCCGCAATCCTTTCGCTCCCCCACCGCCACCAGCGTCAACATACGCCAGCCAAAATGCGGAGTTCGACCCCACCTACGAACAGCAGATAGCGCAATGGCAATCCGCTTATGCACCCGCAGACCAGCAGGACCGCGGTAAGAAGGGCGGAAAGAACGACCGCGCAGACAATGCAAACTTCGCACCCATCGGTCAGCGGGCCGGTGCAGTAGCCGCAGAGAGTGCCGACGGGAAGAGCAAGAGCGCGGTCGAGGACAGCAAATATACTGTGGTCCGCAAGGGCGGTGGTGAGAGTTGGGAGGATAAGTCGCTGCTTGAATGGGATCCAAAACAATTTCGCATCATGGTGGGCAACCTTGCTGGGGAAGTTACCGATGACAGTCTTGCGAAGGCTTTTGCGCAATACGGCGTCTCCAAGGCACGAGTTGTTCGAGACAAGCGCACGACCAAATCGAAAGGTTACGGCTTCGTCGCATTTGAAGACCACGACCAAGGGTTCAAAGCTGCCAGGGAGATGGTTGGCAAGTACATTGGCAGTCACCCTGTCACCATCCAGCGCAGTAAGACCAATGTGCAGCCGATCGTGAAGAAGGATCAGCACAAGCACAAGGGCAAGAACAAGAGTAACAACCACCAGCAGAACAAGAACAAGGTCGACAAGAAGCAGCAAGATCCATTGCGGGCCAACACGAACGCTGGCATCGAGAAGAAGAATCCGAAATACCCAAGTGGCTTGAAATTGCTGGGTTGAGCGGCATGGCTTCGTGTCACATATCGGCATTTGGCGGCTGAGGTCTAGGCTTAATCATGGAGCATGCATTTAGCAATCAGCAGCACGAGGGTACTGGATGGCTTATGGCTTGGCATGTGGTGGATCATTTCACCTGCAGCAGCATCCGGGTACCAAAACTGCGGAGTAATATGCAGGGCCCCAAATCGGCATTGCACCCGCCGATTGACGAGGTGCGGAAATTTGGACTGTTGTTTATACTTGAACTTTGCGACTGACGATCGGGGAAGCCATACTGGGTAGGACTCTCGCATTGCACAAGTGTGATAATCCGTCGGTGTAGCCAGCAGAACGCAGACGACGAATGGTGCCTTTGTCAAGCGCATAGGCACGACAAGTGACTGCGTCTGGCAGTCAGCATGTGTCGGTTGACACGTATAGCAGGTGCCACCGCACGGCATGTACGTAGTCCCTAATGACCTAAATTCACATTCGCCAGGGCGTAAAGATAATTCTTCCGTCTTGTTCACTGTAAGCGGCAGACATCGCATCTTCATTGGTCCAGATGAGCGCCGGACGAACAATGTTCAGGATTCGACGTCTCGTTCTCGTTTCAGACAACGCCTCATCAGTCGCCATCAGCACTTTGATCGCATTCTCGTATGCAGTTAGACGGTCTGATAACGAATGCTCGCTGATTCGCTGCACCGTATGTTCCTTGCATCAAGATTCTTGGACCGCGGCTGCGCTCCAAGCGAGGCGGAGAAGAGCCACATCACATGCTCCGGCTGCCGTGCGTGGTGGTGCGACAATGACACTGCCATAGGACGACAACATCACCACCGAAACACACAATAAAACCCTGCCCGTGTCCCTATTGTTCATGACGGCCATCTGATAGCAGGGCTAGCAACCATGGGCCTCTCAACCTTCCTCGTCGACCGCATCTCCCCTTGGACGGTAGTCTACACCTGCACCACAATCACAGTCTACGCTCTTCGCCACAATGTCTCAGACTTCCTCACCTACGCCCTCTTCCTCGGCTCCACGGCGCTCTTCATCCGCATCATCATACTCCACTACCTCGAAGAATCCCGGATCCTCGCACTGGGAACCCAAGCCCCCGTCATCCGCACAAAGACTCCTTTCAATACCGGTTTCATCGCCCAGGCACTCTGGTATTTCCAACACCATCGGAACCATGAACTCTGGTGGAATCTGTTCTCCAAAGCGAACCCGAACCGCCCCTACACCGTCGAGACAGTGGTCCTGGGGCAACGTCTCGTGTTCACGGCGGATGAAGAGAACATCAAAGCCATCCTGGCGACGAAATTTCAGGACTACGGCAAGGGACCCCAATTCCGCGTCGAATGGAAAGATTTCCTGGGATTGAGCATCTTCACGACGGATGGGCAGCAGTGGCACGATTCGCGAACTCTGCTGCGACCGCAGTTCATCAAAGACCGGCTGTCGGATTTGAAGACGTTTGAGCACCATGTGCAAATTCTGTTGCCGATGTTGGAGGGCAGCCAGGCAGGCGCCACGGTGCGGTTCGATGACCTGGTCTATCGGTATACGCTGGATGCCGCGACGGATTTCCTGCTCGGCAGGAGCGTGGAGAGCCTGCAGAACGGCGAAGCGGAATTCGCCAAGGCGTTTGCGGAAGTACAGCGTGTGCAGGCCATGATTGCGCGAGCCGGACTGGTCCGACACCTGGTGCCGAAGAAGTCGTTCTACGAAGGGCTGGATGTGCTGAATAAGTTTGTGGACAAGTACATCGACCAAGCCCTGGCTTTGCCACAGGAGGAATTGGAGAAGAAGAGCAAGTCGGACGAAGGGTATACTTTCCTTCACGCGATTGCCACGTTCACTCGCGACCGGGCGGTGCTGAGAGACCAGCTCGTGGCTGTCCTGCTAGCGGGGAGAGACACCACGGCGACGACGCTCTCATGGCTCTTCTACGAGCTTTCGAGGGACCCCACGAGGACGCAGAAGCTGCGACAAGAAATCATCGACCGCGTCGGTCTCGACCGAGAACCTACGTACGAAGACTTGAAATCGATGCGATACCTACAGCACGTTCTGAATGAGATCCTGCGCATGTACCCGGTCGTGCCGTACAACGTGCGTGTCGCTCTCAAAGATACCACCCTGCCACACGGCGGCGGACCCGACGGAACCGACCCCATCGGCATCACCGAAGGAACTCCCATCGCCTACTCGACCTTCATCCTGCAGCGCCGCGAAGACATCTATCCCCCCCAGTCGAGCGGATTCCCAGACCATCTCAAGTTCGTACCCGAGCGCTGGGACGGCTGGACGCCCAAGTCGTGGACGTAAGTAGACGACCTGACCGCAAGCAGATGACTAGACATGCGTTCGTTCGCTGATACTTTCATCGCAGGTACATTCCATTCAACGGAGGCCCCCGAATCTGCATCGGCCAGCAGTTTGCCTTGACCGAAATGGCATATTCGGTCACGCGCATCCTGCAAACTTTCGAGAGGGTGGAAGACAGAAACCAGAGCTTCCCCGGGACCAAGACGGATATCGTGCTGCAGCCGGCCAACGGGGTTCATGTTGCCTTCATCAAGGCGAAGAAGGCTTGAGGATGATTGGTGTATCTGGTTTGTCTGGGTTCTTGGGGGTTTGAGTTCCGCTTGACCTCGGAAGGCGAATGAGTTCTACATTGGAAAAGTAAAATGAAACCAATGCAAGCGTTGCAGTTCCGCTGGCAAGCTTCCACTCTCAGAGCGCGGAGCATAGCGCTGTTCTCCGATCGCAGTGGGGGGGATAGTCAAGCTCTTGCCTGAATGTTCAATGAATATTTGCTGACCAGTATAGAGGGTATGCGCGAGAATATGCTTCTGTGTTTTGAGTGCATCTACAGTGTTTTGACCCGTGCATCGTATTTGTCATCAGTCTTGCGACCGAGCAGAAACGCTGGGTGGGGGAGTGGTACTGTAGTAGCCGGACGTGTAACCTGACGATCTTTCCGACTCGACACGAGAAGAGAGACCGTTAGACCCGGCCCGACGGCCCGGGGAAAACGGGTCCTGCGTGCGTGCAGAGCAGCACGTTGCAGATCTCATCTGGAGCTTCCGAGCTCCCGTCACTTTCGCTTTTCTTCACTGCAACAGACCCAAGAGCTGCGAAGCCGTTCCAGAGGACACTCCACCATGCAGGGACGGCAGGCAAAACACGAGAAGCCGGCCTCTGCGCATGCATGGCCGAAAGGGCCGAGTCGGTCGGTCGGTGGGTAGAGTCAAGGGGATCGGAGGACGGGTGAAGGTCGCCGGCCACGCGACCCACGGCCAACGCGACCACCTTCCTCATCAAGTATTGCTTTGCATTTCCTGGTCAACGCGTGTTCCAGGCACCAGTGTTTCTGGTAGCACCTGGACATGAGACTCATATCAACAGCACGACCGTCTGCCGAAGTTGAACAGCTCTAATAAAGCGTGTTTGTTGGTCGAGCTCATCAGCCCGAGGGCAAGAGCGACGCATCTCTCCGTTTGCTGACAACATACTAGACGACGTACTAGGAGTAAGGTATAGCCGAGCCAATCACTTCGCTGGGAGGCGTTCTCTCTCAGCTCCGTAACGCTCGACCTATCGGCAGAGCTGCATCGCACAACCTGTGTAGCCCAGTACGCTGCCAAACGATGAGATCGCAAAGTTGAGCCGAGAAGAGCAACGCGATGGCGTGCGTTGGTAGGTATCAAGGTATGTCGCCGGTAGACCGCATGAGCGGCGCATAGCGTAGGGAGTATAACGAGCAGTATACGTCTGTGTCAGGCGCCAAATCGGGCAATTTTCTCTTCTCATCACCTTATTAATGCGTTCCACGTCGCTGCGAGAGACAGAAACGTGATGAGATCGTGATTGATGTCGAGGGCGGCAGATAGCTGAGCGGGGCTCGACCGTGGATGGCGCTGGAGGGTTTGCGGACAGGGAGCCGGGAGCTCCAGGACGAAGGGCTGTGATCGGCCCGGAGATTAATCAGAGCCGCTGCGGTCTTGCACAGTTGAAGTAGTGCTTCATCAGCGTGGTCTATGGCAACGGACGTCTGCAGATCTCCAAGATAAGCGCCAGGATAGCTAGCCGTCGGAGAAGGTGTGCCTGGCGAACGGCAACAGCAACAGCAGCTGCGACTGCGACTGCAACCTTTGTGGGAAGGCACAACGCGAGGCGAAGCTCGGGGCTCGACTGAGTTTAGGAAGAGCAGCTCCCGAAGGCTATGGACAAGCCGCCCCTACGCCTTGCCTCAAGCGACTTAGACCTGTCCCGGAAATGGGGGACGATGCACATGCGGGCGACGGGATCGTTAGCGCGTGTCCACCACTTCACACGAAAAGCCGCTCCATTTTTGCATCTCTTCGCGCGTCGATTGGGTGCAGAGGGCAAGACAGCAGAGCCAGGCGCCGGGAGTGGAGCTGCAGAGCGTGTGCAAGAAATGACCTGTACGTCGTCGTGCCCTGCGTGGAGGTGACGGCGGTATGAGACCGACACGTCACCTCGCTGTGTATGGTCGGAGGAGGTGTTGTTTGCGAACCGATTGCCGTGTCTGTTGTCTCGCTCTCCCTCACCAATCCGACTGGTCATATGAAGATTCTGAAGGGGCACGGCTTCGCAAGGTACATCGCGGTTCGGGACCGGCCGCCATTGGAGGCTAAACACGCGCAGGCCCGCCAGATTCGCGTTTGCCGGCCGACACGTACGGTGCACTGACCCGTCCGAGTCCTGTGCCGTGGCCTGAAATTCTCCCGCCTCAACACACGACCAATGACTCCCGTCTGTCCACCAGCCGCAGCCGCAACCGCAACCGCAACCGCACGACGACGACCACGACGACGACGACCGACAGAGCACACACCCACTGCGCACCACTCGACTAATAACACTGACCACTACTGCCCGCCCCGCCGTTCTTGCCAACGCCGCCGCGCCTGGCCAACCGAGCCTCACGCTCAAACGCGTTGTCTCGTTCCTGTTCGACTCTCCGGCTTCTGTTCGTTGACCACGGATGCTCCACCGTCCTCAAAACATCCCTGCTTCCGCGCCTGCGCCTGGACCCAGAGTCATCAACGCACCGCTGTCCCTGCTTCCAAGTACACACTACATGTACTCCAGTTCCGTCAACCTCGTGTGAGAGTATTGGGCAGACGCGGGGTGCGGTAAATTAATCAATCCATCGACAACAACGTCTTCCATCCACTTCGACTCCTGTATCCGCCCACCTACCCTCACTTACACACACATCTTTGGCCCTTCATTTTATTCTCCGACCACCGCTCTCCGACATCCTCTCCTGCGCGGACTCTCCTCTCCATCAGGCCCTTCGCTGATCGCCATACCCCACCACCACCGCACGGCCAGTGTGGATGATTCACAATGTGCGAATATAACCAGTCTCGCTCATCCGACTCCTCGGCCACCTCTGGTTCTAGCGGCTCTTCATATCAACTCATCCTGGATCACATCCTCAATTACCCAGGCAGCTATGAGATACCACTACGCACCATGTATGCGCTCAATTGTCATCCGCCAAGCTCGCCGACTTCCAGTACTGCCAGCTCGCCCGCCATTTCCCAGGGCGGCTTCCCAGATGGTCAGACGACTGAGAGCCTCACGCAAAATCTGATGACGCAGCTTTCCAATCTACCGGGCAAGGACCACAAGAAACCGCCCAGCTTCATCACCTCCTTCGTCCAGCGATGCTTTCCTGCCCAGCTGACCCAAGTCGACTTTCCACAGGCGCTTACCGGACTGGATTATCTCAAGGATCTCGAGACGCGTCGGCGAAGTGAAGTCGCCTCCGCCATGGACCGCCTGGACATTGACCGCGAGGCTCTGACGCGCGAAGACGCCGGCCTCGCTGAGAAGTATCCCGGTGTGGCCCAATGGGTGAAGTCGATCGAGGAGAAGGAGCGCAAGATCGACACGCTGTACACACAGGTGTACATTGGCCTCCGACGATGGGTCATCATCAATGAGCTCTCACTTATGCCTTTCCACAAGCACAACTGCGTGGCTATGCTCAACACCCTCTACCCGCCGATGGGCATGCAGACTCAGCCAACGAGCAAGCTCACACCTGCCGTCCTCAAGTCTCAACGCAATGGTTTCTTCAAGTACATCCAAGCGGTCGAAAGGAACGGACCAAGCGTCTTGACCAACCTGGTTCAGCAGGGCAAGGCGCCGTCCGACGTCAACGGCTGGGTTGCGGTGACGCGTACTCTGAGCATCTATCTGCAGCTCGCGAACAGCATCATCAATGAATGTATCGCGATTTCCGATGCTCAAGACGTCTCACCACACAAGAAGCGTGACTCGAACCAGTCGCGCCACACCCGCAAAGCGGATTCTGGGATCAGCTTTACCTCTGAGCATCGACCCTCAACTCGCGGCTCAGTGGGAGAGCCTGTTTCGCCGATGGAGCCTAGCAGACCGAAGACTCCCGGTAGCTCCAGGCAAGGGTCAGCGACAGCTTTGGAGAAGCTCGCTCGCGGTCTGAAGACCATCGGGCGTAGCAGGACGGATGTGACGGAGATGATCTCGGGCGAGAGTCATTCCTCCTTCCAGCAGGCGGAGAGACCAAAGATGCTCCGAAAGATGCGCAGTCTGGGCTCTCTCGGCGAGCGCAAGGGCAGCGTGTCCACGACGACCTCGCGCCAAGAATCGGACACGCCTGCTTTTGACGTGGAGGAGATGCGACGACAACGATTGCAGTACGAGGCCCGGAAGAAGGACGACAAACGAGCAAGCAACGAAGTCTGAAGACGAAGGGCGAGCGAAATCTCCTTTGTACTGCTTTTGACGAATTGCAATGATACCACGACTAGCGTTTTAGCACGGAGAGACGGCGCAAGCAAGGGAGATGGAAAAGCATATGCGAGTGGAGCATTGGTGTTTGTGACAAGGATATTGTACAGCAGGCCTATCAAAAATTGTATGGAAATGCAATGGGCGGGAGAGGAGCACCAAAAAGACGCGGCGTTGTCGTCGAGAGTACCGATGCCTTCACAGGCAAGAGTTCGTTGGTGTCGTAGCGAAGAGGCATCGAGTCGCTCCGCGAAATCGCGCGTTGCCACTGTGCGATTGGGTTGGAATGCAGAAGGCAGGCAGGATGGGTGGCGAAGCTTGGGTGGCCAAGCTTGGTTGGCAAGGAAGCGAAGAAACGGAGCAGTACGACCATGAACTTGCCCATGGTCAGCGGAAATGAAGTCTTCTCGCCGCGATATCGTCTGTGATGACCTTCCTTACTTGCAAGTTTGTATTCGTCGGGTGACGTGTTGGTCTCTCCACTTTCTCAGCGAAGTTCCCAGCCATGCGCCCCCTTTTCCCACGCTCTCTGGTAGGATAGGCCAGTGGCAGGTGCAGGGTACATGTGTGCAGTAGACTTTCAACACGTGCCGCTTCCCATTCCTTGCTTTGCCATGCGGGTACCACAGGTACAGTAACGGTAGGTACAGGAACAGATCGATTCGGACAAACGCCAAGTTGGATCCCTACCACACTACATACGACTGAAAGTGAGACAATGACACTGGCTGTACCTACCTCCACGTTGTGAACAGTGACTGCCAGCCGCTGGCCATTCCAGGCGCCGCAGACTCGCAGCTTCCTGCCCTGCGATGCTCGAGGAAGGAGGAAATCGTGGGGCAGATGCACATTACGTTTGCGGGAGGGGTTTGTTTTGACGAGTATCGGTGCAGAGCTGCCGGGAGGAGAGCTACTGTACCTGCACTGCACCTGAGATCCAGGATGACTGCATGCACCCGTACTGCACCCTGTCGGGCGTCCCTGTCCACAGAGCAGGCAAGATGACTCAAAAAGACGGAGAAGGACAACTTTGGACTTCTGCCAACAACCACATGCTCCCGGCAATCTGCGTTGACAGACGAGGTGCACCTTGAAAGGGGGGAAATGCCCCGGCTTCCCTTCGTGACCTTGGATGTCTTTACCCAGACGCGGTATGCTGGGAACCCTCTCGCGGTGGTCCGAGTACCGGCAGACACGAAGGATGATGTCTCGGGGGAGCAGATGCAGAGGATTGCGAGGGAGTTCAATCTGAGCGAGACGATTTTCTTACACGAGGATGGGGAGCAGGAAGGGGAGTGGAGGGTGAGGATTTTCTTGACGGATAGGGAGATTCCTTTTGCTGGTGAGTCTTTCCATTTTCTTACGGGTCCCTTTTTGGTCCCTTTTTTTGGTTTGCACGATGAGGAAGGACGGAGAGGTTGACAAGATGTAAAAAGGTCATCCAACCATCGGCTGCGCAGTCTACGCTCTCAGCACCCTCTCCCCAACCCACTCCCAAGGCCGCTTCATCGCCAACGCAGGCCCCATCGACTTGCAATACGCCAACGGAACAGCATCCGCCTCGATCCCTCACAATTTCCACCTCCACACCCAACACGCCCGCAACTGCGAAGAGGTCCTCAACATCCAACCCGCTTTGAAAACCACCCTCACCTCCCCCGTTCCCATCGACCTCATCAGCCCCGTCAAGGGAATGAACTTCCTCGCAATCAACCTGCCCACCCTCGATTCTCTCGCGAGAGTCACCACTTCTGCCACCGGCCCCACTTCGACCCCCGACGATGAATGGCAAGCCGCTTTCACGGGCACTTACTTCTACGTCCACTTACCCTCCGATCCCGACACCGACACCATCCGCCTCCAAGCCCGAATGATCGCGGGACCCCTCGAAGACCCGGCGACGGGTTCCGCGGCTTGTGCTCGAGCCTGCCACCTCGCTCTCCTCCAGCGAAAACAGGCAAATACTCGCACGACGACTCCCTACGAAAAATCACACAGGGCCTCGAAATCGGCCGCAGATCGGACATCGGCGTCACGGTCGCCCTGAACGCTACTCGTGATGCGATCGAACGAGTCGTGCTCCGTGGCGAGGCGGTGAAAGTCATGGAAGGTATTGTCGAATGTTGATCGGCTAGAGTTCGGAGGCGCCATGGTATGAGGGGAGCAAAGGGAGCTGCCACGTGGCTCTACGGGGCTTTGGGATTCTCTGCAACGTCCAGAAGGGGTAATGAGGTATCATGCGCGATGGCGTTGGAGCTTGGTGCTAAGGCTACGCGCGCTGGGAGAGTTGAGTCGGCACGTTTGTGCGTGGCCTTGTGGGCTTGAGCCGTGGATTCTCAACCAGTTCCACCACCTACGTCGTTAGGTGCCGCTAATAATCCATCAGAGAGTCGAACAGAGACTGGCATTGGAATTGTTGTGCGTAGTTCCTCGGTGACTACTAGTCGTAGGTTCATCCCTTCTCATCATCATCCTTCTCATTCCTGTACTGTCTATCCATTCCCGCGGGTCCTGTCTCCCCCATCGGCCTGTACACCGACGAACGACCAACCAAAACCACTCGCCTACCCATTCATTCATTCATTCATCTGTTCATTCATCCCCTTGCAAAAACCCAAACCTCTCCTTCCCCCTCCGCACAAACCGAAACGGCACCTTGCCCGTCCGCATCTGAATCGTAATAATCGTCATCATGCCATCCTTCAACAACGCCCGCGCCCGCGCATCCGCCTTCGCCCACGCGCGCCGCTTCTCCGCTTCCGTCGCGCGCGCAAGGGCCTCGTCGGAGAGGTACTCGCTCACGTCCAATTCGACGCTGTATTCCTTGAACATGACGGCGAGGACGGCGAGGATTTCCACCTGGGCGAAGCGCCGGCCGAGGCAGGAGCGGTAGCCGTCGCTGAAGGGGATGTAGGCGCCCTTGGGGGGGCGGTAGAGGGAGGCGGCGGTGTCCGGGCGCTGGTCGGGGCCGTCGAAGTCGAGGCCTTCTTCTTCTTCTTTTTCTCTTTCTTCTTCGTCGTAGGAGTGGGGGTGGGGGTGGGGGTCGCTGGTGGTGGTGGTGGTGTCTTTCTTGGAGGGGTCGAGGATCCATCTCTCGGGGCGGAATTCCTTCAGATCTGCTTCCGAGGTGTGCGGCCAGTATTTGGGGTTCATGTGCGTGGCGACGGTAGACAAGGTCACGTACGCGTTCTCCGGCACCAGGACGTGCTTCCCGTTGAAAGTGAGGCCTTGTGGTGTGGCGCGTGTGGATTTGGGGATGCCGAGGACGGGAGGGATGAGGCGGAGTTCCTCGTTCATGACGGCGCCGCACATGCTGCCAAAGAGCTTGGGGAGATCGTGGTCGTAGTCCCATTCGGAGACCGGGCGGTCGCCGAGAATGCTGTCGAGGTCCTTCTGTAGGTTGCGCTGGGAAGAAGGATGCATGGCGAGGAAGAGTGTCGAGAAGTGGATGGTGTTGGCGGCGGTTTCGTGACCAGCGAGGATGAAGACAAAGGCATTGCCGAAAATCTCATCGTCGCTGAGGAGTTGCTTGGTGGGAGCCGCTTTCTCTGGGTCTGCATTGCCACGCGCGTTCAGTGATTCTTGTGTCAGACCGGCTCCCTGGACCAGAGCGCCCATGAGATCCATGCCCTCGCGTCGCTCGCCTTCCTTGACTTCACCACGCTTGGCTTCGTACAGCTCACGCATATACTGGCCCCATTCGGTGAAAGCACGCCAGGTCTTCTTGTGAATCTCCAATGGCGAAGATTTGATGACCCATCTTGGAAACAGGATCATGACGAGAATGTTCTTCAGTAAGGTCTCCAGTGCTTCTTTATATGCCATCGTGTGGCCTGCAGGAACGGGTGTGATTTCCTCCTCATGAGGCCATTTCAGTTGGACTCCGAACCCAGCTCGGCTGATGACGTGCAAGGACAGACGCATTGCTTCGGTGGCAACACTCCAGATGGTGCCGGTAGAGTCGCTCTTCTGGTCTATCCAGCCGGCCATCATGCTCTCCGCTTGGACGAGAGATTCCTTCCATACGAGGGTGTTGTTCTTCTCGGTGAACGGTGGGCTCGTGATCTTTCGATGATGTCGCCAATTCGCGCCTTCGGTGGAGACGACATTCTTGCCGAAGACGTCGACGCTGGAGTATAGCCAGATGGGCTTGGGGAAATCATTTCGGCGGCTGGTGATTTGGTTGTTGACTTCGGCGTCGGCCACATAGAGCGTATTTGCACCCGGCGCTACGATGATGACCAGGTCACTGCGCAGCTCTTTAAACATGTCATACTGCTTGTTCCACAGGAAGTCCGGAGTGAGATAATGATACCAAGCCTTGGTCCAGGACTGTGGCAATCTATCTATCAACGGCAGCCAGAGACGATGCGTGACCAACCAGAAGCGATTGAAGGTGTAGACTGGCATGGAGAGGTACGGGATGCCAGACCGCTTGGCGGCGATCAGATTGATCTGGTAGCATCTGTAGGTGTTGGCCAGGTACAGCAGGACTAGGCCTACGACGGCCAGGGGCAGAAACGAAAGCATGCCGCTCTGGTATCGCTCATTCACTGGGAGTATTCAGGGGTCAATGATGAAGTGTGTTGGAGAGTTCATCTCATCCTGCGGGCGATGATGCTGGAGAGTGAGAAGTGTGAAGCGAGTCCGTCTCGCTTTCGCTCTCGTCAAGCAAGTCGGACCAAGAAATCGGAGATGTGAGGTCCATTCCATGACGAGCCCCTCCAAGCGCTGGACCAATCATCACACGCCAAAAGGCTGCTGTGCCCCTCGGCTGAGCTGGGATGGTCTCGCGCCCGAGCCATCGCATCGGTGCGGGTTATGTTATGTATAGGTGAGACTAGCTTTCGATGCGAAATTAAATTGATTGATAGGCAGCGTCTGGGGTCTTGAAATGAATTAGTGAAATTTGATGGAAGGATGCTGGAAGGATGGTGGAAGGATGGTGGAAGGAAGAGCAGCGACTTCACCTCCTCCAGCACGGTCACTGCCATGGCACCGCCCATGGCAGATGGCACCGCCCTAGGCAGACACCGAATTGCGGAGCGCCTGGAAATAAGGTATCGGCATCATTTTACAGGCTGCGCAGACGGCCCGCTGCTCTGACGTGCTCTCGCATCTCGCTTGGAGTGCCTGCGACTTGGATGGAGTGTCCGAGGCATTAGTTGAGTGTATGGCATGGCATGGCATGGCATGGCATGGCATGGCGGCGATGGACGCGAGACGGATGAAACGCAGCACACAGCACACAGCACACACGGCATCTTCGCTACCAGACCGCTGGGCGTGCGCATGCTGGACAGCAGGGCAACGGCTGGCTGGCGGCGGCCGGGCGACTGCACACGCGCAATGCACACGCTGCATGAAAGCACGGCGTGCAAGCGCTGCACCGCACCGAGGACACCATCATCATAAGAAGGGGATATCACTGATATATCATCATCCGAGGCCCTGATCCGAGGAGACTTCGTCAGATGATGATGGTGCTGCACGGCTGGATCGACTACACCGATCCCTGGAAAGCTTGTATCTCGGCATGCCGCAAGCGAAGTTCGCTTGCACGCGGCACCTACCTTATCGTCTACGGCAGCCCACCCCAGCTGATCCATCAACGCCAGGCCATAATCATAATCAAGCAAACACGTCTGACCTCTCTGCTCGTGTAGGTCTTCACGCGAGGTACTGGGACATTGCATTCGACCAGCATCTCATCTCTGCCTACCTCATATGAGCGGTGCTCATCCTCCACTATTTGAAGAGTCTCGCAGAGAGTCCGCCTCGCCATCTTTCCTCCCCGCTGAGCTCCATCTACATCTACATCTACATCTACACCTACACCTACACCTACCTACCTACCTTGCCTTCCTCTCCTTCGCACATCACATCATACACCCGACTTCCCCCTGACTCGTGGAGCCCACCTGCCTGATGCCGATGCCAATGCCGTCCCTTCCACCTCAGCAGCCCACCAGCTCTTACCCTCTGAACAACCACCCACACCTGATCCAGCAGGAACAACCTCATACCGGGCAGGAACAACCACAACAACCCCCCGCCAACATGACCTCCACAATACCTCCCACCCCCACCTCCCCTCCTCATCAACAACAACCTGTCTACGAATCCTTCCTGCAACATATCTCAGACGACATTGTCTGCTACCTATCCAAACTCAAACAACAACAACAACAACAACAACAACAACAACCACCCCATGAGAAATCCAAGGTCCCTCCTGCTCACCCCTCTCCTGCTGGTGTCCGCAAACGCAACGCCGACGGCCGACCTGGTCAATCTGCAAACATCCATCTCAAGCGCCACAAACCAGCTGAATGTCTCCCGTAATGATTCCGCCGCCTCGAATGCTGCCGAAATGATCCAGGCTGTCGGATATCAAATCGGTGCGAGCATGGCGAATCTGGGTTGCACTCTCGAGGTACACCACATCAACCAGAACCCATGTCCATCACTCAGAAACTGACAGACTTGACCTGTGATAGTCCGCCACGCCATCCACGAGCTTCAACAACTCCCACAGCCAAGTAAGCCAACGATCTGTCGAGCAATCCTACATCGACGTAAGCAGCCCCCCCCCCATTTCTTTCCCTCCCAAACTCAACTGACAACATATCACAGTACATCCTCTCCCTCAAATCCCTCACCACAGCCCTCATCTCCCGTGGCAAACTCCCGCACACCGACCCGGACCTCCCCGTCTCCCTCCAGCTCCAATCCCTCTCCAGAGCGGTCTACTATTTCGGGAAATGTCTGCGAAACGGAGATTACATTTCCCAGGACGCGGCGATTGAGACCTGGTACGCGGGAGGCTATCTCATCGATGCGGAGAGCGCTTGGGATTCTGGTGTGGAGAATGGGCAGAGAAAGGCGAAGAGAGATCGCAAGAAGAGTGTGGGTGTGGAGAAGGTGAGGAGGGATGGTATGCCTGAGAAGAGGCGGGAGGGGCTGGATTGTTGTGCGGAGTACTGTATTTTCCAGTGTCGGAAGGCTCAGTGAGGGAGCTTGGGGAACATCATCGAGCTGGGTCAATATTGTGGAAGAGGAGGGAGACTGGCTCGCCTACAGACTCGCACCTCTAGCAATCATGAGAAGAAGAGCAAAATCTCTAGGGTTGCTTCTATGTTGACAGCAGGGGCCCCACCTTAATCATCATCATCATCATCATCATCATCATCATCATCATCATCATCATCATCGACTTCGTTTCGCAGCCGAGAAGCGGCTCCCTAAACGAACATGAATGCATCAGATTCTCTTTCCATGATATATTGAACCTTTGGCGTTGCGCAGCAGTGCTACCGCACACGTCGAAAAGAAGGGAACAGAAACACGATGAAATAGCAATATCAATAAATTCAGCTACAGAGTTGAGTCTCTGCATCTCTCTCTCTCTCTCTCTCTCTCTCTCTCTCTCTCTCTCTCTCTCTCTCTCTCTCTCTCTGCATCTCTCTCTCTCTGCATCTCAGTCCCATCCATCCATCTCTCGCCTATCTAACTAACCCACATTGCCTCTAATTTCCCTCTCCCCTCCGACCCAAAACAGAAGCAAGATGATGAAAAGAGTTGCGCGAAGGGTTGGATATCGTCGCATCGGAATTCAAAAGCAAGATCAGAACAACTCAGCAGCAATCAAAACAATGCAATGCAATGCAATGCATGCATTTCCCCCCCTCTCCCCCCCCCCCTGTAGCACTGTTTCTCTTTCTCTTTCTCTTTCTCACTGGGCAGCCGTCGATTTCGTTCGTTCGATTTCGTTCGTGATGGAAATCCAAAAAAGAAGGACGAAGGAACAAAAAAAACGCAAGCAGGCAGGCATTCCCCGATCCATCCCATCATCATCAATCAGTCAGCCAGCCAAAAAAGGAAAACAGGGGTGGGTAGGTAGGTAGGTACAGATGGATAGCAATATAGCACGCATGCAAACAAAGATCGCCTCGGACGGTCGGATCCAGAGTGTCGGGAGGGAAGGAGGGAGGGAGGGGAGGTTCTTGTTGGGTGGTGGGTCCTTCTCGTATCACTCCCTCCCTCACTCACTCCTCAATCGGCCTTTTCACTTGCTGCCCAAGCAGACTGGCCGACCCATCTATCCATCCATTGGAGGTGTCCGCCGGCCGGCCGCGCTCAAGCGAGCACCCACTCGGTGCCTCGCTTCAGAAACTTATCCATCAACAGTCCCAAATCCGCCAGCACAAACCGACAGACGTAGAAGCCAAAAAACTCGGCTGCGTGCCGAATGCTCAGTTCCAGACCCACGTGCGTGGGCGACGAATGCTTCAGTCCGGGATCTTCGACTTGCCGAGCTATTTGATCTGCGTGCCATGCGTTAGCGAAGGAGAAGGAGAAGATGAAGAAGGAAAATGCAGAGCAACTGTTTTCCTGCTGTGCTATGCTGTTCGATTGCGCCTTTTGGCAGTTGTGTGTTTATTTTCTTGTTGCTGTCTCTTTCGTGCAGAGAGCAGTAGCGAAGCTGCAAGCAGCCAAGCGAGGTGACAAGGGTATGTGTGCACGGGTAGCATCACATAATGAGATGATGTAAGACCGGGTATTGTGTGAGGTGGGACTTACCGAGTACTTGTATCCCGTCAAACAATCGAGCAAGAGATCCCATGTATTCCTGATAAGGCCCTTCAAACGCCGTGTTGCGCGCTTCTTTCTTGCTGCCTCGACGTTCGACGGGCACATAGCTCGTCATTGGGACCGATGGCATGCTGTGCTGTTCCCTTTCCGCCGTCGGTTTGGCCGATGCTGGCTGGGAGCTGCCCGATAGAGGAGCGCCCGAACTCTTGTTACGCAGCTTGCGCCAGGAGGTGAGGTAGCTTTTGCCCGAATTGCTCTTCGCCGACTTGTCTGCAGGCGCGTTCTCAGCACCGCTGCCAGTAGCACTGTTGGCGCCCGATGCCGTTGCATCCTTGAACATGCCGGTTACACCGTGAACGCCAACGTCACTGCCGAGCTTCTTAGCAAGCACAGTCTGGACACGCTCCATCACCTCTTCGAAGCTCTGCAGTTCGTCCATGACCGCGTCGGCATCGTAGGTATCGACACCGGCAAGGCGACCAAGAGCTGCAGTGAGAAGATCGCAGTTCGCAATCTTGTCTTCGAGCAGCTTCAACTTGACCCCTCGCGTCTGCCATACCTTTCGTGGAATGAAGACCTTGGTTGTCAGAAAGCCTCCCCGTGGATGAATGATCGTCTGCGAAAGCGCGCGCATGAGCCAGAATGGACGAAGCAAAAACGGTTCTGGACAGGGTTCCAGGCCCAAAGGCATGGGCGTCAGGTTCGGAGATCGCGGAGATCGCGGAGACACCGGAGTCTGAGCAACTGACAGCGAGGTGTCGAAAAGGTATACTCCACCGCCGGGTTGCTGCCCGTCAACCAATGATGGGCCAAACGCCGGAAAGTTGGCACGCTGAGACGTCAATGGGTTCTGATTGCGTTTCGCGGCCGCGAAGCTCATAAACGTCGAACTCATAGGGGTGGCCATTGGGGGCTCCAGGTCCGGGGATGCCTGTAACAGCGTGTGCCCTGCATGCTCTCGCAGGCTGATTGAGGACTTGTTCTTCCTGAAAAGGGTGGGCCTAGGTGCTGATAGATCCGATGGAACTTCCTCGTAGCTAGGCCTATAATCGATGGTAGGCTCATCGGGAGGTTTGGATATCCCGTCAAAAGCCGAATGAAATTCCAAGGACGGAGGCGACTTGAGGATATTGTCATGGTGCGTGTCCGAAGGTGTAGGCTCTAATCGTTCACCGTACCTGTCCTTCCCGAGTGCGTGTGTCTCCTCCTCATCTTCTGCAAAGGGACTGGTACTGTGGTGGAAGGTGGATGCCCGTTTCCTCGCTTGTGGAGCTTGCGGCGAAGTCTCGATCTTCAGTTGCTTCTGGTTCATGCCAGACAATCGCCGGCTGCGGACACCGGAGAGTCGGTTGGTACCAGCGCCTGGAGGAGGCGGAAGGGCCCCGGTTGGAGGTGCGGAAGGAGGAGGAAGTGCTGCGCTTTCGCCCCGTGCCCGTGTGGCCATCGGTCCAGTAGGTTTCGATGAGCGGCCTCCCGGAGTATCTTCTGCTACCGTGGACAACGACGTCGCATTTGTAGCGCGATCTGAGAGCTGTGAGCTTTGCCATGTGCTCCTAGAATAGCCACTGGAATCTGATTGTCGCGGAAGCGCAGACTTGGACTGAAGCTCAAAATTGAAGCCCGAGCCGTAGTCGTTGGTAAGCTCGTCGAGTATGCGTTCCTCTTCCTCGTCGTCTGGATCCAAACTGAGGGCACTCCTTGACTCGAAGCTCCCCGGCAAAATTTCGTTGATCTCCGATGCTGGCACTTGGACAGAATCATTCTGCGCACGCCTCAGTGCCGTAAGTCGCTTTCTCCGGGCTTCCAGGTCAGGCTCGAGGCCTTCGTCGTAGGCTGCCTCCACTGCAGCATCGAATGCCGCATCAAAGTCCGGATCTGTCCCGCCGCTTGTGCCTCTAATGTGCTTGCGGTGCATGCCTTGTTCGTCAAGGGAATGGACCGAATCGGAGCAAGAAGTTCCTGATTCGTCGATGGTGTCCAACCAAGACGTGGAATCCTTACTGTCTGCTCGATCTCTGACCGGTTCCCTCTCATCATCCTGCGCAGGCTCGGGTTGCTGCTGCCAAGCTTCCTCCGCCTGCGCTTGCATTTGAGGAGATGGAGGTCTCCTGGGCGAAAGAGGCCTGGGCATGTATTCAGTGTGTTCAGGAGGCGATAGATGCACAGATGGCCTTCTGGTGTGTCGCTCCTCTGGAAGCTCATCTTCGGGGCGTGCTAGTGTCGATTCTGTCGTGTCGGTCTGGGTATCGGATTCGAAACTGGTCTCAACGGCTCTCATCGTCCGCTCAAAGAAGCTGTCGCGGTCGTTGCGCGTATACGATAATCGGGGTACATTTTCGCTGCTGCGGACGTACTGTGTCTCCGGCCGCGAAGACTCTACCGCGCCATCGATGGGACTGATGGAACCTGCACGGGGACTCTTCAAGGATACGCTGTCCGCACTCATCGGACGAGCCGGGAGGTTCTTCTCATCGGATGTGGCCGGCATCTCTTGTACGAGCTGGCGGAGCTCACCCATTCGGTTGCTGTATGTCACGCGAATGGCGTCAAGTTTGTGCTTATCGTCTTCTCCGGACGTGCGCTCCATGACCTGCGTCAGCAGATCACACGCATCGTTGTAGGCCTCCAATGCACCTTCATAATTCTGTGCATTATCCAAGAGCACCGCAGTGTTGGCCTTCTGTAGCGCCTTTGATAACATCGTCTTTTTGTCCTTTTCTGTTCGTTCTCGAGTTCGGGGTCTTATACTGCTCTCACCCGCTGTTTTTGCTTTCCGGTCATGGTCATTTCGTGAGGTGGAAGGATGTGCATGTTTCATCGCCTCTTGGCTCTCAGAGCCAACTGCTCTGGAAGCATTGGGTACAGACATTGGCGCGAATTGGTTCCTAGCCATCGTTATGCGCTGCGTCTTCGCCATGCCGTAGGGGTTGTAGACATCGGCGCCCTGAAAGTATTCGTTTGGGACGTAGGAAGAATGGATCGAGGGAGTCGGAATGGTCTGAGTGGTCGAGGGCGATTCGGTGTCATTGGGATCGGTAAGGGCGGGAGTCGTGTGGAGTGGAGGCAAGGCCGTAAGTGAGGGCGCAAGGTTGCCGGCCTTCGAGGAACGACGACTGTGCCGTGTCGGGCTGCCGGTATAAGACTGCGAGTGGTTCCTCACATGTCTCCTCGGTGGGCTCGCTCTTGGCGATCGGTCGAGTGCAGTAAGGGGCTTGTGACGAGGGGAGAAGGACTGGCCGACGATAGAGGACAGCACGGCACCACTGCTGGAGCGGTTCCTGCGCGTGCTGCTGGCGACGCTCGAGCTGGTAGAGTGAGACCAGCGATCGACGGTGTTGTCGTTGCCAACGCGGTGTTCCGAGGGATCGATTGCGACACTCTTCCTGCGCCTGTGCTCGTGTGACATGGAATCGCGGGCCAGACGCAGTGGCATCAGAGTCCCATCGTTACCCGGACTGTGGGATCGAACACGCGAATGGGATCGTCCAATGGTCACAACGCTGCCGGATGAAAGCGAGGTGCTGCGGTGGCTTAGTCGGCGTTGTTGGTGTTGCTGACGCTGAGGCGGCTGTTGGAGCAGGGTGGCACCGTTGGTATCAAACGGGGAGCCAGCAGATGAAACCGCAGCTGTCCCAGCCTGCATTGTTTCGGGAGTGAAGAGGAATGGCCTGGCTTACAGCCCTCACCCGATCTCAGCGTTGCTCTCGACCCTTCGACCCTGATTGCGATCCTCTCCTTTCCGCGCCTCTGACACTGCAGCCCTACGTTGCTGGTCTTGTCCTGCACTGGTACGACTGGCGGAGGGTTCGCAGATTCATGCGTCGTGCCGATCTGACGCTGGAAAGCGAGTCGTGTGCACTTGGAAGCTGCACGGGTGCCCGGATACGCCGCCGCCGACGTCGCCGTCGTGCGCTGTGCCTGATCGTCTCCGCGTGCGACGCTCGGGTGGTTCACAGGAGACAGCGCCGCAGCGGATGCTGTGCAACGCGAGCTGTGTACGACTCAAAAGCTTGTCCCGCCCGCCGCGTGCACTGCTACTCTCGTCTCGAGCTCGTCGTCCGCAGCGCCGCTATGCCTCCATCCAACGCGGACAAGGCCGTGAGGGGTCGGCCTCCGATGGGCGCCGCACCGGCGTGGCCGCGCGATAGCGAGGTTGTCGTCGATTGCTGGTAGGGCGTCGAAGACCAGACGGTATGGCTCTCCCTGCTCGCCTGACGTCTGCAATGGTCGGCAATGCGACAAACCCAATCTCCCCTCTGCCAACCAGCCTGGGGAATGGCGGAGAATGGCGTCAAGAGAGTGCGGAGGTCCAGGGGCAATGCTTGCGCTCCTCGTGCTGCTGCGAGGCCGTGAGAGTGAGAGTGAGCCGTTGCCGGTGCGCGCCGCGAGAGTGGTGGTGGTGGTTGGGGGCGGGGTTTGTCGCGGTCGCGAGGACGATGTGTTCGAGCGAACTGGTGCAGAGGTGTGAGGACTTGATTGAAGAGTGCACAGTGTGTGTAAGGTAGCGGTGGTAGTGGGAGCGACAGGGTTGAAGGTCCATGACCAGCGCTCCAGTACAGGCCAAGCCCCTGTTCTGCCCGCCCGCTAGCGCCCCGACATGATGCACAGAGCCGTTTGTTCACGAGCGCGTCGACAGTGGGTGAGTGGACAGGAGAAAGGTACGTACCAAGATTATAGATAGATGCAGTACATGCCCCGACCAGACATTCGGTCCAATGTCGGTCGACGCAATGCTTCCGGCCGCGAGTCTGAGCATGGCACATGTCCTCTTCCGAAGCGCTTCTCTCTCCCGAACGAGGGACATCTTGCTCGGTACGGGACTTCAGCGCGCACTCCCGGCCACCTCCCAGCAGCTGCAAGATCCTACGCCGCTTTCTGCAAGGTACTGTTGCTAGACACGCAACCGCCTGCGAGCCCCTGGAAACGGCATTCTCTAGTACCGCTGCGGTCCAAAGGCGTGCTGAGGCCGCTTGTCTTGCGGCCTTAACGGCATGAATCGGCGTCCACGGATGTGAGAGAACCCATGCAGTTGAGACGCACCCACTCGCCAGTCTGAAGCAGGAGAATCGCCCAGGCCACCAATGGGAATGGAAACGTCTCGCAAGAATGGACCAATGCACGGCGCAGCGCAACTAGAAATGTTGCAGCGATGGACCAGGAACGGGAAGTTTGGAGACGAATGCTGCATCTATCTGGAGCTGCAGAGGCGAAAGAGAATGCTTTAGGTTGTCCATGATCGCGATGCAGTAAGAGGACCCGCCGGTCACGAGAAGGTGCATGTGGAGTGACGCGGTCTCATACCACATGGAACGAGAGCAACGAGAGGAGCGTGTTCGGCGACACTCTCACGATAGCCCGTCCTTCACGAAGATGCACCCTTTTGATGAGCGAGAGATTGGGGCTCAATATGGACTGCTATCCATCCCACATGCCGGCTCTGCAATATCTACGACCTTTTCAACTTCAATGGCGCAATTGAGTATCCGGTCCACTGTTCGACACTCCTCGTCGCCTTCTAAGCTCCAGCCTGCTAGCGATAGCTAATGTTCTCACTGCCATACATCTTCCCTCGAAACTCATGGCCGTTGGCTGCTGCAGTCCCTCTGCAGTTGTTCAGGAAGCGCTGATTGATCGAACGAGGCTGTCAAGCCCGGGTACTTCTGATTGATTGCCTTGTCTAAGTCGGAACAAGGGGACGTCGAACATTCCTAGGCAACGCGGAGCTTGTAGATTTCTCTGTCGACGACATCATAGGGTCCGTTCTTCTCTTCAGCCAGCTCTCGCACATCATCCACGGAATCGCCAAACGTCTCCGCGATCTTGGAACCCTATCTATCGCTCAAACGCCTCGCGTGCGTCTTCCTCCGCGAATAGATCAAATCTTGAATCTGCCATGCAAAGAAATAAAAACCGACCAACTTTTGGTGCGCGTTAATTGAATCCAGGTCCAGACGAAGGGGTGCGGATGGTGCTCTTTCACTTCCCTCGCGATGTACTTCTCAACCCGCTTCCCGAAAGTGCAGGAGGTCGCGAAGACCGGTCATACTTTCGGACTGACTGTCCGCACAATGAAGAGGGACATGTCGTACTGATGCCTCGCGGCATGGATAAACGGAGCAGAAAGTCAAAAGCAACTTGGCATGGAGTTGTTGATGCTAACCTAATTTGTGGTGTTATGAGGCGAGCTCTCCGCCGAATGACGGCAAGAGTGCCTGGCTCGTGGGATGGTCCCCAGATCCATCCAGCAGGTGCAGTCATCCAAGAAGTTCCTTCCCCTTCCAATACTCCGAGAATGGATCGTATCATAGGAAACAAATACCCATCCTCTCTAAGGTACCTGCATAGTTACCCAATCCATTTCCCACGTGCAACACAAACCAGGCAGCTCAAGCAGCAGCCGTAACCCGTCAGCTCCAAGACTCCGATCTAATGCAACTTTTTCCTCGAGACCAACTCCTCTCAAAGCGTCTCCCACCCTCCAGGATTGATGTCACCCTCCAGCTTCCTCGAAATCACGCTAGGCACCATATGTCCCAACCAAACATCCCTCAGCAACTTGTCATACCGCTTCTGATTCAAATAGAGCTGATGGTGTCTCCTGAGCGTCGGATCAGGCTCTCCGTGACGGTCCAGGTAAGGCGCTTGTGTGAAGCTTCCACTCCCGGGTCCATGCAAGAACAAGACCATGCACTTGCGAATGTTGATGAAGACGCCGACTTTGAGCCCATGCCGTTCCATGTGCTGATAGCAGCCGCCTTGGCTCTTATCTTTCATGCAGCAGACGGCTTGAGAGCAGAAGATTTCGCCGCAAAGGAGGCAAACGGCTGGGTCGGAGATTTCTTTGCCAGTGGTAGGGCAGCGGCGTTTAATGGCTTCTTCGGTGAGGGTGTCGTAATTCTTGGGCAGGCCTACCAATTCGAAGATGGCCGGGTGTGGAATCATGATCGGCTTGACTTGGTGCGAGGAAAGGTCGAACAAGACTGCTTGCCTCTGCGTGACGGTGTTGGCCTGGGATAGCCACCGTGAGGTGATTTTGCGCAGGTTATCGCCAGATGTCGATTGCGACACGAAGATGGCGCACATATCTTCCATCGATGGTAGATGCAGGAAAGCGGTAAGTCTCTGCAACTCAGGTGCTTCTGCATCAATATTGTAGGGACACTCGAAATCCAGTCCGTAGCGGACGAGCATGAGGACGGCCGACTTTCTCAAGAATGCGAGTGCATACTTGTCGATCAGTAGACGGAGCCAAGAGGCTTGCGCCGGGTCGATCTGCGCTTGGCTGAAGGAGCCTTGTACGGAGTCCAGGTTCATGGCGTTGACAGCGGTTCTCAAGGGTTCAGGATTGACACCAGGTGCGCTTTCGTTGCCCAGAGCTTGATCCTTGACTATTGGCAGATAGACGAAGACTGTCTTGACGATTTCTGCCCAATAGCACAGTTGCATTATCGAGGACGCCTCAGCCACATTCGGTGCCCTGAATGAGAGCCAATCTGCAAAGAACAGGAAAGTATCAACTTGAAATAGGACCTGAACGTGGGCTTGCAGTCGATCCATCGCGTCTTGAGACTCCGCACCAAAGAGCTGTGCAGTCATCACGTCTCGCTTCTTGATGGTGTCCCGGGCCACAACATTCGACCCAGATTTTAAGATGTTCAGCGCCAGGTATGATTCGATTGTCTCCGAGATGATACGCAAATGCGTAAGAACCTGCTCAGGCATGGCTGCAAGTAAGGACGTTGCAAATGGATCGTTGCCGACGCCGCGATGAGAGATTTCAAATGCCGCAACAGAGAGACCCAAGGCGCGTGACATCGCCACCACTGGGTTCGTGGACCCATCCCACTTCTCCGGCTCACAAAGCTGATTCGTCCGGACAGAGTCTTCGATGCGACGGTAAGCACTGAGTAGGTCACTCAGTCTGTTCTGCTCAGAGATGGGTGACGATGAGTCATTACCGGCGACGGATGGGGTTTGAGTGCTGCCGTAGTTCAGCCCGAATAACCGTGAAAGAGTCGCACTACGTCTCAGTGGGTATCGTTGCTGTTGAGGGCTTGTTGGAGAGTTGCTGTTTTCTAACGACAGCTCGTTCATACTGTTCACGAGCGAAGGCGCGAACATATTGGCGACATACTGGAATGACCGACTCGAGTACGCATCTTGAACCTGCTGCTGCCGATGCATCGCAGCTGGTGCGCTTTCCAAGAAGGCCAGGTTGGCCGTGTACTTCTTGTCCACCTCGGACAACCAGTCCGGGAAGCTTTTCGCTGCATGAAGCTCATGCTCTTGCGCACATTCCTTGGCTTTCCAGATGATCGGTAGGAAGGTGTTTCCTAGGGCTTTGCACAGAGGGCAGACGAACTCCTTGAAGTCAACGCGCTCGGGATGATTTCTTGCAATCTGCTGATGGTGCCTCCGAGCTGTGGCAGTAAGGTAGAGCTCGAAGCAGCTGTAGTGCATGATATGACCACAACTCGTGGCTACAGGGCCTTTCACCATTTCGCTCTCGTGCGGGAAGCCCTTGGAGAGTCCCTGTCGCTCAACGCTCACGGTTTGACCCTCGGGCCCAACTTTCTGAACTTGGCGCTTGTTGTCGCCGGCGACGCCAAACGGCCGCAGGTGATCTGCTGACCGGTCAAGACTTTCGGGCGTGTTGACAACTTCCCTGATGAAGTTGTTATCGTCAACGGGCGTAGAGCGAAGAACGTGACTCTCCCCAAAGAATGCGAACGTGCCATACAAGCGTTGATCATCCGTCTCTTCTTGACAAAGAATGCAGGTGCCCGTCGGGAAGCTCCACGTTTTACGATGTTCCACATTCTCGGCTTCTTGTGCGGTAGACATATCATCCTCGAGGTCATCAGAGTCGTCATCGAAACCGGACAGGCCTTGGTTCTGCAGAAAGCTGTTCTGCTGCTGCTTCATCTGAGCCATTACCTTGGCCTGGCGAGCCAGAGCCTCTTGTTTTTTGCGCTCCTTGTCTTCTGCCGAGAGTGATGCTGGAGATCCTGTTTCCGCTCGGTCCAGTATCGCAGCTAGAGGTCCCATAGCAGTCGTCAACTTCTCCGGCTGTCGGAGCTGCATCTTGCGCAAGATGTTCTTGATGGCAGGATGGCATGATGCGTACTCATCCATGCTCGATAGCGCAACAAGTAAGTCTACGATAGTGGCTTGTACGTGTGGCGTGTCCGCGAAAGCGCATGATCTTGAGGAGGCCAGCCTGACAAAGCCTTCACCAGCACCTGCAATATGCCCGTCCTCCAGGACAGCAATGAGGACGAGATGCAAGACGATGTGCAAGAAGGTCTCAACTCTTGTGACCTGAATCTTCGGCGCCACGTGCTTGACGTTGTACGCATAGTTCAAGGCAGCTCCAACAACCTGGACGAACAACGGCGTCGAAGTGAACACCGCCAGGGCTGAAAATAGTCCCGTGTCGATCCTCCTCAGGCGAGGCTCATAAACAATCTCCTCTGCGGTCTTTCCCGTCTTCCGCGCCATATGTTTCTTGTAGATGTTCTCAGCCTCCTCGCTGTAGTTGCGCGAAAAGTGTGCGTAGAAGGGATCAACTAGTTCGATGTATTCCTGCTTAAGCTCGAATGTACCGGTATCTGAGAGGCCCTCAGGCGGTCTAAACGTAGTCATGGTTTCCAGCACGCGTTGAAAGTCGTCAGAATCGCCCACTTTGTCAGTCACTCTGTTCGTCAGCTCACTGAACGACAACGGCTTGAAGCACAGAGCATGCGCAATGTCCTGCTTGAGTACGTTGTCGTGCTGCTCGCTCTCATCCAGAGATGAACAAAGATTGCCACGCTCCGAAAGCACGATCACCAACAAATGGAAGAAGTCTTCGAAGACATCAAGCTGCTGAGATTCCTCGAAGCCTTCGACACGCTCGTAGCTGCCTTTCACCCAATCACCCATCTGGAAACGGTCGAGCATCTGAGCAAGAAATCGCTCGCCCGGCTGCTCCTCCTCGCTACCACAAAGCACGAGTCCGGCTTGGATCATCAGAATATCGCGCGAGTACCCAACGTCCCTGTGCGATACACTGCGATAGGTGTGCATTTGGTGACGGAGGGTGATTCCGTTTCGAACCCACATCCCTGCCTTTTGCTGGGCTAGCCAGACGCAGACCCGAAGCGGATGGTCGAAAATGGCGCCCAGGAGCTCATCTGATGTCAGGTTGGAGGGCGCAGGCGCTGTTCTCGTTGCGTTCCAGGGATCCTTCAAGTCCGCCGGCGAAAAATGCAATAGTGCACGCATCTCTTCTCTGCCCATGCCTTTCGCATTCTCAATGAGCCACGAAAGAAGGTAATGCAGGGGATGATGGAAGCTCATAGGCTCCTTTTGCACCACATGTCTGGGTACGCTGTACTTCTTCTCGTCCTGCTCAAATGGACCGATCAAGTGCCAAGCGAGGTCGTCTTTGAGTTCGGCACTGCTGAAGCGTTTGCGCTCGTAGCCGAAGGCGTTGATCATCGTCACCTGCGCGACTGTTCGTACTGCGCGCTGCAAGTTGACGTTATGGTCATCGAACTTCGGGGTAGGCTCAAATGAGACTGCTACTTGTTTGCACAGCTTGTTTATCTCCTTGACAATCATGCTGGCGCTGATCCAGGTATCAGATTCATACTCAACGTGCTCACCCGTAGCTCGGACATTTGGGCAGACACCCTGATGCAGTTTCACCAGATCGAGGAATTGGAGGAGGTAGCGTTGCTCAAAGCGCATCTTCTCATGTATCAGTTCCGATTGGAAGAGCCAGCGCAAGTCAAGGAAGAAATGGAACATCCTGCGATTCGTGACAGCTCCAGCGTCGAAGGCCAAGGTAGCCCTCATGTTGACGTCCTCTGGAAAGCCCACCTGGCGCGTGGTGATGAAGGTATAGAGAATCGCCATCAGATTTGTCAAGAAGTTGCCGCGTTCCACAACTTCCTGTGTGATTGTGGGAGTCGTGAGCATCTGCACACTTAAATTGATGATTGAGTGATCAGGCTCGCGATCCGCAATCAGGTAGAGCTGCGCAAGTGCGGTATACAGTCCAGCAAATCTGAGTCCGAATATGCGCTTGAAGCGCGGTATAGTTACGACGGTCGTGATGTACAAATGTCGCAAGTGAATCCGGAGCGTTTTCCAAAGTCGTAAATCGTATAGTATGAGAAAGTCAAGGCGCAGGCGTTGCCACAGATCCTCGCATGGCTCACTCGGTCTTGGCGCTCTGAAGCCTTCAGGCTTCTGAAGCCAATGTCTGCTCGGATGTTGTCGTCTGCCTGTTCTCACCCGAGGCGTTCGTGGTACGTTGCCGTATGGCTCGTTCACATTCGGTCGAGGCTCAGCATCTCCGTCCTCACTGTCCTGTGGGGTCAAGATTCGCCGTCTCTGAGGCGGTGGCGGGGGTTGGGCTGGATAGCCGGCGATGGCTGCTTCGAGAATGTCCTCGGCTTCGTCCATAATGTCGATATCCATGTCTGCTGCATCCGCAGTGTTCAAGGCAGCATTCGAGGCCACCCCTCTTAGATCATTCATGTCGATCTCCATGCCCTCATCATCTTCCATGTCCATGTCGTCGTAAATATCATCTTCCTCATCCTCGTCGTTCTCATCATCCTCGTCGTCGTCATTGGTATCCTCAACCTCAACTTCCAGGCGGATGACGTTGGCGGCATTGGCCCCCCTGAACTGTCGTATAAAGTCACGTTCTCGCTCTCGAAACTTGTCGTTGTCTTCGGTCTCATGGTCGTCAATACCGGCTTGGCCGATGTCTTTATTTGTTGCTTGAGAGCCAGTCCGCCAGGGATTTAGCAGCTCTTCACAGACAACGTTCCGCAGCAGGTAGGGCTCGTCTCCCACAGCGCAGCCACTGATATCTGAGATCCAGTCAATGATTGTCGCACACATCTGTTCTCGAAAGGTATCTCGGGCTGATCTGATGGTGACTGTAACTTTCAGCTGCTCGATGACCTCGGCCATCTTCAACAGCTCATCCAAGTCCCTGCCATACTGAACCACGCTACGTCCGATATCGTTCACTTCCATGGCTTTTCGGAACCCGAATGTCTTCGTCTGAGAACACGCGCGCGCAACCTGGTTCTGAACATCGTCGACGGTGTGCTTTTCGTCATTCCAGAGGACCAGTGCGAATTCCGGATGCTCCTCGAAAGGCTCCTCTCCATAATACGAAGACAGCCGCGAGTTTCTCTCATCTTGCAAGATCGAAGTTTGGGACTTTGGCAACCTCAGTTGCTCTGGAGAGCAAGAGAAGACGTCGCAGAGATAGTCCACAGATCTTGCGATCGTCATTCGAATAGACTCAACCAGGTCCTCAGGCAGTTGCGAGCTTAAGGGTTTTCCCTGCGCTTTCTGCTTCTCTTTGCCATTCGAGGACGGTGTAGAATCGACATCGGCAGTATGTATGGAGCATCGTACTTCTCTTCGCCATGCTTCTCGGTCACCGCAATCACAACATCCACTGTTCCCTGGCGAGACAGAGATCAGAACCATGTGGCCATCGTGGTCACTGCTTTCGAAGCACTTCGCACACAGCACACAGGTATCGTCTGCTGCGCAAGTCTTGCAGTGATATGTACTCTCGCCGTTTTTGAATATGTGCCCACATGCTGTTCCCTTTGCCGCCGGGGTATATTCCGCGCCTTCTATTGCGCCCTGTGCATCTTTCAGTGACCACGGCTGAGATCGATCGACTGGAGGTCCGTTTGGAAATAGGAGTTGAAGGTAGTCGTCGCGTTGTTTCGCTAGAGATCTAAACAGAATCTCTCGGAGGTGGCAGTCAGATGCGTGTGTGAAGCGGTACTCGAAGCGCTCAGGTTGCGTGAGTAAGTGATGATTGAGCAGCTGTTCTTCTGCTGATCTTGACTGCATCTCGGTAGTCTCGCAGGCTCAAGATGGTGATGCAGATGTCCGGCGCGATATGAGCGGAGGTGTAAGCAAGGCTGTCAAAGCCGATGCAGAGCATTCCAGCAAAGATTCGCGACTTCAACGCCAGGCCAGGAGGTCCGTTGCTAGCTCCTTTTGTTGTCGCAGGCGAAGAAAAGATCAAAGGCGGCGGCGATGGTGACCGAAGTGTTGTTGGAAGGCTGAGCAGCTCTCAAGAAAGAGCTTCAGAACAATTGCATGCATGTTGCTTCCCTCTACCAATGACGTAACGGCATATATTTGTGAACGCTCCAAATCATTCACCCAAGGCTTAGAACATTAAATGCGGATATCTCTTGCAAAATGAACGCGTTGGGAAGTTCTCTAGAACGATGGCACGTGATAGTCTGAACATATAGGATGCTTCTAGCCCTGGCTGCTCAAGCTTCCCTGGGCTATATTTACAAGCCGTGCGATACCACCAGGATACACGCTTTTCTCCCGTTTCCTGAGCCTAACGTATGCCGTTGGCCAGCATAGCTCTATCCGAACTTCTCCTACACGTCTTGGACGCCTTGATGCTTCCGAACTCCTCCATCATTCGTCGTCGTCGTCCCCATCCTCGTCATCACCAGCTTGCATATATCGGTACTTGATGTCCTGCCATTGTCGCTGTAGTAAAGTCAGCGTATTGTGTGCGAGGAATGGATGGTCATTCGTCTACGTACGCCCTGGTTTATCCGGTTCCAGATCGAGTTTGCGGCTGTGTCGAAGGCACTGAGACCTGTCAGTATATTTGTTTGGCTCCACATGCTCTTTCTCTTGCGTACATCTCAGTAACAAAGGCACCGGCGAAGATGGTGCCCAGGAATACGAAGTTTCGCTTCACGATGGTGCTGCAGGCTCTTGCGTTAGCCATTGGTGTTCTTCCGTGGACGGCACCAGATTCGATCGTACTTGTAGAGACCACCGAGGATGCCCGACATCTTGACTTTGCTTCGATGTGTTCCGGAGGATCGCGCGCGTGCACAGGAGCCGGCTTGGAGACTTGTGGTAGCTGTGAGGTGGTCGTCGAAGTTGCACGAGGCCGTGGAAAGGATAGTCTCGGGAATGCTGCCGTGCACGGACCCGCTCGGCTGATCAAACCGCGTCCAGCACTTTGTCGTCGTCAACTCACGAACGACATTTTCATGCGCCTGGAGACCACAACGTTGTCGCCGCTGCCGTCGCCGCTATCATCAGGATAGTGTCGTGTCGGCAGAGCTGTACTGACTTCTTGCAAAGCTATAACAATCGGCAAAATCCGTAAAAATGGCGCCCACTGCCTCGCCAGAATCGAGCACCTCTCGGTCAGGCATTCGCAAACTCAGCAACGGAGAGTCAATAATCCCAGCCTCTACTCGCGCAGATGGCTCCGTTCGAAAGGAGATTCGGGTGAAGCCGGGCTACAAGCCGCCAGAGGACGTCGAGGTATACAAGAACAGGACTGCGGCGGCCTGGAAGAATAGAGGCAAAGAAGGTGTACCTGGCGCTGCTGCTGCCGAGGACGATGGGAAGCTGCCACCTCATAAGACTGCAACAGCCGCAGCAAAGAATGCGAAGCGCAGAGAGGCGAGAAAGAAGGCCGCCGCTGCTGGTACTGATGGCAACGATCCAGTAGATGCAGCCAAGTCCAACACAGACGCTACAAAGGCTGTGGACGGAGCTGCTGATGCAAAGCCAGAGGAGATCGATTCAGAAGCGGAGAAGGCGAAGGAAGCGCGCAAGTTGGCAAAGAAGCTGCGACAGGCCCGCGAACTCAAGGATAAGAAAGAGAAAGGGGACAATCTTCTACCAGAGCAATTTGCCAAAGTCATCAAAATCCAGGAGCTAATGCGCCAGCTGGACAGTCTTGGGTTTGATACGGACGGCGAGAAGAAGAGTGTGGCTGCTGCGAAAGGTGAAGAGACGGATGACAAAAGTTTAACAAACGAAGAGGGAGGAACCGCAAATGAGTCTGCTGGGTGAGATGTTGGGATGAGAACAGAGCACAGAACAAAGTGCCCTCGAATTGCCAGCTCGAAACCTACGTGACATCAACCACCATCATCACCGCCCGGGCTCTCGAAGTCTCGTAGAGACCATACTTATTTTCCATGCGAAAATGGACCTGCTCGATCTGGACTTCCACTGAAATCGGAGCTTTGGTCGGCTGCGGTCTCACCACAGGTGCCTTCGCTTGTCTTCTGCTCCAGAACGATCTCGCAGCGGGCGGTGATACAGGTCTCTCAGGTAGTGGCTGTTCGGCCAGTTGCGGTTCATCGCCCACGAGCTCTGCAAGCATCTGATCGCGCAGTTCCATGATCGGTTCTTGTTGCGTCCAGAAGTCGCTCCCATCATGACGTCCTTCGAGGTGGAAGAGCACAGGCTGATCGTTCTCTGAGATTCCTACTAGTTGGCCTCTCTTACTGGTCTCCACTGGTACCAGGCCGGTCAGCCTACTGTGGACAGTTGCGATGAACTTGTTTTACGTTACCTTGGTCAGAAGGCATCAACAGGAACGTCATTTTCGACAAGCCGCTTTTCGCCCGCCATCTCACTTGTGGTACCAAATTCACAACGAGAGCTGCGACGTGCTGTGACCTTGAAGCGCCGACTTCATTTCGAATGTTGATCCTCTGGGGTGTCTTCGAGTCGCCACTCCAGTCTGGTTTGCTTTCCGTTCCGCGTTGAACTTCCTCGTATGCGGGTGGTAAATCCGCCATTCTGGCTGCTGAGCCCGCCAGCAAGGCTGGAGTTTAGCTGTAAATCCACTGACAGGTATGAAGTCGCCGCGGCCGTGTGATCGTTGCCAAGAATCGGCTGTGTCGACAGTGAAGTGATAATGTGATCCTGCGGAAAACGGTCGCGAGGAACCTTATCAAGATCACGGGATGCGGATTGTAAAACCCAAGACCTCTGAGGCTCTTTCAAGAGGGTTGCTAGTGAGCAATTGGATCTCGAAGGTTGTGGACCGAAGCCGTCGATTTCTGAGGCTTAGGTAGGTATTTCAGGAATGGCGACCTCAAAACTGCGGCTCGAACGGCAAGCAGCGTCTGCGGGATCTGATTGGCTAGCTTACGTCGGTAGTAGGAATACGCCTTGCTGAGAGGATTCGAATGTTTGTCGGTTTGCAAATGCAAAAGCCTACCAGGAATTACCCTTCTCCTTCAACGCCGTACAAGGAAAGCTCAGCCTTGTTCGGGCCGCCTGGGTCCCTCCCGTATCCGCTTGTAGGCACTGTATGCGAATGGAAGTCAGCGAAGTTATGACTAGCTTCACTTCCTTCGACGAAAAGCGCTCATTATACTAAACACTGCCTCTGCCGCCGTTCCGACTGCCCGCGGAACCATACCCGCATCGTGACGCGTGACTTCTGGCTGCTCACTTCACCGGTCTCAGATTGGATGACAGCAGGATCATGAGCGGCTTTGCTTCCTTAGCAATTGCCGTGATCCGATGCAATTGTTCTCAATTGTAAGTCGCACACGAGGAGCACGCCTGCCGCACGTTGCGCTCAGCCGCGGGCACCTGCTCACACGAATTTAAACTATAAGAGGATGTGTTGGGCTTCACAGTCCATTTGCCCCATTCCTCATCACCAGCTCATCACTCCGGACGAGGCCACTGATTTCTTGGCACCCATCACTCCATTATGTCAACGGCAGCTTTCCCCTTGGCCACATCCACCTTACCAACAGTCTCTACACAGCCATCGAGATGTTGTGGTATCATGTCTCGGACCCCAACTCGTACCTCGTCGTCACTGGCGCGGGTATTGAGAAGGTAAAGGTGACGAAGAAGGCCTTGGTACGTTCCCCGTCTCCAATATGCTACAAGCAACCTTTCTGATCGACCTCCGCCAATAGGTCAAACCGTTCCAGAAGGTCACCAAGATCTCCATCACTCCCTTCGATTTCAGCATGTCTCTGCAAGCCATGACGAGCGAAAAGCTTCAATTCGCTCTGCCGGCGGTTTTCACCATTGGCCCAGAAGATAGCGTTCCCTCACTGACCAAATATGCGGTACGTTGACGCTGGCGCCTTGTTTTCTGCCGCGCAAAACTGATGAATGGAAGGTGCTTCTTACCGGTGACTCGGACGGTCAGACCGGGACAGCGAAAGGTGGCACGGTTGCTACCGGCCGCAATCATGTGCAAGATATTGTGAAGGGCATTATCGAAGGAGAGACGAGATCGATCGTGTCGAACATGACCATGGAGGTACGTTGAACAGCGCGGGAAATGTCTTACTCGGTTGGATTGTATGTTGACCTATGGAAGGAACTCTTCAACAATCGTCGGCTGTTCAAGGCGCAAGTCATTGAATGCGTGCAAAAGGAACTCGACCAGTTCGGTCTCAAGATCTACAACGCCAACGTCAAGGAACTGCAGGACCATGGAGACTCCAAGTACTTCGAATCTCTCGCTCGCAAAGCGCACGAGGGAGCCCAGTCTCAGGCTCAAGTCGACGTTGCCAATGCTCGCATGATAGGGAAGGTGGGTGAAGCTGAAAAGGAAGGCGAGGCCAAACAGAAGATCGCCAAGATCTTAGCCAACACCGCGGTGCTGGAGACCGAACGAAAGGTGGAAAAGGCCAATGCCGACCAGAAACTGCGCACACGAGAAATCGCCATCCAGCGGGAGCTGAATCTCGAGCACATCGCCGCTCAGCGCGCGGGCGAAGCAAAGGACGCTGAGCTCCAGAAAGCCGTTGAGGAGAAGCGCGCTGAGATGGAGCTGGAACGTCTTCGTGCTACGACCGTTACCCAGGCCAAGATCGCAAAGGAGTCTGCGCAGGAGAGGGCCGATGCAGATTTGTATACCAAGGTCAAGCAAGCGGATGCGCAGAAGTACAATCAGCAGGCCGAGGCCGAGGCGGTGTATTTCCGCAACACGCAGGACACGGACGCGGCCAATTACAAGCGCATGAAAGACGCGGAAGCGATGCTGAATGCGAGGACCAAGGAGGCAGACGCCATGTACCTGATGAAGGAACGCGAAGCCCAGGCGACATACGTGCAGCGCGAGAAGGAAGCCGAAGCAGCCTACGTCGCCCGCAAGCGCGAGGCAGACGGTCTGAGCGAGATGGCCAAGGCTTACGGTCAACTGTCAGATGTCATGGGCGGGCCACAAGGCTTGATGCAATTCCTCATGCTGCAGAATGGGACGTACGAACGCCTGGCGGCGGAGAATGCCAAAGCTATCCATGGTCTGCAGCCGAAGATCAACGTCTGGACCACCGGCAACGAAGCTGCGGATGCGTCGATGGCTCCGATACAGAACCTCTTCAAGAGTTTGCCCCCGCTGTTCTCGACCATCCAGGACCAGACGGGCATGACGCCGCCGAGCTGGATGGCCAATATGCCCGCGCAGAATGGCGATGGTGGCAAGACGCAGGTCTTGAAGGTCGATCGAAGGAAGGAGAACTTGACGAATGGGATGAAGGGAGCCTGAGTGGGCCTGATGTCGCCGAGGAGATGGAAGATTTCTCTTTTGTCTTTTCCTGTGATAGATACCCTTTCTTCAGTTGGCGTTGGCGGACCTGAACCCGGTAGTAGTATTCGAACCTCAGCGTAGTTGTATCTATTAAATAGAAGGACTCTCCTGGCCTCCGCTTCTCAGACTATTCTGGATTCGGGCATGGTGAGGAAGAGACTCAGCTTCAAAGCACGCACAAATATCATTAGACCCATTCAACCTGATCCATGGAGAGCTCGTATATACAGTGTCTCGAGTTGCAATTTGCTCAGGAAACTCTAGCTAGCAATGGCGCAGGCGCCCAGATCTCTCTTCTCAATCTTTGCTTGGGGCGAGATGTCGAAGTCGAAGATATCAATCGGCACGCCGAGCGTGGTACACGCGTTGGGTATATCGACAATACCCGCGATATGTCCCTGCACAGGCGCGCACGAGAGGAGCAGGTAGACCTGGTAATCGGAGTAACCTGTGACAGACTAGTCAGCTCGTGCCCGCCCTCATTGCAACGAACAACGAAACGCGGCAGCAAACCAAACAAAACACTCACCGAATCTCCTCAGATACTCAATCACTCTCAGACAAGTCTGTCGATACGCAACCGTAGCGTCCATGTAATGTTGCTTTCCCTTCTCATCTACACTGAAACCCTCGAAGTAAATGTACCGTCCCGGTCCAAACTGTGGCTCCACGGGGCCGGGGATATAGATTGGACTCTTGAGGCCCAAATCTTTCATTCCATTCTTGATGACTTTGAAATTGATGGTGATGACGCCCGCCATTTCAATGGCGCCGCAGAAGGAGATTTCGCCGTCTCCCTGGGAGAAATGGAGGTCTCCGACGGAGAATTTCGCTCCCGGGACGTGGACGGGGAGGTAGACTTTGCTGCCGCGGGAGAGGTTCTTGATGTCGCAGTTTCCGCCGTGTTCCGGGCGGCCGGGGATGGTGCGGGCTCCTTCTCTTCCCACTTTCTCCTTGACGGCAGCATCTCCTGTTCCGACGTGGACATTCATCGGCTCGGGAGGTTTGGCGACATCGCGGTCCATGTGGCTACACGCCGTGATCAACTCTCCTTCGCGGTCATTCCAAGTCTTCAGTACTTCCGCCGAGGGAGCACAGCCCAGAATACCGGGATGGATCAACCCAGCGAATCGCACGCCGGGGATATGTCTACTCGAGCAGTGAATGCCCTCGAAATCCCAAATTGCCTTTGCTGGCTCCGGGTAGATTTCGTCCAAGAAACCCCCTCCATTCTTCTTTGCAAAGACACCTGTGAAGCCCCAGGGCTGGTTTTCGAGCGGCTGCACGTCTTGGATCTCGACGAGAAGGATATCCCCTGGTTCGGCGGTTTCGATTTCGAAGGGACCGGTGAGGTAGTGGATCTTGGTGAGGTCGACGTCACGCATGTCGTTTGCGGAGTCATTGTTGCCAATTTGGCCGCCGGTCCAGTCCACGCATTCGATCTTGACGGTCTCGTTGTTCTTGATCTTGCCGTAGACGGGGACTTTGGGTAGTCATTAGTCTGGGTTGATTCGCGCAGAGAGATAGTGGGGTTGGAGAAGCTTACTGTCAGGATGCCATCGGTTCTAGACAGGTCGTATCAGCCATCCGAATGTTCCTCGGAGACCATTGGGGTCCTGGCCCATCAAGGTCATTGTTGCTTGTTTACCACTCACATGTAGATAAGGCAGGGTGCCTGCTTCCTTTTCGAGGTCGACCTTGGCCGCGTATCTCAGCCCTTCTTTGCCCATTTCGGAGTGATGTGTCTTGTAGCTTGCAAGATGTTCGGGACGGCGCGCTGGGGGCAGGAAGACGAGGAGAAAGACAGGTGGATGTCGAGGAGAAGCGGTTCTTGGTCCGACCTACCTCGTAGCTTAAGTTATTGCTCTGGGGCCCTACGGCCTCAGGCGGGGTCGTTACGTCGTTGCGTTGACGAGTATTGTTGGAGGGCGGATGCTTATCGGATAGGCACACGCACACGCACACGCACGAGAGGAAGGACGCGACAAGCTCCTGGGCCATGGCAGCCATTCAGCCATTCAGCCATTCAGCCATTATTGAGTAACAGCTTGGGCGAAAGGCTGATAAGGACGGAGGTGCAGTAGTAGTGCAGTGCAGTGCAGGCGAAGACACAGGCAGACCGGGTCGCGTCGCCCGTCACGCCGCGTCTGCGGGGCTGCATAGCTTCACGGCGGCCCGGGGAGCTCGTGGCCGGGATGCAGACTACTACTGCCGATTCTTTTCCGGCACATCCATCGAATGGAAGAATCCTGTTGCTGTACTTGACCACTGTATCTAATGTTTCTCATCTCCCTGCAGCGCCATGTCAAGAGAACTGCCTTCGCTTCAGCTCCCCTGAGTCGAAGGGATTCGCTTTCTCCTTGGACGTCGAGACGTTGAACTTGTCCAGCGCATCCACGGGCAATTGCAGGAACTCGTGCTTGTTCTCCCACCGCACATCTTTCTTCTTGAACTCCTCGGCCTCGGCTGGCGGAGGCGGTGGCTGGGTGATCTTGGTGATGAGGTAAGCTGTCGAGGCCTCCGCGACACCGTAAATCAAGACACCAGCGAGCGGCACCTTGAGGAAGACGAAGAAGGCGACGGCGAAGCCGTAGAGTACGCCCTCGCGATCGCGGAACCACATCCTCTTCTGCTCTGGACTGTAGCGAATGCGAGCGAAGTATGGATCGAGCTGCAGTACTGGTTAGTGGCCTTCCACGCTCGAGCACAGCGAGTTCGCTCACCAATTCTCGCATCAAGCTTCTGCTCGAGAAGTAGCTCTGGAGAAACATGACAAGGTACCTCTTGGGTACGAAGAGCGAGCTGCCAAATACTAGCACAGCTGGTGGAAGTCCAACAGCCTTATTGAACGTATAAAAGCTGGCTGCAGGCAGAACGAGCTGGCCCACGTATGGCAGGAAGGAGAGCAGGTATACACCCAATGAAAGGGCCGCCTTCTTTCCAAAGCGCTTCAGAAATGCGATCATAGCCTTGTATGGATCCTTCTTTTGTGTTGTCTCAGCATGTTGGCTGTACATACGCAGATTGGGATAGTACAGCGCCCGGAGCTCGTTCGGAGCTTCGGATTTGTGCTTTGCGATGTACGTCTGGTCCACCCATTGTAGAGAATCCATGAACATGTGGTCCATCGCAGGACTGAGATAGCGCATGAAGCTCATGAGGAAGAAAGGGACTTGGAGGACGTGGTGCTCGACGAACTCGATGCCGTGGATGATGTCTTCGTCCCATGTTGAGGCTCCCAGGTCGGTGAACAGGCCAAGGAATCGGATGAGAACTCGGATGCCGAATGTCTGTTGTGTGTTAGTCTTCATCCGTCTCCCAGGCGTCCTGGCCATCTCACCGGTATCGCGACAAGCAGCCGAATGGCCAGTCCAGCGATGAACGCCAACGCAGCCTGCTTGTAGTGCTCGCTCGTGAAAATTCCCGGGTTCTGCAAGGCGCGATTCGCTCCCACCACCGTCAATTGAGCACCTCTGACGATGGAGTTCAGCTCAAAGCTCCCGAAGAAGCCGTAGTTGCTCATCCCGTCCAATTGCAATCTCTCGTGGCAGGTGTTGTAGCTGTGTCGGGAACTGGGGCATACGACCAATTTGACGCTTGCCAGGATTCCCGCACATGACGTCGCGATGCAGGAACACGGGGATGATGCCGCCGCGCAAACGGGCACGGACGCGTGGTGAAGTGTATACCATTCCGGGTTTGAAGCGACTGAAGTTTGCGCGCGCGGCGCCACCTCCCGACAGCCACAGCTTCTCCCGCTGACCGTCGCGTGTGCAGGAGTTCTCCCAGGAGAGGGGACTCAAGGGATATATAACAATCACCAATCCGCCCCCGCCCTTCACATGAACTCGCAATCCTTCGCGACGTCGCCAGGATGTCGACTACGGCACCGTCCACGCCCAAGAGCACGCCTCGCAAGGCTGCTCTAACTCGATCCTTCACGCTCCCTTCGAAAGTCGCAACCACCAGTCGCACTGCACCGAGTGCAGAAATAGGCGCTGCAGAGGGCATCGAGACACTCCATGTACACCCAAATGGGAAAGTGGTCAAGTTCACTACGAGCGCAACCTCGCGCCCTGGAAGTAGCACTGGGATCCCAAGCCCTGGCGGACAGCACGCTGGGACCCTACCATGGGCTACCCTTACGGAGCAGACATTGGCGGCCGGGCCGATTGAGATATATCGCGTTCCTGGCTCCGTCTCTTTTCTACACTCGGGATCGCTGTTGCATGCTATCATGCCCCGGAGTAATTGCTGGTGTGTGGACGGGGTAAGCAAGTTTGCGATCAGAGTGCTCGCGGATACCTACTATCGCGTGGAACTTCCAGGGGAGACACCGGAGGATCTGGAGAAGGTGGAGGAGTTCAAAGATACGCTGAAGAAAGTCTTGTTCTATGAGCGCACTGCCTGTCCCTTTGCTCGCACCTTCACGGTGGAGCTACCGGAGGAGCCTGAAGTACGGAAGAAGAGGAGAAAGAGTCACGGGCCTGCAAAGAAATGGACACTGGAGAAGGCCTATCGGTGGAAACCAGAGGACGGAGAAGCGCCACAAAGGGGTAGCGAACGTTTTTCGGGCAGTCTGACTGCATCCGACGAGGAATCTAGCTCGGAGGACGCTCAGTCAAATGCTTCAGAGGTGGCTGACGAGGTGAAGGACCTCAAAATCAACACCCCATCCAGGCCAAGTGTGCGCGAAAGGGCTATGGGTTTCGACATGAGATCGGTGACTGCACCTCCACACCTGGCCATGCAAGCGACGCCTCCCTCAAAGCTACGAACGACGGCTGTGGCGCAGGAATCACATGGAAGTCGGGAGAGATCCCGCTCGCCGGAGCAGGCACCTGGGGCACTCGACCCTACATCGCTTCGGCCATTCCAACCGATCCCTACAGATATGCCACCTTCGCCTCCCGATTCTAGCGCCGGACCTGAATATACGGAGCACCCCTCTCGGACGGCGCTTCCAGAACAAGCGAATGTGCCTGACGCTCCAAACCCCAGTCGCACAGCATATGTTGAGCCAGGCATATCCAGTGGTGATGTGATGTGCGCAGGAGAGGGCGCGGCTGCGGACTCTGCGCATGCAGGCGCCGCCCAATCGGATGAGAAGCCTGAAGCCGCACTGCAGAGCGAGGTGGACAGGCACACCAATGTCATAGAACCAAAAAGTGAACCAGTATTTGTCGCAGGTGCTGAAGACGCACAACATCAGGGCGAGGATCGTGGCAACCATGCGGGTGAGATTGTTGAGGCGGCGAGCGATCTGCGCCAAGAAACCAATCAATTCGCCTCACTTTCGCGCATCAACACCGGCGGGGCGAAAGCCGCAGACGCGGATGAACAACCACGGCCCTCAGCTTTGCAGTGCAAAGAACAGAATAATGGGGACTTCACTGCAAGGTCTGCGGTGGGAGCGGAGCTCGCGGATCCTTTTGCGCAGATACAGGCTCGCATTCAGGCTAGGAGGAGTATTGGAGGGACAACCTCTTTCGTACCAAGCCGGAAGTCTCCAACGCGTCAATCGTCTTCGTCAACGGCCTCGTCCGGATCATTGTCGTCCGCCAGATCTGGGCTGTCACTCCGCTCGCATCCTTATCAAGCTCAGCAACAGCAAGCGTTTGCCAGCGCTCTAGTCCGCAAAGCATGCTCTGTGTTCCTTGGTCCTCCGGCGCATCTCGTCCTGATCATGCTGAGGATCGCAGCGAGATTCGCAAAGGGTGCATTCCCACGGAGTCTTCTGTTCGAATCTCCGGCAGGTGCGTCTAAGCGTGTCCCTGGCTCGTTCGATTTGGATGGAAGTGATGTGGAGGACTTTGCCTACGATGATGACATTGGTGACTGGGAAGATGACTTTGGTGTTCCCTTGAGGAGTCCTGTGAGACTGGCTGCGGCAATGAACGAGGTACTTAGCAGGACAACTAGCAATGAAAGCAGCATTGCAAATGTCAGAGGATGAAGAGGATGAAGAGGATGGGACTTGGGGCCTGAGCCTTGAATGGCGAATGTTTGGTGATTTGAAGAGCGCGGCGTTTTGGGACCAAAAAAGGACGAACAGCACCATGTACGACCTGGCTATGATACTAGCTGCTGTGATAACTTTGATGCGTAGTTCAACGAATTTCTCCGATGTAACCGAATCTTGCGAGCAAATGCCACTCCATGTGCACGACGTCCCATTCCAATGATGAAACATCCCTCACGAAATGTTGCATTTCGAAAAGAAGTTACAATTCAAGCCCGATGTTGCATAGCAGATGTGGTGCGCTTGTTGCATGTGATCGACTAGCTCGGCATTTGAGTCAGTACCTTTCCGCGTGCGACAGTGCGTCATTCGCGCCGTTTTCGCGTCTTTCTCACTGCTCGGCATCGACTCTTTCGTTCCATCTTAACACAATTGTCCACTTTTCTTCTCATCATGATCAGTCCCTATTTGCCTATTTCGACATGGCCACAGCGGCATTTCTACGAGATGAAGCGTGGTCATCGAAATCTCAGTGGCTGGGAAAGGCGGAAGAATCCGCTCATCGCACTCGACGCGACAATAGCCGAGTCTTCACTTCGAGGTGAACCTCACCTGCTACCCGCGCACCGATGAGGCTCAGAAGAAGTATTTAAGCACTCGCGCTTGCCTCTTTGCTGGCCACAATCTGCGACGAACTGCTCACTACCTCGGAACTCCACTACCCACCTGTCTTTCGAGCGACAACGCTGAGCCGAGTACATTCCACGCAACAATTCGAATTTGGCTTTGCGCATGGCAGAGAATCTTGACGGCAGAGGAGTGGACGGGATACCGGCGGCGGCATCCCGGAGAGTAACAAAAAATGAAGAGGCGGAGCAATACACATGCAGCCTTGAGAGATGAAGACGATGAGATTGTGGTCGCATTACACCCGCCAAAGCGCATGAAAATCGACACATCGGACACCAGTGGCAGTGGCATCTTAACGCCTCAATCTGGGAACCGAGTCTTGCGAGACAAGCCAGCCGCGTCCTCACCGCAGCTTGCTGACTCCGGACTTAGTGAGGCTGTGGAACTGGACGACACAAGCGACGGCGACGGCGACCGCAGCGTTGATGATAGTGAGACCGGTGGCAGCAGTAGGAGACGCCGGATAAAACCTGCAGAAGCGAGCCACCTCGCTATCTGCGGTCCAGCGTACCCAAGATCGGCGTATACCGGATGGCAGCCGCCTTTGGCACACGTCACTGAGGTGGAAGCTGACGATGCGCTGCGAGAGGTCAGCGAGAGACCTGACGTAGAGCGGTCGGAGTGGAAGATATATCGTTTGAGCAATTTCAGCTTCTACCGACCGCCATCCGGGCACAAAACGCATCGCCACGAACTGGTGTCCCTTGACCGGTTACGACAAGACCGGTACCCCGAATTCTGCATGGACGGTATCTTATCTTGTGGAGACCGCAGGTGCTATGTGCAATGCATTCCGTTCGAGATCATCACGGTGGATGGGTATGGAGATGATGCAAGTAATATTGCGAACCAAATTTGTATCCAATCTAAGCAACAAGCCAGCAGAGACAACGGGGCGTGGTATCAGCTCAGTTCTCCAGCAGCTGAGTACCGGAGATTTTACCACCCTTTCCTTTGGCTAGCAAGATTCACCAAATACTTTGTGATCTACCTGCTGGAGAAGAAGTGTGTCACCCTTGGACACTTTCGCGCGAGTTTCTTCAAGTGGCTGCAAGCAGGATACGCCGCTAGCCGGGGCTTTCATAAATGGCTCGAATACTCTGGACTGCGCGACTTTCGTACGACTGTCGCTGCCAACGTATGGTATCTCTGGAAAGAATGCTATAGTCTCGAGGACTCGAAGCTGCGCAAGCATCCAATATGGTCAGAAGTCGACCCTCAACGCCTTAAGGCCATCCCTATGCAACCGAACTTTGAGAAGATGACGGTCGTGACACCTTTCGCCTACCAATGCTTCGGGTCTATGTACTTCGGCGATCGATTAGTCGAAAGACGGGCTAATGCTAGGCTCATTCGGAGCACCCAACGCCGCAAAAGTCTACTCGGGCTAACTCCATTCCTTTCCGAAAAGCATTCAGCGCATATCATGCAATCGCCTGCAAGTCTTGCGAGCTCCCCAGACCCAGAGCCCGTTAGCGCGCTGAACATTACCGCTGGCGATGTTGTATGCGTGAGACCAGATCTGAGTAGCGTCTGGAGAGAGGCGCAACATTCTTGGTTCGCTTATGTTCAAGGCACCCGAAGTCATAATGACCGCATGTTGCTCGATGTTCTCTGGTTGTACGAGCCAAAGGACACGACACTCGGCAAGGCATACTATCCCTTCCCAAACGAGCTCTTTCTCTCCGACAACTGTAGTTGCGGCGAAGCTGCTCTCGACCGAGAGTGTGTGATCAAGAAGGCAGAAGTTACCTTCTTTGGTCGCAACCCTTACGCCCATAAGGGGCTCTTCGTTCGCCAAAAATTCCGCACTATCCACGAACAGGATACGTATGACTTCGTGAGCCTTAAACAGACGGACTTTCGCTGTACCTGCGATAACCAACTATCCATCTTTGAGGAGTGTTACAGCAAGTACAACGTTGGAGACACTGTCCTCGTGCGTGAGTGGTCCAGGATCCTCCGCGAGGATCGCCTACAGCCGGCACGTATAGAACACTTCGACTGCAAGAAGAGGCGCATACACGTGAGCCTCTTCGGCCGCAAGCACGAAGAAGATCCATCAAGCAACGCGAGACCTAACGAATTGACCGCTCCCTTTACGGCTCGTTCTAAGTCATCCGACAAGATCATTCGCAAATGCCAGGTACGCCATTTCACACGTGCACAGATCGCGAACGGCGATGTTCCAGCGCCTTACGACAGAGATGGTACCGGCGACTTTTTCTACCTCGCAATTGAGACCTTGGAAGCAACGGATCAGGAGCGGCACTTTGCAGAGGGTTGGAACCCTTCGGAGAAGCCGCACAAGCCAAATCTCACCGGAATGGGCATCTTTTGCGGAGGAGGCACATTCGACCGCGGGCTCGAAGAAGGCGGTGCGGTGCAGTTCCGATATGCAGTCGACTGGGCAGAGAAGGCTCTTCACAGTTATCGCGCCAACGCTAACGCCAATGCCAGCTCAGGCGAAGTGCATTACTTCCTTGGATCGGTGAATGACTACCTTTCTCACGCTATGGCTGGATACGAAGGGCCTGCAATTGCTGAACCTGGAGACTTTAATCTGCTCTCTGCGGGAAGTCCATGCCCAGGATTCTCCGCTCTTCAGAATAACAAGCTTAGTGAGGAATCTAAGCAGAATGCATCTATGATCGCCTCTGTCGTCTCTTTCGTCGACTTCTTTGTTCCAGAATATCTTATCCTGGAGAATGTGGTTACCATGACCAACGGTATGGGACCCCAAAAGGACGAGAACGTCTTTGCGCAAATTGTGGCCTCGCTAGTAGGCCTTGGTTACCAAGTCCAACAGTTCTTGATGGATGCGTGGTCCTACGGAAGCCCTCAACAACGATCACGGGTCTTCATCATCGCTAGCGCACCAGGGCTCGTGCCTCTAGTAGCTCCTTCCCATTCTCATGCTCATCCACCAAACGCAGCAGCTAGAGGAAGAGCTTTAGGCACCTCAAGTAACGGGAAACGGTTCGGCAGTCGCAGGGACGAGTTTACTGCCTTCGGACATGTATCTGCCGCAGATGCGGTCGCCGACCTACCTTTCGTAGGCGACTCCCAAGTGCAGCTTTGCCCTCAGTTTCCTGACCACAGGACCGCGATTACTGAGCCTGCTGTGAACAGAGGCCGCGTAGTAGCGGTCCCGACTCGGCCACGAGCCATGGGCCTCATCCAAGCCAAGGCGGCCGGCTTAGTTCGCGGCGACCCACTTGAACATTGCGAACGGGTGAACGCGGTTCGGAAGGTCAAGCATTCCCGGATCTTCGCTCGTATTGATCCCGACTTCCTCTTCCCTACGATTGTCACTAGGCTGGCTATCAACGACGGCATCAATGGCCGGGTGGTACATTGGGACCAGCAGAGGACTCTCACCGTCATGGAGGCCCGCCGGGCTCAAGGCTATCTCGACACGGAAGTCTTGATTGGCACCCCTGTCGACCAATTGAAGATTGTGGGCAATAGCGTCGACCGGAAGGTTGCCTTGGTGCTGGGACTGGCTCTTCGCCAATCCTGGACAGGATCGGATCTCAATCTCAATCTGAATAGCCAGTCAGCTTCTCAGATCTTGACATCGCACGCAACGGCAGAGCACTCGAGCCCGGCAGCTGATGAAGATGGAGACTCCGCCAGGGAAGAAGACACAAGCATTGCCACTAACAGTGGCGATCATCACGGTGACGGTGACGGCGAGACCGACTCGCTAGCCAACGAAGGAGCGTCGTCGTCGTCGTCAGCAGCAGCAGCAGCAGACGAGCTCTCGCCTGTCGTCGATGAGCCGGCCGACATGAACCGCAGCACCAAGATGGCGCTCAACATGAGCGCCGAGGAACTCGAAGAGATCCGAAGAGAGTCGTCGCAAGCCTTCAAAGTTATCAAGCGCATCGTCGAAGAGCACGGGAGGGCGGGCGGGAGTCTTGGTGGCTCGCCCCTTTGGCGGTGAGGGAGGGACACGACAACGCACTGCAATGTTAAAAAAAACAAAGCACTCCCTCATCATGATGGATGGATGGATGTATGTATGTACCTAGATACCAGCGACGCAGACCAACAATGCGAGATGTATCTCACGCTGGTAGGCTGGGTCACGTATCTACATGAATTCTTGATCCGTGCAAAAGCAGTTGTTGGCAAATCTCAACCTGGAAATCCGAGCCAGCAACATCATCAGATCAGATCAGGGTCCTTCTGCGGAAGCGACGGGAACGGTCAAGCCATCTTTAGCTTGCGCGGGCGGCTTACATGTACATGTACATGTACATGTACCGTCTCCCGCAAGTCCCGCTGTTGTGCTTCTACCCACCTGCTGGCACCGCCCGCAGAAGAAGCACAGATGTCCTCCTCCTCCTCCTCCTCCTCCCGCACTACTAGTGATCGCCAGGCACGCACGCATCCATCCGGTCCACCCAAAGCCGATGATGGGATATGATGCACAATGTGTCGCCAACAATGTTTTGGCTGAATAGTAGTATCTAGCCGGCGCAGCAAAAAAGAAGAGCAGAGCAGGTCGTAGCGAGATCAAGATGATAAAAAAAAATAAACAACGGGGTTTTCATCTTGCGATATACAAGTAGTGTGGAGTTTTTTCCCAGTCTTCAATCATCATGTCATCACAGACGCATGGGAAGTGAATGAGAGATCTGGTTGTTCTACTTCAAGGGAAAAAAGGACTGTATTGAATTGAATTGCACACTACTAACGATTGAACGGCACGGCTTACGCCGGGTTAGTATCTAGTGACCGACAGTCTCGGCACAAGCAAAATGTGAAGGCATTCGGCAAGCGCTCTACCTTTTAGCGCATGCGGGCGATGCGTCTATCACTTGTCGATGTCTCACGGATTTAAAGGCCCTCTTCCTGTTGTTGTTCTTGTTATTGTTGTTGTTGCCAAGAGCCCAGTCGGTGTGAAAGGTGTTGGCGGCGCGGCGCGGCTTGGCTTGGCCTGGAGGGAAAGAAACCAAGGAGATCCGAATAGATGTCTCGACTCTCATGCTCGGACCACAGGGGTTGACGATGACAATTGTCAACAAGCGAAGGCACAGCTAACAGTCCGGCGATACTATCATCATGCTGCCATGAGGAGTAGCAACACTCAATCAAGAATGAGCTGTCTCTGGAAACGTGGGGTCTTTCTTTATCACGACTCTCAACACACGAGATGTGGTAGGACGAATAATCCGCGGAGGTGCAGCACGTAGGGTAAGGTAGGGTCGCTACACGTATCCTTCCTACAAGCCCTGGCCGCGGAACTCTCCTGTAGGATGCAGCGACGAGTGCCTTGTACCGCGCATAAACTTTGGTGTAGTCGCCCTTCACCGCGTCCATGACCAGTAGAGGACGTCGCTTTTCTGCAGTGTGTTTTTCAATTGGGTAATACGTGCCTGCGGTGAGAAAATGATAAAGCTTCAAGTGCAGCAGGAGCATGCAATGCATGTCCTCGAGAGTTGCATGTGAGAGGCGGAGTACTCGTGTTCAGCCTTGCTAGAGCGGCCCTTTCCTCTGTCGCTCGATATCGGCGGCCTCAACGCGAAGCAGTTTTCCACATGCGTGGAACGCGTGGGCGCTAGCGTAGCCTATGGGGTACGGTAGGACATGCATTATATTGTGCATCAAATGCAGTGCGCCGATATCGCGTCTTCGGCATGCTGAGTGCCGCTTGATGGGAGGTGCCATTGAAGTGCATCTCTACAGCCAGATCGCAAGGTTACCGTAACTAGATGTCAAGAAGTCGCAATGAATTGTACGGCGAAGACTTCGAGCGGTGTTTCACTCACCGATCAGGCCGTCCTCCGGCACTGCACTGCAAGGTAATAATGCGAAGTCGGCAGTAGCTGCGAGGATGTACGAAGTTGCGGCAGACAGGTACGACAGAGTGCAGGTGCCTTGAGTAGAGTCAGCCTTGATCCATGGGACTGATATACCGCCATTGTGCTCAACGTTACTCCAAGTCTCAACAGGTCATTCGACTTCGCGGATCCGACACCGCCTGGTGAAGGCGAAGTCCGGTCGGCCGAAGGTATGAGTTGCAGACTCCATCCGAGCTCGAGCTGGTGCTAGGAGCGCTCATGTCCTGGGCAAGACTCGTTAGGGATCGATCACGCGTCCGCGCTCGATTCCATTCGGCCCATTCTGGACACAAATCAGTCACACGGTGCCGTAGCATCGCTGAGCAAGATATGTAGAGTCAAAACTTGATGACCTGCCTCCTCTTTTCTCCACACCGCTATGTTCTGCAAGGCTGAGCTGCCACCAGCATCTGCTGGTGAGACATGTTCCGATTCTGCAAGGGCTTGACTCAATCGGGGCATGCAAGTCATTGCGCATTTGATTCTGATCACGGGACAATGGCGGCTTCCTCACCGACGCTCCGGGCAGCTCCTACTTTTGGCTAAGGGCAGCTCCTGTCCCAAACTTGGAGGCTAGACAGTCAATATGCGTCGATTGGTGCTGCCTCTCCTTCGGTTCCTACAATGCCCGGGTCCTCCTGCGAGATTGATCCTCAAGCGTTCGTGAAGTTGGTGGTGTATACCCGGAAGCGGGAGCTGCCCTTAGCAGAGAGTAGGAGCTGTCCGGAGCCTCGGTGTGGCTTCCCTGATCTGTCTATCCGTGGACACGGTGTCCTTGTCCTTCGGGTCTTCGAGGAAGGGGGTAGGGCCGTTTCGATGTAGGGTTTCCCCCGTAAGGTAGGTTCGACCTTCTCTCACGCATTTCGGCTTCGCACGTCGTTTAATCTGGCACGGGCCTCGACCGACCGAGCGACTGTCTGTCTCACGTCATATCCGTGTCCCAGTCAGTCGAGCTGAAATTTCAGGTGGCCGTCCGCTCATTATTGATGCAGCCACCCAGGCACTCCCGGGTCCAGCAGCGGCGGTAGCAAGGGCTACCATCTGATAGCGCTCGACGGCGCGGATTCCAGCACGTGGCACTCGTACAGTGGTCCCACCATTCCTGCTAAGTTAGCGACACGCGCAGTCTCGCACACAGAGCAGAGGTCGGGTCGTCGCGAGGTCCACCGAGATCTTCCCCTTCCGTCCGAGATGCGGGTGGCGGCAGCGTGTGTTGTACTGTAGCAGGGCGTGGGTAGATCCTTGCACATCGGAGCATTATGTCCCGGCCGGAGAGCGCTTGTTGAAACATGCTTCGCACAGGTCGGGCAGCAAGACTACCTCACGTACCGACAGCACGATGATGTGCACTTGGTTGTTGACAGCGACAACCTTCCAAGCGACATGGTCGATAGTGATTATTCACAAGCCCGCGGCGTATCAGAGGTTGCAGTCTACAGGCGCACAAGCAGGAGTTGGGAATGATGGAGCCCCATCACCGTGACGCCGTGCAGCCCGAGGTTGGCTCAAGATGTCGGTGAAGGTGTGGGCCAGCATGTCAAAGTTTTATTGCTTTTCGTCAGGCTCTAGATCTGGCGCGTGCACAGGGGTAATCAAATTAAGATAGATTAACGCTAGTTGCTTAGCATTGGTGTCTGCATACTATCTCTACCAAATATTATCCTTTACACGCTGTCTACTATTTAAAGTAAGTTAGTAGCACCTCTATTATATACTCTATATTCTATATCTAATTTAATCTATTAAAATCTTATTCTAGGCATAGATACAGGCTGCTTTAAGAGCTTG